CTCAGTGCATCCCTTACAGACGCACACACTGCATCCCATACATACACAAACTCACCTTGCAGCCACCCAGCCCCTTACACATACAAACACAGATTCACACAATGCATTCCTTACACACATCAGGACATCCCCACACACACACACCTGTGAACAAACTCATTGGTGGAACATGAAGGTGGACCCTGGGACCCAGACCTTGAGCTGTGTAAAGGGCCTCCCAAAAATGGAGCTGCTTCCCGTTCTCCCAGAACATTGATTTTTGTGACCACAGTTACAAACCGCCTCCAGAGAGCCTGTTCTACACCAGACCAGTGGAGCCAGACTGCAGCTAGAGCCCGTCATCATCCTCATCTGGTTGTAAGTAGGCAATCTAGTATATTATTCGTGGCACTAATCTCCAATTTACCTCACATTAAAGGGACACTATAGTCCCCAGAACCACTGCAGTTAACCAGGACTATAGCCTGTCCCTGCAGGCCTTTTATTGTAAACACGGCAGCACTGTGTTAGTTAACATGGCAGATCATATGGGTGGGGCATTGTGATGTCACATGGGGGGGCGGCAAACTTTACTTTTGCCTAGGGCGGCAAAAATCCTTGCACCGGCCCTGCAGATACTGCATCCCTGTGGGCGGACTCAGGAGGGGGGGACGGATGGACTCGGGTGCAGGCACTGGGGGGCCCAGACCTTGAGCTGTGTCAGGGGCCCCAAAATTTCTGATGTCAGCCCTGGCGCTCAGACCTGAGATATCTGGAGATATGCTAAATGTATAGTTTTAATGTAATGTGTCTTACCTGGTATATTTTAACAGTAATGCTTGTTTTAGTATCCCCACATGCATAAAGGAGATTTGCCTTTGTCTTGGGAGATAATTGAATTACTTCTCAATTATCTCCCAGGGCAGAGGGGAGGAAGCCAGGATGCATTGTGGGAATATACTGTGACTGTGTGTCCTATTTGTCTGCTTGTCTGTCCCTTGTTGCAGTCTCCCATTTGGTCCCCTAGGGAAGTGTCCACCAGGTGGGAGACCTGCATAAATACTAGGCAGGTGGCCCTCATTAAACAGACCACTGCTTGACCCTCAACACGGAGCCTTGTTTTGTCTTTGGGGGGATTTACTGAATGCTGATAGAGACTGATTGCTAGGAGTGTAAGCCGCTTGGATGCTTTTCCTATTCGTCTGCTAGCAGCGATTCGTATGGTTCCTGTTCGTGTATTTGGAGTGCTATATTGGATGCCGTTCGGGAGTTTGGAGCATTCACTTATTGGCGGTTCGTGTGTTTGGTGTTCTGCAGTAGCTGTGCCTGCAGCTCTGGAAAGGGGGCCGATCGCCTAAACGGTTTTTACCCCTTTTGTGCAAAACGGTCCGTTACACTGTCCTATGATATACAATGTATCACTCAGTGCTGTCCTATGATATACAGTGTGTGTCACTCAGTGCTGTCCTATGATATAAAGTGTGTATCACTCAATGCTGTCCTATGATATACAGTGTATCACTCAGTGCTGTCCTATGATATACAGTGTGTGTCACTCAGTGCTGTCCTATGATATAAAGTATGTATCACTCAATGCTGTCCTATGATATACAGTGTATCACTCAGTGCTGTCCTATGATATACAGGGTGTGTCACTCAGCGCTGTCCTATGATATACAGTGTGTGTCACTCAGTGCTGTCCTATGATTTAAAGTGTGTATCACTCAATGCTGTCCTATGATATACAGTGTGTATCACTCAGTGCTCTCCTATGATATACAATGTATCACTCAGTGTTGTCCTATGATATACAGTGTATCACTCAGTGCTGTCCAATGATATACAGTGTGTATCACTCAGTGCTGTCCTATGATATACAGTGTATCACTCAGTGTTGTCCTATGATATACAGTGTGTATCACTCAGTGCTCTCCTATGATATACAATGTATCACTCAGTGCTGTCCTATGATATACAGTGTGTATCACTCAGTGCACTCCTATGATATACAGTGTATCACTCAGTGCTGTCATATGATATACAGTGTGTGCCACTCATTGCTGTCCTATGATATACAGTGTGTATCACTCAGTGCTCTCCTATGATATACAGTGTATCACTCAGTGCTGTCCTATGATATACAGTGTGTGTCACTCAGTGCTGTCCTATGATATACAATGTGTGTCACTCAGTGCTGTCCTATGATTTAAAGTGTGTATCACTCAATGCTGTCCTATGATATACAGTGTGTATCACTCAGTGCTCTCCTATGATATACAGTGTGTATCACTCAGTGCTGTCCTATGATATACAATGTATCACTCAGTGCTGTCCTATGATTTACAATGTGTCACTCAGCGCTGTCCTATGATATACAGTGTGTATCACTCAGTGCACTCCTATGATATACAGTGTATCACTCAGTGCTGTCATATAATATACAGTGTGTGCCACTCATTGCTGTCCTATGATATACAGTGTGTATCACTCAGTGCTCTGTCCTATGATATACAGTGTGTGTCACTCAGTGCTGTCCTATGATATACAGTGTATCACTCAGTGCTGTCCTATGATATACAGTGTGTATCACTCAGTGCTGTCCTATGATATACAGTGTGTATCACTCAGTGCTGTCCTATGATATACAGTGTATCACTCAGTGCTGCCTATGATATACAGTGTGTGTCACTCAGTGTGTCCTATGATATACAGTGTGTATCACTCAGTGCTGTCCTATGATATACAGTGTGTGTCACTCAGTACTGCCTATGATATACAGTGTGTATCACTCAGTGCTGCCCTATGATATACAGTGTGTGTCACTCAGTGCTGTCCTATGATATACAGTGTGTGTCACTCAGTGCTGTCCTATGATATACAGTGTGTGTCACTCAGTGCTGTCCTATGATATACAGTGTGTATCACTCAGTGCTGTCCTATGATATACAGTGTGTGTCACTCAGTGCTGTCCTATGATATACAGTGTGTGTCACTCAGTGCTGTCCTATGATATACAGTGTGTGTCACTCAGTGCTGTCCTATGATATACAGTGTATCACTCAGTGCTGTCCTATGATATACAGTGTGTGTCACTCAGTGCTGTCCTATGATATACAGTGTGTATCACTCAGTGCTGTCCTATGATATACAGATTGTGTCACTCAGTGCTGTCATATGATATACAGTGTGTATCACTTAGTGCTGTGCTATGATATACAGTGTGTGTCACTCAGTGCTGTCATATGATATACAGTGTGTATCACTTAGTGCTGTGCTATGATATACAGTGTGTGTCACTCAGTGCTGTCATATGATATACAGTGTGTATCACTTAGTGCTGTGCTATGATATACAGTGTGTATCACTTAGGGTCTTGCTGTCTAATGAGAAATCCGTCCCTAAAAGTGTATAAATGACACAAAACATTTTAATAGAATAATTAAAAGTTATCAGCTTTTATTTAAAAAGCATCTTTTTACAGCCATTTCTGCAAAAAACAACTTTAAGTTTGTATTCTACAAAAGGTATTCAATTTTTTTTTTTTACAAAATTAAACATTACAAAAATACAGACAATTTATTTTTCTTTATACAGTTGCCTTTAGCTGCAGTTTTAATAGTGAAATGACTACCACAGATCTACAATAGTTTAGTTGACTAGACTAAAATGAAACGGCTGCTTTTTATTCTTTATTTTTTTATAAAGCAGCCGGATACACAGGTCGACACGTTTATAAATCATAGTGGATATATCTAAAATTGCTTTCAGAAATAATATTTTACATAGTTAATTTTTAATGTTTTATACAATATTTATATAATATATATATTTATATATAAAAATCATAGCTTGCTATAGTTGAAATGACAGGACGGATCCTCTTGTAGTAAGGATGTGCAAATGAATATTTTCACGGTTATTGTAATCCCTTTAGATTAAGCCCTTTTAAAGGTTTGATTATAAAATAATCCTTCCCTTGTGTTCGTTAGAAACGTGATATCGGTTCTATTTACTATTTGAAATGATGAGACTTTTTGAAAGAAACTCAACCTGTAGAAGACTCGACAGACTCCAAAGGGTCGGGTCTGTGAATTGTGATGTCCTGCCCCGCAGCACATCGGCAAACTAGTGAATAAGGCTTCGTTGGGTGTCAAACCCAAGGTCAAATCGGATCAATAATTTGTCCCATTGAAGGAATCCCTCAGGTTTTTGAAGGAAGAGTTCAACGAAGCCATGACCGATTAAAAGGGACGGTAAGGCCAATGGAAAGTGATTGCTCTATTGTATTACAAGATGTTGTCCTATGATATACAGTGCATCACTCAGAGACAATGCCAGCATCAATGTGTGTCTATAAACATATACCTAACCCTCTGTAGTGGTGATCAGACCCACATGTTAGCGAGCAAATCAGTTGTGTCCCATTAAAGCCCATTCAAAAGACCAGAACGGAAGTCTGTGAAGTCCATGAACTTCTTTCATGAAAATCTTTCTGGAAGTTTGTCTACTGTAAAGGCACTTAAATATTTATACTCCAAACAGCAGTCTGATACCTGCCTGAAGATATTATGTGTGGCTTTACTGTCCCTTTAAGCTTCTAAAAGCCTTCCTTAGTTAATTAGGGGGTTTCTACATCGATTAAGATGTATAGGAAGAGAGTTGCCTACACGATCCGAGATATCTGACTGAGGTGTACACGTGATCGGTTACATCCAAAAATAAAAGTGTTTTTTTCTTTTTAAAATTTTCTTTTCTATGAAAGGCAAAAAAACATAGCTTAGATCTTGTCGTCAATTCTGAGTCACATGGATGTAGACGACCCCAAACTACATCAAATAAGAGGTGATTTCATGGGGCCTGAACCCCAACCCTATTCAGTGCTATTCCGATCTAAATGGATAGTGCGTGGTTAATTCGTGGTTTAGCTTTGCTGTAAGCCACACATCCGGCTCCCTTATCATAAAAACCTTTATTGTTTATAAATATATCAGCGTGTTCACTAGAACATGAACGTTCGTTAGCCAATCACACATCCTGAATTCCAACTCCTCCGTTCTCATTGGCTGCCTGGCTCTCAGCTTTCATTGGGTGATAAGTCCAGACAATGTTGCAATCTGTAAGGCCTCATGACAGACATGTTTTATTTTTGTTTTGTATTTTTTTTTTTTTTGGGTTGGGTAAAATGTTTTTCCCTACATTCTACTGTCTGATGAGATTTGAAAGCAGCAGGTAGTTGTATTCACGGCCAGAAGTAATTCTGCAGTTGGTTGGAGACTTTACACAATATTGTGATGACTGTTTCTGTCGATCATGTCCACAGGAGCGAGGACATCCCGTCTAACCGAGGGAGGTGGGCAACTCTTCTTTGGCGTTTTAAAGAGATCCGATACGTAGAAAACCTGCAGAGTAAAAGAAAGACACCTTCAGTCATGGAAACAATACTCCACATATACAAATCAATATATATAATAATTTACACTATAAAGCCAATAACGCCGCTAAACCCAATTTATGTCCTCTTTTATATAAACCTGGAGAATGATTATTTCACATATTTATCAAAGGAAAAAGATGAATTTAAAGAATTCTGTATGCCATGACATTAAGTGTCCCTCTGTTGGATTTTATGGTTAAAGTCAAGTTTGAGCAAATTATAAAGATATTGGGGCAGTTGCCATAGTAATAAATGTTCGAGTCTGGTGACTGCTCTGTTCCTGAACCATTGAGCCACATTGGAATCAGTCACTATTCTAGCCGAGCACGCAATATATGTATATATTTAATGACCCGTAGGTTGACACCAATGGAAGGAAGAGATATTTGACCATCATTTCCTGAATCCTCAATAGCGGAAACTGCTTGCAGGATGTGAAAAAGCCAACATTCAACATATCTGGATAGAAATTTAGCTACAACGTCCCCCTCGTTTCCTTAGTCTGGGCTCTCTCGGCTCAGGATTCAGACAGAGTACTTTCTAACGGTGTCAGCCGGGGACACCATTACCCAAAATAAAAACTGCTTTATTGGCAATTAACCACTAACAAGCCCCACCGATGCCCTGCTCCCTGGATTCCCCCAGATAAGGTGATCTGCTGTGACTTTTGGGCAGTCTGGGAGCAGTAACTCTGTCAGGGAGCTTCCCACAGGATCCTGTGTGTAAATTACAATCTCCAAATAAACAGTGCCTTAGTGTAAACGCTGTGTATTCACTCTCTAACTCCCTTTGGAATATGAAGTCATATTTGACTTTTTCCCCATTACTGCCTTGCAGAGAAGGCACACAGCAGTAGCGCAGGTCAGGCAGTAATCGTGTTTCAGAGGAGAGTGGATTGTTTAGTGTTTCCATGTAAATTTCCTGGGTCTCAGAACGACAGGCTTCAGATTGCTAGGAATCGCTGGCTGCTCCAGGTATGCGCTTACACAAACACTGGCAGGAAAACTGAAACTTAACCCCAGCAGACAGGCGGCTGTGCCTGAACCCTGACACACAACAAAGGGCAGGAACCGGGTAATGCTCCTCGTTTGGGTTCATTTCCTGCAGAAAGCGTTCCCCACCCTTAGTATAAACGCAGTGGATACAGGATAGGAATGGACACTTTCAGACATTCTGGGCCTTTACATCGCTATTTATTTTTACAAAGAGGGACAACACTCAGATAGGTGTAGGCGCTCAGCTACACGTTCATCCCAGCGCAGTACCTGAAATCAAGGCGTTCACCACCTCATTATGTTCCTCTATTTTGGACTATATTTTTTTATTCAATTATTAACTTATATCAAGTCGTTGATTAAAAAGGACACAAAGTCTCTTATTTCGGTTACTTTAATAGATTTTGCAGTTGATATCTGAAGATCTGTGTGCTCAGATGAAGTGCCAAGACACCCCCTAGAGGGTCCCCCACTAAAAGCACCCTGAACATTACCCTAAACGCACTGCCACCCACTGTCCTAAACTGAATGCACATCGTTTGTATCGAACATCTTAATTCTTGCCATAAAAAGCAATTCTGATATCGTAATTATTTGCAATGCTTTCCAAACACCCAATCGCTGAGAATAACGGGCCCATAGCACTGGTATTAGCAGATAAGGATTAATGTGGATATTTTCAGACTTTTAATAGTTAATAAGCTTTTAACTGAGCTTCATCCACAGCAGTCAGCAGTCATTAGAGGTTTACATTTATCATATCCTGTTAGCAATGTCATATTAACTCAGACAATGTCATCCTCACATCATTATCAGGAAAGACGAATAAATGAGCCATTTAGATGGGTCAGATCTCGCATGTCCTTTTATCCGAATTGTTTTTAATAAGTCTGAGTTGGCATTTAACCACTTCCAGTGACGGCATCGAGCGGGCGGCTAGGCAGCCATTCTAAATAACAATTAGGCTATGTCTCTTCCAATAAAGGTCAGGGGTAATGTATTAGCCCTCTGTATGCCTGGAGTTTATTTACTGTACTATAGAGCGATATCCATCACCCCACGGACATGGAGAAGATCCTGGAGAAAGCTGGGCTCAGATAAAGCTTTCAGAGATTGTCTGTAATTTGTGTGACCTGGCCAGCAGCAGTGATTACAAAATATAGCCTTAAAAGGTGGCAATATTTTACAATTGGCCCGGCGTGGAGATCCCCCTACGGCTACACTGCTGGGGCAAGTGGCATGCAAAATAAATCCAATATAATGACATAGTACTATATTATTTATAAATATTAATATAGCTAAGACAGTGCCCACACCCTTTTTTAAAATGTTTTAATTATTAGCAGATTACAGTTCTGTCCATTTATTTCACTTAGTAGAAACTTTAGATGTAAACTCGTTTATTAATGACTCCGTCCTGGCTCAGGATTAGCTAGGAATTTGAATTAATTTGTATATTAATGCACTTTAACTTTTACAAAAAGTCTATTGAAAAATCTAGTGATGTTTAAACCTTTCAGCCCTCAGAACATATTCTAAACAGAGAGACATGGTGACAGGACAATGACCCTTTACATTTGAAAATTGTCCAATTCAGTCAATTCACTGACGTTTTGAAAGTCAATTGTCACTTGACTTATGTCGACTCCCAGTCCTCGGACACCCACTGGTAAAATCGATGGAGGAATTCAGAAAAGATAAAAGTCACTTACAGGCAGCAAGGTGAATTGTTAGAGTAGCACTCTACTGAGAGGTTTGCCTTCTTGTAGCCAGTGAGCTTACACATTAATGGCCATTGCAGTGGTACTACCACCCTCTGTTATTTAAATGTGCAGAGGGATGTGGGATAGTGCGCAGGTAACTTTATTTTTATTGTTTTTATATTTGGGCTGATGAATACTACAGACGTTGCTGCCGCCCAGGAGTGGTGTGAGTTATTCTAATATTATTGTTACAGTAGGTGACAGTAGATTACAGTAAGTCCCAGTAGGTTACAGTAGGTTACAGTGAGTCACAGTACTGTCCCTGTTAAGATGATACGCACACTTTAGGCGGGAGCCAGTACAAGGTTTGAGATATAAACACACAGCCGGCGTCTCTCGATTTGGAAGGATGACAATACACGTTTAGGAGTTTGTCACCAGCTGTTTCCTAAACTTGGCTCGGCATGTGGGAGGAAGAACTATTAAACTATTGAGACAGGACACTGCACCCAGAGAGGTTTACAGGCAGAGAAATTTATCAGAGAACAGGCCATTCTCCGGTCTGTTTGTCTATATAGATCGATGTATATCTGTCTGTCTGTCCGTCTATACAGATCGATGTATATCTGTCTGTCTGTCCGTCTATATAGGTAGATGTAAATCTGTCTGTCGGCCCGTCTATATAGATTGATGTAAATCTGTCTGTCCGTCTATATAGATCGATGTATATCTGTTTGTCTGTCCGTCTATATAGATCAATGTATATCTGTCTGTCGGTCAGTCTATATAGACTGATGTTTATCTGTCTGTCCGTCTATATAGATCGATGTAAATCTGTCTGTCCGTCTATATAGATCGATGTAAATCTGTCTGTCTATATAGATCGATGTATATCTGTCTGTCTATATAGATCGATGTATATCTGTCTGTCTGTCCATCTATATAGGTAGATGTATATCTGTCTGTCTATGTAGATCGATGTAAATCTGTCTGTCTGTCTATATAGAGCAATGTATATCTGTCTGTCCGTCCGTTTATATAGACTGATGTTTATCTGTCTGTCCGTCTATGTAGATCGATGTAAATCTGTCTGTCTGTCTATATAGATCGATGTAAATCTGTCTGTCTGTCCGTCTATATAGATCAATGTATATCTGTCTGTCGGTCAGTCTATATAGACTGATGTTTATCTGTCTGTCCGTCTATATAGATCGATGTAAATCTGTCTGTCCGTCTATATAGATCGATGTAAATCTGTCTGTCTATATAGATCGATGTATATCTGTCTGTCTATATAGATCGATGTATATCTGTCTGTCTGTCCATCTATATAGGTAGATGTATATCTGTCTGTCTATGTAGATCGATGTAAATCTGTCTGTCTGTCTATATAGAGCAATGTATATCTGTCTGTCCGTCCGTTTATATAGACTGATGTTTATCTGTCTGTCCGTCTATGTAGATCGATGTAAATCTGTCTGTCTGTCTATATAGATCGATGTAAATCTGTCTGTCTGTCTATATAGATCGATGTAAATCTGTCTGTCTTTATAGATCGAAGTATATCTGTCTGTCTGTCTATATAGATCGATGTATATCTGTCTGTCTGTCCGTCTATATAGATCGATGTATATCCATCTGTCTCGTTAGTGCACAGTATTGATAAAACACACTGACTCGATGGTTTAACCTCCCTTTTATTGGGATCCTGGCTTATCGGCCACAAATTTTTGTTCAGGGAATCTCAGAGAAGATTGGTAAACATAACGCAACATACCGGTAATATTGCTGGGGGTTCGGCGATTGTTGTTGGTTACGTTTTACTTGTGTTATCCAGACGCAGGGAAAACCGATAAACAGAAATAATAGCAGGTAAGCTATTCCATAGTCCATTCATATTAGCAGAGTTATTCACTAAGGTGAGGATTCAAAGTGAATTTAAACTGTCGGAATAGCCAAATGTATCCACTCAGATATTCTGACCTTAAATGTCACTTTCAATTCTCACTTTAGCTGCTTGGGACAGGGGCAGGATCACATCCAGTAAACGTACCCTTACCCCGAGTTATGCCATTTAAACGGCTCATTCTGAATATAACACGCAGTGCGTTCTGCAATGACGGGTTGTACTTCACTCCCCAGACACCAGACATGATCTCGCAAATAATATATTCATCACTTTAATGGGATCACTGTGCCAAGCAGGGGTCTATGGGATATGTAGTTTCATTGTTTAACGGATCCATTTCATCATGGATAACATATCTGCTGTAAAATGCATTATCACTCAAGCCATAAACATTGCCTTTCATATTATACATCCACCTACGTATAGCACTAAGGATCATGGGCTCTCTAACTCAGGTATATTATAACACATATTAAACACCCACCTACGTATAGCACTAAGGATCATGGGCTCTCTAACTCAGGTATAGTATAACACATATTAAACATCCACCTACGTATAGCACTAAGGATCATGGGCTCTCTAACTCAGGTATATTATAACACATATTAAACACCCACCTACGTATAACACTAAGGATCATGGGCTCTCTAACTCAGGTATATTATAACACATATTAAACACCCACCTACGTATAGCACTAAGGATCATGGGCTCTCTAACTCAGGTATATTATAACACATATTAAACATCCACCTACATATAGCACTAAGGATCATGGGCTCTCTAACTCAGGTATATTATAACACATATTAAACACCCACCTACGTATAGCACTAAGGACCATGGGCTCTCTAACTCAGGTATAGTATAACACATATTATACATCCACCTACGTATAGCACTAAGGATCATGGGCTCTCTAACTCAGGTATAGTATAACACATATTATACATCCACCTACGTATAGCAGTAAGGATCATGGGCTCTCTAACTCAGGTATATTATAACACATATTAAACATCCACCTACGTATAGCACTAAGGACCATGGGCTCTCTAACTCAGGTATAGTATAACACATATTATACATCCACCTACGTATAGCACTAAGGATCATGGGCTCTCTAACTCAGGTATAGTATAACACATATTATACATCCACCTACGTATAGCAGTAAGGATCATGGGCTCTCTAACTCAGATATATTATAACACATATTAAACATCCACCTACGTATAGCACTAAGGACCATGGGCTCTCTAACTCAGGTATAGTATAACACATATTATACATCCACCTACGTATAGCACTAAGGATCATGGGCTCTCTAACTCAGGTATAGTATAACACATATTATACATCCACCTACGTATAGCAGTAAGGATCATGGGCTCTCTAACTCAGGTATATTATAACACATATTAAACATCCACCTACGTATAGCACTAAGGACCATGGGCTCTCTAACTCAGGTATAGTATAACACATATTATACATCCACCTACGTATAGCACTAAGGATCATGGGCTCTCTAACTCAGGTATAGTATAACACATATTATACATCCACCTACGTATAGCAGTAAGGATCATGGGCTCTCTAACTCAGGTATATTATAACACATATTAAACATCCACCTACGTATAGCACTAAGGACCATGGGCTCTCTAACTCAGGTATAGTATAACACATATTATACATCCACCTACGTATAGCAGTAAGGATCATGGGCTCTCTAACTCAGGGTGCGTGTAACCTTTCCATACTTACTATGCAATAAGCCACCATGGCACCTTGCACAAATCCGGCCAGTACGTCGGAGGGATGGTGCTTGTGATCGGAAACACGGGACAGTCCAGTGTAGAACGACATCATGAGCAGAGTGAACTGTAAGAGGGGACGCAAGAGGCGGGCTCCTCTCCACGTGAACCTTGACTGTAAGTAAAACTGTGAAGGAAAATGAAAGGTGTGTTAGAGAGAGTGCTGTCAGCTCCCGGATACATTGTCACAACGTGGCCGTGATTCACACTGCATCAACGGCAACTTCTGGACAGGAAAGGAACGCTCCAATTAGGAGGAATATTATATATTATTTATTGGAGGGTTCCTATTTGTGTTTAGACTCCTGCCCGCCAACCCCATATCGACATTGACAGTGAATCACTTCCAGGTCAGAGGTCAGACATAGGAAACCTTCAATATAAACCCTTCCGTCCATCTGATACCTGGAAGGTAATACAAAGATGGCTTATAAAAGTTATGATTTTATAAAATAAGCTAAAGGGGCCATTAGGTTAACCAATAAAGCACTTCAGCCAGCAGTGTTCCTTTAATAGATTCCTATTACGAGCGAAAGCTCTTTGTTTGGGCCCCAATCCCTCTGTTTTCTCAGAGCTCCATATTGTTAGTGTGTCTGAGTGTATAACAGAGCTCCACAATCTACTTGTTTAATGAAACAATATAATAATCTCAGGAATTAAAGGGACACTATGGTTACAAAAACAAGTTTAGCTTGTTTGTGCATTTCTGAACCTATAGTGCTAAAAAAAACAACCTACTTAACCCCCTGACCTTCTAAACAGCCGAAAAACTCACTTTATTTCAAGTGCCCCCGATCCACTTCTTTGGCTGACATCATAAAAAGTGATGATCTCAGTCAATTACATACTTTCCCATAGAAAAACATTGGATTGGCTGAGATTGTGAATTCTAATGAATCAGCCAAGGAATCAATACATCTCTATGAGGAAAGTTCAGTGTCTGCATGCAGAGGGTGGAGACACTGAATGTCAGTCACACTGTGCAGCATTGCCCCGGGAAGCACCTCTAGCAGCCATCTGAGGAGTGGCCAGTGGAGGTATCACTAGGCTGTAATGTAAACACTGCATTTTCTCTGCGTGACTAGGGCTACATAAATAAACAAAAGTGATTAAACTCCTAAATGGCAGCGAATTCAGCAGTGAAACTTCTGGGGCATGATCTATACACCAAAATGGCTTCATTAAGTTAAAGTTGTTTTGGTGACTATAGTGTCTCTTTAAGAATAAAAACTTCAGAGAGAAATGGCTTATATCATAATACATTGTTTTTAAAAATTAAATCATATAAATAAATAGTTATTTTGCGTGTTTATTAATGTCCACATTTAAGGGATGTTGCTACCAAAGATGGAGCACAGATTTTACTTTTTGCTTTGGAGTGTTGGAGAACAAATGACTTGAATATGTTCAAATCAAATAAACATTAAGATCTGTTGTGAAATGACCCAGAATGTTATACTTTCTGAGTTACCATGCAATCACCAATGGATACAGGGACCCTAGAGCTGTAGCTACAAAGACACTGGGGTTTATTCACCAAATAGTTTTTTTTTTTTTGGGACATTGTTTAGGCCGATGCTAAGAGACCCTGGTTATTGTGGTTGTTCTCGAATTAACCTCCAGCCCTCCCTTCCTGTAGGGTCCTGTGGGAAGCGAGGTAAGCAGAACGACAGGAGGAGCAGTAAAACAGAAAGCTTTGGTCCCTGAAGGCAGGCCGGCTAGGAGGAGTGGGGCAGAGACTGACCTCCCTTCCTGAGTACAAGGAAGGAAGTTTAAGGCCAGGTCTGGCCACTTGCCGCTCCAGGTTGTAGTTATATTTTTAAATTGTTTTATATAGACCAGGAAACGTGCACAATATGCAGAAACTGGCAGGAAAAGGATTCTCTCGGCCACTTACAGCCGTATATAATAAAATATTCCATTGTTCCCATCTGACCACGGACCCCCCCACACGTCACTGTTTTCGAAGGATTGACGAGGAATAGAGAAATGGAGGAAAGTCTACGTTAAGTGGTCTTTTCAGTGATCAAAATAACAGGCCTTTCAACATACCTAATAAGGCCACATAAAGGGGTATTATTAGTTCTCTGTACAGCTTATGGGGGGGCTGTAATATGATTGGAGAAGTTATCTTGGCTCTGCACCCTTTTCACACTCTGAACTTAGCACAGCGAGGTGGTGTATGTCACATACCTAGCACATTGTACTGTCACTCTCTCTGTCTGTGCACATGCAGAGACACACAACTGCACACACTTACCCACACAGAGACACACAAATGCACACGCACACGCATATACACAAATGCACAAGCACACACAGGACAGACATACAGACAGCCAGTTCAGTCCCTGCACTTCTCTTTTTACTCGCTGAGACAGTCTCCTCTATGGGAAGCACTGCCTTCTGTTTCAAACTACAGCTAGGACGCTGGAACTAAAGGATTCATAAATGGCCAAACACAGCAACTACCAAACACAATCTGTAATGCAAGCAACAAACAAGGCAACTACCAAGAACTACCGTCACTGTAAGGATCAAACACAGCAACTACCAAACACAATCTGTAATGTAAGGAACAAACAAGGCAACTACCAAGAACTACCGTCACTGTAAGGATCAAACACAGCAACTACCAAACACAATCTGTAATGTAAGGATCAAACACAGCAACTACCAAGAACTACCGTCACTGTAAGGATCAAACACAGCAACTACCAAACACAATCTGTAATGCACGCAACAAACAAGGCAACTACCAAGAACTACCGTCACTGTAAGAATCAAACACAGCAACTACCAAACACTATCTGTAATGCACGCAACAAACAAGGCAACTACCAAGAACTACCGTCACTGTAAGGATCAAACACAGCAACTACCAAACACAATCTGTAATGCACGCAACAAACAAGGCAACTACCAAGAACTACCGTCACTGTAAGGATCAAACACAGCAACTACCAAACACAATCTATAATGCAAGCAACAAACAAGGCAACTACCAAGAACTACCGTCACTGTAAGGATCAAACACAGCAACTACCAAACACAATCTGTAATGCACGCAACAAACAAGGCAACTACCAAGAACTACCGTCACTGTAAGGATCAAACACAGCAACTACCAAACACAATCTGTAATGTAAGGAACAAACAAGGCAACTACCAAGAACTACCGTCACTGTAAGGATCAAACACAGCAACTACCAAACACAATCTGTAATGTAAGGAACAAACAAGGCAACTACCAAGAACTACCATCACTGTAAGGATCAAACACAGCAACTACCAAACAAAATCTGTAATGCAAGCAACAAACAACAAACAAGGCAACTACCAAGAACTACCGTCACTGTAAGGATCAAACACAGCAACTACCAAACACAATCTGTAATGTAAAGAACAAACAAGGCAACTACCAAGAACTACCGTCACTGTAAGGATCAAACACAGCAACTACCAAACACAATCTGTAATGTAAGCAACAAACAAGGCAACTACCAAGAACTACCATCACTGTAAGGATCAAACACAGCAACTACCAAACACAATCTGTAATGCACGCAACAAACAAGGCAACTACCAAGAACTACCGTCACTGTAAGGATCAAACACAGCAACTACCAAACACAATCTGTAATGCAAGCAACAAACAAGGCAACTACCAAGAACTACCGTCACTGTAAGGATCAAACACAGCAACTACCAAACACAATCTGTAATGCAAGCAACAAACAAGGAAACTACCAAGAACTACCGTCACTGTAAGGATCAAACACAGCAACTACCAAACACAATCTGTAATGCAAGCAACAAACAAGGCAACTACCAAGAACTACCGTCACTGTAAGGATCAAACACAGCAACTACCAAACACAATCTGTAATGTAAGGAACAAACAAGGCAACTACCAAGAACTACCGTCACTGTAAGGATCAAACACAGCAACTACCAAACACAATCTGTAATGCAAGCAACAAACAAGGCAACTACCAAGAACTACCGTCACTGTAAGGATCAAACACAGCAACTACCAAACACAATCTGTAATGCAAGGAACAAACAAGGCAACTACCAAGAACTACCGTCACTGTAAGGATAAACACAGCAGCTACCAAACACAATCTGTAATACAAGCTACCAAACACACAAACAAGGTAATACCACGCAACAAACAAGGCAACTACTACCGTAACTGTAAGGATCAAACACAGCAATTACCAAACACAATCTGTAATGTAAGCAACAAACAAGGCAACTACCAAGAACTACCGTCACTGTAAGGATCAAACACAGCAACTACCAAACACAATCTGTAATGCAAGGAACAAACAAGGCAACTACCAAGAACTACCATCACTGTTAAGGATCAAACACAGCAACTACCAAACACAATCTGTAATGTAAGGATCAAACACAGCAACTACCAAGAACTACCGTCACTGTAAGGATCAAACACAGCAATTACCAAACACAATCTGTAATGTAAGAAACAAACAAGGCAACTACCAAGAACTACCATCACTGTAAGGATCAAACACAGCAACTACCAAACACAATCTGTAATGCACGGAACAAACAAGGCAACTACCGAGAACTACCGTCACTGTAAGAATCAAATACAGCAACTACCAAACGCAATCTGTAATGTAAGGAACAAACAAGGCAACTACCGAGAACTACCGTCACTGTAAGGATCAAACACAGCAACTACAAAACACAATCTGTAATGTAAGGAACAAAACAAGGCAACTGCAAAAGAACTACCGTCACTGTAAGGTCAAACACAGCAACTACCAAACGCAATCACAACAATGCAAAAGAAGGGCTGAAGCAGAGCAAGCTACCAGAACTACCGTCACCAGCAAGGGATCAAACACAGCAACTACCAAACACAATCTGTAATGTAAGGAACAAACAAGGCAACTACCAAGAACTACCGTCACTGTAAGGATCAAACACAGCAATTACCAAACACAATCTGTAATGCACGCAACAAACAAGGCAACTACCAAGAACTACCGTCACTGTAAGGATCAAACACAGCAACTACCAAACACAATCTGTAATGTAAGGAACAAACAAGGCAACTACCAAGAACTACCGTCACTGTAAGGATCAAACACAGCAATTACCAAACACAATCTGTAATGCACGCAACAAACAAGGCAACTACCAAGAACTACCATCACTGTAAGGATCAAACACAGCAACTACCAAACACAATCTGTAATGTAAGGATCAAACACCGCAACTACCAAGAACTACCGTCACTGTAAGGATCAAACACAGCAACTACCAAACACAATCTGCTTAATGCTTAAGCAACAAACAGGCAACTACAGAACTACCATCACTGTAAGGATCAAACAGCAACTACCAAACACAATCTATGGCCTGCGCAACAAACAAGGCAACTACCAAGAACTACCGTCACTATAAGGATCAAACACAGCAACTACCAAACACAATCTGTAATGCAAGCAACAAACAAGGCAACTACCAAGAACTACCATCACTGTAAGGATCAAACACAGCAACTACCAAACACAATCTGTAATGTAAGGAACAAACAAGGCAACTACCAAGAACTACCGTCACTGTAAGGATCAAACACAGCAACTACCAAACACAATCTGTAATGTAAGCAACAAACAAGGCAACTACCAAGAACTACCGTCACTGTAAGGATCAAACACAGCAACTACCAAACACAATCTGTAATGCACGCAACAAACAAGGCAACTACCAAGAACTACCGTCACTGTAAGGATCAAACACAGCAACTACCAAACACAATCTATAATGCAAGCAACAAACAAGGAAACTACCAAGAACTACCGTCACTGTAAGGATCAAACACAGCAACTACCAAACACAATCTGTAATGCACGCAACAAACAAGGCAACTACCAAGAACTACCGTCACTGTAAGGATCAAACACAGCAACTACCAAACACAATCTGTAATGTAAGGAACAAACAAGGCAACTACCAAGAACTACCATCACTGTAAGGATCAAACACAGCAACTACCAAACACAATCTGTAATGCACGCAACAAACAAGGCAACTACCAAGAACTACCGTCACTGTAAGAATCAAACACAGCAACTACCAAACACAATCTGTAATGTAAGGAACAAACAAGGCAACTACCAAGAACTACCGTCACTGTAAGGATCAAACACAGCAACTACCAAACACAATCTGTAATGTAAGGAACAAACAAGGCAACTACCAAGAACTACCGTCACTGTAAGGATCAAACACAGCAACTACCAAACACAATCTGTAATGCAAGCAACAAACAAGGCAACTACCAAGAACTACCGTCACTGTAAGGATCAAACACAGCAACTACCAAACACAATCTGTAATGCAAGGAACAAACAAGGCAACTACCAAGAACTACCGTCACTGTAAGGATCAAACACAGCAACTACCAAACACAATCTGTAATGTAAGCAACAAACAAGGCAACTACCAAGAACTACCATCACTGTAAGGATCAAACACAGCAACTACCAAACACAATCTGTAATGCACGCAACAAACAAGGCAACTACCAAGAACTACCGTCACTGTAAGGATCAAACACAGCAACTACCAAACACAATCTGTAATGTAAGGAACAAACAAGGCAACTACCAAGAACTACCATCACTGTAAGGATCAAACACAGCAACTACCAAACACAATCTGTAATGCACGCAACAAACACAGCAACTACCAAGAACTACCGTCACTGTAAGGATCAAACACAGCAACTACCAAACACAATCTGTAATGTAAGCAACAAACAAGGCAACTACCAAGAACTACCGTCACTGTAAGGATCAAACACAGCAACTACCAAACACAATCTGTAATGTAAGGAACAAACAAGGCAACTACCAAGAACTACCATCACTGTAAGGATCAAACACAGCAACTACCAAACAAAATCTGTAATGCAAGCAACAAACACAGCAACTACCAAGAACTACCGTCACTGTAAGGATCAAACACAGCAACTACCAAACACAATCTGTAATGCAAGCAACAAACAAGGCAACTACCAAGAACTACCGTCACTGTAAGGATCAAACACAGCAACTACCAAACACAATCTGTAATGCAAGCAACAAACAAGGCAACTACCAAGAACTACCGTCACTGTAAGGATCAAACACAGCAACTACCAAACACAATCTGTAATGTAAGAATCAACCACTAAGTCAAACCTCCTATAATATTGTAAAGCGCTGCGGTACTATATAAATGCCAATAATAATAAACCAAGATTGCTTTAATATGAGGCTTATGTTTGATGAAAAATGACAGTGACCCTTTGCATTATACAAACTATACAAACATATCTGAGTATCCCCATGAAATAAGCAAACCAGAGGATATTTCAATGATTGTCTTCATCCAACAGCCCCCAAGAGCTGTGTTCACATCAGCAATCTGGATCAATGTTTACTTACTACCAGGGTCTACTGGATGCCTGAATTATCAGCTAACTGTCAACTGTCTCACAAATACAACACAAAACAATGGGCACAGATCGCAATCAGAGTATGTGGCCTCCTGTAATCTGATCTGCGGATTTAGTAACAGTATCCACTCAGACCTTTTATCCCATTCCCAGATACAGATAAATGGAATTAAACCATTGATCTGCTGGGAGATTGGTCTACAAGATACAGAGAGCCTGAGCAGAAACTGTGAAATAATGTATCACGGAGCAGCCAGAGGAAGGATAATCCACAGGATTGGAAGAGGCATAATGAGGATGGGAGAGAAATTCCACAGAAAATGTTGATATACATCTTGACCTGTATCTAGGAGAATGTTCAGTAGAAGAATTCAGAGAGGAATGCCTTGAGAAAGACGCATTTTATTGTCTTGTTCACCAAGAGTCATGTTAAATGTTTAAAAACTTCTCAACACAACGAGTTCACTTGTTTGTGGGACAGTCTGCAAAACCACAGATTATACAACATGTACAATTCATTCCAGGAGCAATTCCAGCAATATTCAGTGTTCTGTCTGCAGTAAGATATTTAATCTTATCCTAGTCTGGGTAAACCTAACATGTCTCTATCTCACTGGACTCACCAAAAGAATAGAATTCCTGTAAAGGGTGATCTCCTGACTAATAATGTTTAATGGAAAATAGACTGAACATTTTAATTAGTAATAAGCTTTCCAAATGATTCAAAACTGTCAGAAAAACTTTAAAAGTAACTTATCTACAAAAATTCCAAAAGCCTTCAACGTCACCTTTTATAGATAATCCATTTAGAAGGTTTTTCTGACCGTATTACAGAATCATTTGGAAACATTATTAAAGGGAGGCCTTAGTTCAGCAAGTGAGCCATCCAAAATCTATAGATTTACAGGAAAATTCCCCATTCCCCATGCTCCGTTTTACTCACAGGAAACTTTCATTTTTGGGGGGCTTTTAATAAAAGGGCCTTGTCACTTAATGTTGAAGTGCATGACGGTGGGATAAATCAGTTGGTCTTAACAAGAACAAGAAAAAAAAATCTATTCTGAAATAACGTGCGGATATTGTTCACTAGTTTGTTCAAAGCACGTTAACCAAACCAAGGAATATCCGTCCAGTCGGATAGCGATATGAGGGCGCTGAGGGAACCAGGGAAATGAAACACTTGAAATGTGTCAGAACAATAATCCAGGTCAGCGGATGATGTGGGATGTTAATATAGGAAGTCATTAAATGGCTCCAGAATGAACCCATTCTCTCATTTTCAGCATTTATTGGGAATGGCGGGTGACTTGATTAGCTACAGTCTGTGGAATGGAAAAGAAAGTCTGGACCAAGCGAAGCTCCCTGGGTACAAGGACCAGTCAGTCGTAGGCTACAAGATACAAATTATTATCGTGTCTCCGCTCTGCGCTGCAGGTTGCCATTGTAGATTCTGGGTGGCGGTAGTGGTTTTCTCCCAGTGAATTGTGGTGACGAATGAACAAACCTGAGCTGATAGAATTTCTCCTAGCTTGCCTATTTCAATGAACATTTTGCAACTCGTTTGACCAGTCTCTGCTTACTAAACTGGCCCCAAAATCTACAAAGCGATGAATGATTTGAGCTCCTCGAATACATTGCAAAACTTGCCATGTTTCATATGATTAATACAAGTCAATGGACGTATTTCCAGTGAGGTCGTAAAGATGGCCGTCAGATAAGGCTGTGTTCCTGGTATTCATCAGTCAGGGGTGTGGGGGAAGGGCTGTTTGTGACTGGATTTACCTTGGAAGGAATTTAATCTAGAATACTCCTGGATGGAGAGAAGAGGTAAACGGCCGACATGCTAAAGACCTGCTTTCTATCACATTTCTCTTTTTACACTGTCTATTCTATTATAGAAAAGGAGCAGCACTGAGTATACTGTCTACACTGATTAATGACTGTGCAGCCAGCTACGAGGAGCCGAAAACAGAGCAAAATCTCCAGAGAACTTGCTTCAAACTCCGCTATTTTGGTTTAATTTGTTTTTCCATCCCCCGTGACTCGCTGTTTAGTAATAAGGCCGTGCCGTCTCTCAGTTTATTACATTCAGCTAAGAAAAACACAAATTGTTATTGGGCGTCACACGACAGAACGATAACGGCTTATCTGTCGATTAATCGGCAATTTGTTAATCATTCCAACGCTCCAGACAGATCAATATATTAATAATCAAACTCATTCCCTTCTTCCTCACTGAATTAAACGCAGCAAATTAAGTTACGTTATAAATGTGGACGATTTTTAACCTTTTCATGAACCGAAGAGGCAGCTGGTTGGTTCCCTCTTTATAAACACAGTATTCAGCAACAAACTGAATTCCTCTACATTACCACCTCTGCCTAAAAGACGTTTCATGCCTACACCTCCCTACCTGGGATTCTGGGTCATGGGAGTCAAACGTCCTATACTATTGTAAGGCGCTACAGTATTTGTTGGCACTATATAAATTCTGCCTACAATTACCATCACTTGCCCACGCCTCGCACAGATCTCCAGATTAACGGATTTTACATTAAATTGGGCAACGCCATTATTTCAAACTTATTTAAAATCCAGCTGGAATTTGATTGGCTGAGAGCACCAACCTATCAAAATGCAGCCTGCAGAGGGGATAGAGTGTTTTTCTCACTCTTGTCTCCCTGCAGCATCTATCTATGTATAACTTTATTCTAACTGCTATACATTATACTACAACCTTATTATGTCATAACACTAAAGGTATTACTGGCGTTCTGTAAACTAGATCACTCTGAAGCTATTTAGGAACACAACTCTCATCATTCTTAGCCAGCCCCAGGTTGTGTGGCCTGCACAGGGATTTGCCCAGGGGCAATACTATAATTAATAATCTGGAAGTGGAGGGTTTCATTGCGAAAGTGAAATAGCTTGTCCTCTGTTCCGATAATGTGGGGTAATGACGCTTAGAAAAACAGTAAGTTTACATGTGAAATAAATAAATGGAGCCCTCCTGGCAGCTTAGCTGGCACTGAACGCGTCGCACATAATAATCACTTGTAGACTCGCTGAAGGTAGATTGCGCTACCAACAAGCAGCGACACCTCGGCCCAGCGTCCGCAGCAGGTAATATTTCAGAAAACACTGCTTTTATTTCATGGCAATTCAGCTCACAGAGCAGCGACCACGTGTCCCCTGCAGGTTTCCAGAACCAAAGCTAAACAAATATTGTGAGTTTCCAGAAAGCCATCACCATAACTCAGTCCCACAGCTGGAATTCAACATGAGATGATTGCCTTCAGCACTCTTATCTACTACACAGCCAAACAGGGACTGGTGCTAGAAACCCCCCTCACTCCCACTCACGTTAAATCAAAGCAGCCCCGGCCACATCCATGAGATAGCAGCAAAGGATGGGAACAAGACGAAAATCTGTGATATACTCATATTGTACAATACTGGGAGAGTCAATGCTATGGAGCTCTGTGATATACTAGCACACTACTGGGAGAGTCAATGCTATGGAGCTCTGTGATATACTCATATTGTACAATACTGGGAGAGACAATGCTATGGAGCTCTGTGATATACCCATATTGTACAATACTGGGAGAGTCAATGCTATGGAGCTCTGTGATATACCCATATTGTACAATACTGGGAGAGACAATGCTATGGAGCTCTGTGATATACCCATATTGTACAATACTGGGAGAGTCAATGCTATGGAGATCTGTGATATAATAGCACACTACTGGGAGAGTCAATGCTATGGAGCTCTGTGATATACTCATATTGTACAATACTGGGAGAGTCAATGCATGGAGCTCTGTGATATACCCATATTGTACACTACTGGGAGAGTCAATGCTATGGAGCTCTGTGAAACACACACACTGCACATTGTTGTGAGTTTTATTGGTGTGGAGCTCTGTGACACACACACACACTGCATATTACTGGGGGTTTTATTGATGTGGAGCTCTGTGAAACACACACACTGCATATTACTGGGGGTTTTATTGATGTGGAGCTCTGTGAAACACACACACTGCATATTACTGGGAGTTTTATTGATGTGGAGCTCTGTGAAACACACACACTGCATATTACTGGGAGTTTTATTGATGTGGAGCTCTGTGACACACACACACTGCATATTACTGGGAGTTTTATTGATGTGGAGCTCTGTGAAACACACACACTGCATATTACTGGGGGTTTTATTGATGTGGAGCTCTGTGAAACACACACTGCATATTACTGGGAGTTTTATTGATGTGGAGCTCTGTGAAACACACACACTGCATATTACTGGGGGTTTTATTGATGTGGAGCTCTGTGACACACACACACTGCATATTACTGGGAGTTTTATTGATGTGGAGCTCTGTGAAACACACACACTGCATATTACTGGGAGTTTTATTGATGTGGAGCTCTGTGACACACACACACTGCATATTACTGGGAGTTTTATTGATGTGGAGCTCTGTGAAACACACACACTGCATATTACTGGGAGTTTTATTGATGTGGAGCTCTGTGAAACACACACTGCATATTACTGGGAGTTTTATTGATGTGGAGCTCTGTGAAACACACACACTGCATATTACTGGGGGTTTTATTGATGTGGAGCTCTGTGACACACACACACTGCATATTACTGGGGGTTTTATTGATGTGGAGCTCTGTGAAACACACACACTGCATATTACTGGGGGTTTTATTGATGTGGAGCTCTGTGAAACACACACACTGCATATTACTGGGAGTTTTATTGATGTGGAGCTCTGTGAAACACACACACTGCATATTACTGGGAGTTTTATTGATGTGGAGCTCTGTGAAACACACACACTGCATATTACTGGGGGTTTTATTGATGTGGAGCTCTGTGACACACACACACTGCATATTACTGGGAGTTTTATTGATGTGGAGCTCTGTGAAACACACACACTGCATATTACTGGGAGTTTTATTGATGTGGAGCTCTGTGACACACACACACTGCATATTACTGGGAGTTTTATTGATGTGGAGCTCTGTGAAACACACACTGCATATTACTGGGAGTTTTATTGATGTGGAGCTCTGTGACACACACACACTGCATATTACTGGGAGTTTTATTGCAGGGAGCTCTGTGATTACAATGAATATTCTAAACTCCTGAAAAGCTATCATGATCTGCAATAAATATAAGGATTGAGGAGTCTCCCAGGAAACGGTATGGTGTTTATGTTGGTAAAATGTGATTTATAATTCCATGTATTAACATTTACACACTGTGTAATAAGGCACCATGTTCCAGACATTGAATAAATTAATAAAATAAATTTAATGCAGAGAAGGAAACTTACCACCAGATACAGCATTGTGTACATCGAGAAGGAAGCGTGTCCCGAAAAGAAAGATTTCCTGTTAGAGATAAAAAAAGGTCGATAAGCCATTGTGGACTTCGAATCCTACCAATGGGATTTTACGAGGGCTGAATCACCAGTTTATCAAGCTCCCTGTACATTTAACTCTGCCCTGCCCAGAAAGCTGTGTGCCTGGAGATTTATTGATTTCGAAGCAATAAGATGATAATAATATAAATATATATAGGTTTTAACAAATCGCTCTTTGTAGCAGCTCCAACGAAGAGTGGATTTGCTTTACATTTGTCATTTAGAACAGATTTGTCACATTTAACCTCTCACTGAGTGATACAATGTTTGCTTCCCTTAATAACTGTATCTGGACAGATAAACATTAACAGGACACATCACACACTACATCGGCAGTAGGTACATTGAACTTTAATCACTTATCTTATGTTGTCTTTAACTGGTATCTTTGTCTGCTAATATATTTGCTGTTGTGAAGTGAAAGCAGACCTACCTTTGTTATACCTTTATACAGAAAGTTCAATGACTGCATGCTACGAAGAATAATAGAATGTGACGGCAGATAAGAACCATTCGGTCCATCTAGTCTGCCGATCGGCTGCGTATTTACCTGGCTTCCCTGACTTTGCTCTCTGAACCTCTGCATTCATAATCCACGATGTAGTGCAAGGAGCAGTTAGTCGTATTATAGACAGGATCGCAGACCGCCAGGAAATGAGGACGCAGGCGACCGATAGACACCTTGGCAATATCCGTGAAGGACTGGCTTATAGCACAGCCGAATATAAAGCATCCAGCTTGCTTATACAGAGCTGCCACGTAGGGGTTCTGAATAAAAGAATGGGACCTCTCCTTTAAGTAATGAATCCGAAAAAATTCTCCAACGATTATCTGCGGACACAATAAAAAAAAAAAAAATTACATTTATTTAAGAAGTTAAAACAAAATAAAACATCATAGTTTGTCACCCAGAGTCAGTCAGGACAACGCACACACATGAGTTATGATCCTAAAGTTTGAATTACAAACGCCACACTCTTTATTAATTAGAGAATTGTCAATAATTCAAATTACATTTTTTAGTCATTTGTGTAATCCTAAATAGCAGAATTTGAAAATTCTCGATGTCCGTTACAGTTTCAGTTGAGCTATTTTGGCTTCAGAGAGGAACAGTGAGTTTTTGAAAGCTATAGTTTGGGGGAGATTAATGGCGTGTAATTCAGGGCGTCTGGGATAGATTAGTTCCCACTGATGACATATCCTACTTTTATTAAGCTAGAAACGCTCTGCAAACAAACCCCAACATGTTAATCTTGCTGTGTCTGCCACAATCACTAGAATGGCCTAGAATTCTGCGCCTGCAGATTATCGCAGCATACAACCCTGCGTGCACTAATGCAACCTGTAACAAATTCATGTTTATTGAAAATTCTCATTCACCCGTGAAGTGAAATCACTCCCAACCTGTCCTATTCAGACAGCTAATACAATAAACCTTCCACACCCTTTCAACTAAGATATCAGCGCACGGAGAAGGGAGCGCGAATGGGACGGCCGTAAAAATAATGGAGTAGGGGCTGGCACAGACGCTTTTTAAAGCCCTTCATCATTAAGGCCTATTTACACATGAATGAAAAAAATCTCAGAACTCTAGTCACCCCTCGCTTTCCCACGAGGCCATTTTCATTTGTCAGCGTGGCCTTATTTTTAAACAAGCGGCCTCAGTGAATAACTAATACTCGTTTGAAGAGCAGGGATGATGTGACTAAGCCACCACAATTTGCCTTGTATCCCTCCGATTCTGTTATATAACCGGCCGTCCAGTGCCGCACCAAGCGGCAGCCAAGCAAAGCTTTATCTCAATAGTGGCTCCCGCTAACGAGCAGCCAGTTGGTGGGTCTGATGGCACCCAGTCAATAGATTAGATATTATGCTTTAATTTAGCACTGTTTGACCATGTCTTCCTCATAACATCCTAACAACGACAAACACACAAACACAAAGAAGCAATCTTTAGAATTAACTGCTTCAGGACTCACATAGGGTACGCTAATTCACAATTAAAAACAGAATCTTGTAAACAAAATAGTAAGGAGGTAACTGCCTATTGCTGATTCTGTCAACTAAACCGACTCACTCAGCTGCTCACAGTACGGACACAGCATCAGAATACTGAGAATAAAATAATCTAAGTGTGAATTATGGGTCTCTATCGCCAGGTATGACCCCGCCATCACCTTCCATCAAACACACATTTAAAATAAGTGTTTCTTTCTGTCTCCTTTAATAAACGGGAAATTATAAGAAACATTCAGCAAAACTCTCAAAGAACAAAGAGAGCGATTTTCAATGCAATAAGAGGAGGAACGTGCTGCAATTATGTGTATTTAGGAATTCCCAAGGCATGTTAAATAATTGCGGCTGAGCCTGTTATTGTTAGCTCTCTATCCAGGATAGGACGATTTGAAAGGTTAACAATACATTTTCACATTATGGATGTCTTCACTTGAAAAAGCAAAGCCTGGGGATGTAATGTTCTCATAAAGCAGAGTTATTTAATCCCGGCCTTGGACAGGAACGTAATACGAATTAGACAAATAAATGAAAGGGGACGCTGCCTTCTAAAATATGAAATATTATCTATGTGTGACACAAATATATTATTATTTAGACATCATTCTGTTATCACATATTATTAGGATATAACACTGTTATATAACTGTTAGATATTATTATTGTATTATACAACTGTTACATATTACCTAAATATTGGATATTATCTGGGTGTTATTTTGATATCATGCTAATACACAATGATTAAATATTATCTAGATATCACGCTGTCATCGGATATTATCTAGATATCATGCTGACCCACAATAAGATATTATCTAGATATCACGCTGTTGGCAGATATTATCTAGATAGCACATTGTTATCAGATATTATCTAGATATCACGCTGCCATCAGATATTATCTAGATACCACGCTGTTATCAGATATTATCTAGATACCACACTGTTGGCAGATATTATCTAGATACCACGCTGTTATCAGATATTATCTAGATACCACACTGTTGGCAGATATTATCTAGATACCACGCTGTTGGCTGATATTATCTAGATACCACACTGTTGGCAGATATTATCTAGATACCACGCTGTTATCGGATATTATCTAGATACCACACTGTTATCCGATATTATCTAGATACCACACTGTTATCCGATATGATCTAGATACCACACTGTTATCCGATATGATCTAGATACCACACTGTTATCCGATATGATCTAGATGCCACACTGTTATCCGATATTATCTAGATACCACGCGGTTATCAGATATTATCTAGATTCAACGCGGTTATCAGATATTATCTAGATACCACACTGTTAGCAGATATTATCTAGATACCACACTGTTAGCATATATTATCTAGATACCACACTGTTATCAAATATTATCTAGATACCACACTATCAGATATTATCTAGATACCACACTGTTAGCAGATATTATCTAGATACCACGCGGTTATCAGATATTATATAGATCCCACGCTGTTATCAGTCATTATCTAGAATCCACGCTGTTAGCAGATATTATCTAGATACCACTCTGTTATCAGATATTATCTAGATACCACACTGTTATCAGATATTATCTAGATACCACACTGTTATCAGATATTATCTAGATACTACACGGTTATCAGATATTATCTAGATACCACGCTGTTATCAGATATCATCTAGATACCACGATGTTATCAGATATTATATAGATACCACACTGTTAGCAGATATTATCTAGATACCACACTGTTATCCGATATGATCTAGGTGCCACGCTGTTATCCGATATTATCTAGATACCACACTTATCCGATAGTATCTAGATACCACACTGTTACCAGATATTATCTAGATACCACACTGTTATCCGATATTATCTAGATACCACACTGTTATCCGATATGATCTAGATACCACACTGTTACCAGATATTATCTAGATACCATGCTGTTATCAGATATTATCTAGCTATCACGCTGTTATCAGATATTATCTAGATACCACACTGTTGACAGATATTATCTAGATACCACGCGGTTATCAGATATTATCTAGATACCACACTGTTATCAGATATTATCTAGATACCACACTGTTGACAGATATTATCTAGATACCACGCGGTTATCAGATATTATCTAGATACCACGCTGTTATCAGATATTATCTAGATACCACACTGTTATCAGATATTATCTAGATACCACACTGTTAGCAGATATTATCTAGATACCACACTGTTAGCAGATATTATCTAGATACCACGCTGTTATCAGATATTATCTAGATACCGCACTGTTATCAGATATTATCTAGATACCACGCTGTTATCAGATATTATCTAGATACCACGCTGTTGGCAGATATTATCTAGATACCACACTGTTGGCAGATATTATCTAGATACCACGCTGTTATCAGATATTATCTAGCTATCACGCTGTTATCAGATATTATCTAGATACCACACTGTTGGCAGATATTATCTAGATACCACACTGTTATCAGATATTATCTAGATACCACGCTGTTATCAGATATCATCTAGATACCACGCTGTTATCAGTCATTATCTAGATACCACGCTGTTAGCCGATAGTATCTAGATAACACACTGTTACCAGATATTATCTAGATACCATGCTGTTATCAGATATTATCTAGATACCACACTGTTATCAGATATTATCTAGATACCACACTGTTATCCGATATGATCTAGGTGCCACGCTGTTATCCGATAGTATCTAGATACCACACTTATCCGATAGTATCTAGATACCACACTGTTAGCAGATATTATCTAGATACCACGCGGTTATCAGATATTATCTAGATAACACACTGTTAGCATATATTATCTAGATACCACACTGTTATCAAATATTATTTAGATACCACACTGTTATCAGATATTATCTAGATACCACACTGTTATCCGATATGATCTAGATACCACACTGTTATCCGATATGATCTAGGTGCCCCGATATTATCTAGATACCACACTGTTATCTGATAGTATCTAGATACCACACTGTTAGCAGATATTATCTAGATACTACACGGTTATCAGATATTATCTAGATACCACGCTGTTATCAGATATCATCTAGATACCACACTGTTATCAGATATTATCTAGATACCACAATGTTATCAGATATTATCTAGATACCATGCTGTTATCAGATAGTATCTAGATACCACACTGCTATCGGATATTATCTAGATACCACACTGTTATCCGATATTATCTAGATACCACACAGTTATCCGATATTATCTAGATACCACACAGTTATCCGATATGATCTAGATGCCACGCTGTTATCAGATATGATCTAGATACCATGCTGTTATCAGATATTATCTAGATAACATGCTGTTACAGATATGATCTGATACCACACTGTTATCCGATATGATCTAGATACCACACTATTAGGAGATATTATCTAGATACCACATCTAGATATTATCTAGATACCACACTGTTATCAGATATTATCTAGATACCACACTGTTAGCAGATATTATCTAGATACCACGCGGTTATCAGATATTATCTAGATACCACGCTGTTATCAGATATTCTAGATACCACACAGATACCACACTGTTAGCAGATATTATCTAGATACCACACTGTTATCCGATATGATCTAGATACCACGCGGTTATCCGATATTATCTAGATACCACACTGTTATCTAGATACCAGTTATATTATCTAGATACCACACTGTTATCCGATATTATCTAGATACCACTGTTATCAGATGTTATCCGATATGATCTAGATACCACACTGTTATCCAGATATTATCTAGATACCACGCGGTTATCAGATATTATCTAGATACCACACTGTTATCAGATATTATCTAGATACCACACTGTTAGCAGATATTATCTAGATACCACGCGGTTATCAGATATTATCTAGATACCACACTGTTATCAGATATTATCTAGATACCACACTGTTAGCAGATATTATCTAGATACCACACTGTTTAGCAGATATTATCTAGATACCACGCGTTATCCGATATTATCTAGATACCATGCTGTTATCCGATATTATCTAGATACCACACTGTTAGCAGATATTATCTAGATACCACACTGTTAGCAGATATTATCTAGATACCACGCGGTTATCCGATATTATCTAGATACCACGCAGTTATCAGATATTATCTAGATACCACACTGTTAGCAGATATTATCTAGATACCACGCGGTTATCCGATATTATCTAGATACCATGCTGTTATCCGATATTATCTAGATACCACACTGTTAGCAGATATTATCTAGATACCACACTGTTAGCAGATATTATCTAGATACCACGCGGTTATCCGATATTATCTAGATACCATGCTGTTATCAGATATTATCCCCTCCTCTCTCTAAGTGTGGACTCTCACATATGGTAACACTCGATGCCAGCTGTAAGTCAGTGCGCAGAACTTTGAGAGATATTTTTCCATGCAATGTCTGCCGTGTTCATTTGTTTGAAATTGAGAGCCGTGTACATTGCCTTCCCTCCCAATTTATTTTCGGTTTTGTGCACATCTATCCGCATCTCTGTAGGTGGTGCTAACAGTGACACACATGGCTAACCATTTATATTCTACCAGTTAAGCAGTGGGAGTCACTGGGCTGTGATTTTATTTCCTAGGAATACAGGTTGTCAGGTTGGACTGCTGGGGGATCACACTTTACTAAGAATCTCACAGCTCCACAAATAGTGGTTTGTAACAATTTAAATAAAAATAAAAAACCATAGACATAGGGGCTCCAAAATGAATATTCACGAAACAGAGTGCCGTGGCCAAATCTCCAGTCTGGGTGAGTGTCACTCTGAGGGAACAAACAGCCAAGTCTTTGGTTCTAATAAAAATACAATAAATATATTCCAACAATCCATGTAATATCCTAAAAAAGACATTGCAAACATAGAAAATAAGAACAAGCAATGCTAATACCCGAATCTGAGTATCTACACAAGTACCGATATGGCGTCTGCGTTATCACCAACTGTATTTACCTTGAAAATGTCTGACTCGGGTTAATATTTATCACAGAATCTGATAATTCTATGTTTTGCAGAGGTAATTCATGACCAAATTATTAAGTAATTCACGTATCTCTATGCTTTGGGGTCATAACAAGGAGAATGGTTCATTAACGGATGTTTAAATTTAACGCCGTAAGTATATACTCCATCACAATTTGCCCTTGGCAGTTGCCACTAAATTATTAGTAATATTCCGTTATCTTTAGGAACAAAACTGATTTCACTTACACAAGTTAAAACACAAATCTTTCTAAATCAATGTGAGTAAAATAAAAGCATTTGAACAGAAATCTGATTTTTTTCTGATCACAGAGTTACCGTTTAATATTTTCGACTGACCCCTTAATGGAAAAAAACTTGTAACATGTACGGCAGGGCTGCCCAAAAGGTAGATCCCGAGATGTTTTAAAACTACAGCTTCCATGATGCTTTGTCATTTTAACTATTGAAAACCTGCAAGGCTCGGCTGAACGCTCTGCACAAACTGTAATGTTTGCTTGTGTTTATATTATGGCCCTCCTAGAAGATGAAACCAAGGAATCTCATTCCAGGATCTATTTTACCATCACATTTGTCCATGTATTGCAATGTCCCTTTAAAAAGGAGATTTTTTTATTTTATGTACAAAGGCTGAGTCACTGAGACATCGAGCATCTCCGGTCAATAAGTGCGTCACTTGGTATATTTACTATTTAGAAGTGGGAAGTTATAAGTGTTTCATTTCAGAAACAAATTCAATAATCATTAAATACACATCAAAACAATTGTGTTTATTAAATAAGGGGGGAATTGAAGATAAATGACCAGGAAACAGGAAATATTATTTCAAATCGGAATTCCCAGTTGGCTGTTGGTCCCCCGATTCCCTGGTCATTGTCTCCAACGCCCCACCCAGCTCTGAATTCATACCGCAGGTAAATATGGCAAGAAACAGCACAGAGAGAAAAACCCAAAGCAACATCGATCCCAACACCAGCGCAGAGAGTAGAGTGAATCAATAAAAATCACACATATAGGGCTTATTCACTAAACAGCTTCAGGCAAAGCCAAATGGATATTTTTTGGAAACTCAGATAATTTTGTATAATTCATTCAGTTTAGCATAAATCACTGATAAGTGAATAAACCCCCAAAATAGTTCTCAATATTAAGACCAAAAAGAAACGAAATGTGTGTTCAGTATATTAGATATACAGTATATGTGTCCGCAGTATATTAGATATACAGTATGTGTGTGTTCAGTATATTAGATATATGCTATGTGTGTCCTTAGTATCTTAGATATGCACTATGTGTGTCTGTAGTATATTAGATATACGCTATGTGTGTCTGTAGTATATTAGATATACACTATATGTGTCCTTAGTTTATTAGATATACAGTATGTGTGTGTTCAGTATATTAGATATACACTATGTGTGTCCGTAGTATATTAGATATGCACTATGTGTGTCTGTAGTATATTAGATATACGCTATGTGTGTCCGTAATATATTAGATATACGCTATGTGTGTCCTTAGTATCTTAGATATGCACTATGTGTGTCCGTAGTATATTAGATATACGCTATGTGTGTCCGTAGTATATTAGATATACGCTATGTGTGTCCTTAGTATCTTAGATATGCACTATGTGTGTCTGTAGTATATTAGATATACGCTATGTGTGTCTGTAGTATATTAGATATACACTATATGTGTCCTTAGTTTATTAGATATACAGTATGTGTGTGTTCAGTATATTAGATATACAGTATATGTGTGTGTTCAGTATATTAGATATACACTATGTGTGTCCGTAGTATATTAGATATGCACTATGTGTGTCTGTAGTATATTAGATATACGCTATGTGTGTCCGTAGTATATTAGATATACGCTATGTGTGTCCGTAGTATATTAGATATACGCTATGTGTGTCCGTTGTATATTAGATATACGCTATGTGTGTCCGTAGTATATTAGATATACGCTATGTGTGTCCGTAGTATATTAGATATACGCTATGTGTGTCCTTAGTATATTAGATATACGCTATGTGTGTCCGTAGTATATTAGATATACGCTATGTGTGTCCGTAGTATATTAGATATACGCTATGTGTGTCCGTAGTATATTAGATATACGCACTATGTGTGTCCGTAGTATATTAGATATACGCTATGTGTGTCCGTAGTATATTAGATATACGCTATGTGTGTCCGTTGTATATTAGATATACGCTATGTGTGTCCGTAGTATATTAGATATACGCTATGTGTGTCCGTAGTATATTAGATATACGCTATGTGTGTCCTTAGTATATTAGATATACGCTATGTGTGTCCGTAGTATATTAGATATACGCTATGTGTGTCCGTAGTATATTAGATATACGCTATGTGTGTCCGTAGTATATTAGATATACGCTATGTGTGTCCGTAGTATATTAGATATACGCTATGTGTGTCCGTAGTATATTAGATATACGCTATGTGTGTCCGTAGTATATTAGATATACAGTATGTGTGTCCGTAGTATATTAGATTTACACTATGTGTGTCCGTAGTATATTAGATATACACTATGTGTGTCCGTAGTATATTAGATTTACACTATGTGTGTCCGTAGTATATTAGATATACGCTATGTGTGTCCGTAGTATATTAGATATACACTATGTGTGTCCGTAGCATATTAGATATACGCTATGTGTGTCCGTAGTATATTAGATATACGCTATGTGTGTCCGTAGTATATTAGATATACACTATGTGTGTCCGTAGCATATTAGATATACACTATATGAGGCCATATCAGCACAAAATGCTGTAATATTGTCAAATCGATGCTGTCACTAAAGACATTTTATTGGATTTCTTAATTTGGAATTTCTATCCCTGTTTTGCTCGGCAATCGCTACATTTTGTGATAAAGAAGCCGCAGTAGTAGGAACACGATGCCTAGAATGTAACATCGTGCCGAGGTGGGGGCATGGCATGAAAGGTTCTACTAATCTCGGCCTTAGCGGCATTGCGCCATCCTTCTTTATTGAAATGGCAGGATGTATGGGGTGGGGAGCAGGGGGGTTACTGAAAGAATTAAATACAAGTATTTTCAAATTCTTGCTAAATTCTGATTAACTATAAATTAAACACCAACTAGGGTAGAATGTGTTTAATGGTTGAGAAACTTTAGGGACTTTTGAGCAGACAGATATCCGCACCCAATAATCCTTACAATGAAATAAATATGCTCATGGAAAAGAAATGGCCAATTCTAGCACTTACTGTGCCGGCTCAAGTTACAGCGTCTTTGTGTGTTTGTGTGTGAAAGAGGTGCTTTAGAGAGAAAGAATGCAAGACACGGATTATACTTGATTGACAGTTTGCAAACTTACAGCAAGGATTGAGATAAGAATACCGGCCGCAGAAAGGACAGTGTCACTAATAGTTTCAGATGGTTTGTAGGGGTACATGATGCTTTCGTCTTCACAGTAAAAGCCCCGATGGTAAGGCTCGATTCTGTTAGTTTCAATTATCAGGAAAGGGAGGCCAGCTAGCAGAGAGCAGAGAAGACAAGAACAACATCTGTAAATCTACAACATAATCATAGAAATAAAATGCAATATCATGGACCTCGTGGACAATGCAACGCTTCTTGGGTGAAATAGGCTTTGGAGCTTTGAACATGATGGCAAACTAAAGGCAAGAGCAGATTTGAAGGTCCGAACCCTGAACTTTGCCAGCCTTGTATTATTCTTTAAGATGTGTCAATATGGGAAGAAAGGCAACGTCCGCAGGAGACAGAAGATGTTATTGACGTTGAATAACCATGGCTGACGTTTGACAAATGTAACAGCTTCCGATACAATATGATTTGAAGTGATCTAAAAGTTTACCAAATACCCCGACATGTCAGCTTAGGGGGAGTTTAATAGGGTTTCTCCAGGGGTGGTGGGACTTAAGGCGTTGGCCTTTCCACCATTTCAAACATCTTGAAAACACGAATGGCAGCATAGTGTTTGGGTGTTTTCTATGTTTAATATTATTAGATCTCCAGTCTATTTTAGTCCAATAATTCAAATGGTAAATGGAAAGTTAGGGACGGTTGGCCGTTAATGCAGAGGTGTGGGCAATTTGAAAATATTTATCAAAATCCACCTTGCGATTTCTCATGACTCATTAAGCAGCCAATTCCTCCAGAAGGTTGCATGGCCACAGAGATCCGTGCGTATTGCACACATATCACTTACAGAGACAATTGCCACCAACACCCCCAATGTAAGTAGCAGAGGCACAGATACAGTGCTTTTCTTTATCTCATATCTGATACTCTCATCGTTGCAGTAAAAGCCCCGCTGGTAGGGCGTGACAGCAGACGTGTTCAGCACCACTGCTGGGAGAGAAACTGTGAGGATAAATATGAAACATCACAATTACAAAGGGCTCAGGTTTCCAAACATCCCTCTTAACAACTGGCTCAGTGGCATGTTCGATCTTCCAAGGCCACCGGAGTGACACATAGCATGCCTTGCTCAGCGCTCTGGCACTGAAAAACCCAACATGGGCTCCTACATGGGACATGGAGATCATACTCGTCCTGATGGGAAGAGCTAGAAGCCAGCATTTATTCTCTCAGAATTCTTTTTTGCCACCATTAGTGAGGAACCTCTTTGCAGTAGGTGTCAGCTAGCTCCACCCATGAGGAATAGCATCTTTGTCTAAGTATAAAAACAGGGAACAACAAGAAGAGCATTGTAGCAAAAAGATATGCATGAGAAAACAGACAGATTGAAAACGTGTCGCTTTTGAAAGATACAAGTGCTATTATTTAAGTCATAATAAGCATTAAAGTGACAGGGCACTTGCAATGGAGGGGTAAAAGGAAAACACAGAAAGGAAAAACATGGGGACTACCATGAAAAAACAACAACAAATACAGTTCAGTTATTAGATTATATTAGTAAATATATTTTGCATGACATTTAGAACAGATGCACAGAAAACATGTAACCACAATGGCTGCCCTACCTAGCTGTCACATTACTCCACTGATACATGAATAGCACAGGAAACGAAGTGAAGATGGAATGAATAATTTGAAAACGTGTCGCTTTTGAAAGATACAAGTGCTATTATTTAAGTCATAATAAGCATTAAAGTGACAGGGCACTTGCAATGGAGGGGTAAAAGGAAAACACAGAAAGGAAAAACATGGGGACTACCATGAAAAAACAACAACAAATACAGTTCAGTTATTAGATTATATTAGTAAATATATTTTGCATGATTAGAACAGATGCACAGAAAACATGTAACCACAATGGCTGCCCTACCTAGCTGTCACATTACTCCACTGATACATGAATAGCACAGGAAACGAAGTGAAGATGGAATGAATAATTATATTTATTAGAAATATAGGACTTGGATAAATTATTATTACGATTGGCATTTATATAGCACCAACATATTCCGCAGCACTGTACAATATTATAAGATGGGGAAAAATTGCAATAAATAAGACAATTACAGGAGGTATTGTTTGAGGAGGACCGTTTACAATCTAGAGGAGGTGGGTATAAAGACACAATAGGACAAGCATTCAGAAATAGCAGTAAAAAGGAGGCATCTCATTGCACTCTCTAAACATTGATAAATGAATCCCGTAAAATAGAGCATTTCTATAAATTAATTAAACAAATGAAACAATATCAGCTACATTTCTTAACAAGGCCCTGCAGCAAAGTTTCAATTTGATAATCTAGCCAAGCTCTGGGACAGGGAGCTGACGTAGGCTATTGATAGGACACTGATCTTCTGCAAATGGTTTTGGCATGACAATCTGCAAAACACATGTTACAGTGCTCAATAAAACTCACTGGAATGTTAACCACTTCTTCTCTGCAAGGATCAGGACAGTCGCAGTTCAATCTGTTATTTTAGTTTTAAATCCATCCAATTCCTAGAGAGGTTGACAGCTCAGCAGGCTCCTATTCCGAAGGACGCTAAGTATTTTCAGATGTTGTTGTAAAGTGCTGAATTCTTGAAGAGGCCAAAAGTTGAAGAGTAAAAAACCCCAATGCTATATCAGGGATTGGATTCCATAACAACAAGGGCGAACGTTATACCTTCAAATAAAAACTAAATACTGGGTCTATGTAGCTAAAGAGTAATCATTCATGAGGACAAATATGTCCTGATCTCCGAGGATGGCCTCAACTGACCTTAAATAACGTTTTATAAAGTGAATATTTACAGATATTTATATAAACCTCCAGCTACCAGCGTCTAAAAATGAAAAAACGTACTTCATGTCAGTCCTGAACAGACTTCCACCTTGATAGAGGTCCGATATGCTCATTTAATGCCCCACCATTGTTAAACAGCCCATAGTCTAATAGTCAGTCTGTGAATAATCAGTATTTAGACCCCTTGTATAAAACAGAATCCAATAGAGAACACAAGTTAAACTTCCCCATCACACAAACCATAATATCGTTGGCCAAAGACCATCTCCAAATAGTGTCTCCTACAGAAGGAATAAGGTAATGATTGCCAATCTTAAATCTCGTAACATGGTATAATACTATTACTGCTACAAATTGATCAGTTGAATTAATGGGAGTTATTTAAAATGACTCTTGAAGCTGAAAGGAAAATTGAATTGTTCTAACGAGATCTCGCTGAAGACCTCATGTGAAATATCTGAATTGGTCATTATTATTTTTTGCCTTGTTCGGGATTTCCAGATATTGGAAAATTGAAAAGTTAAACTAGAAGGAACTTGGAGAGCTGAACCTCATACATTCAGCTCACAGTAGGACGTCATTAATTACATATTAGTTAGCGATATGCAGTATGACGTCATTAATTACATAGTAGTTAGCGATACACAGTATGACGTCATTAATTACATAGTAGTTAGCGATACACAGTATGACATCATTAATTACATAGTAGTTAGCGATACACAGTATGACATCATTAATTACATAGTAGTTAGCGATACACAGTATGACGTCATTAATTACATAGTAGTTAGCGATACACAGTATGACATCATTAATTACATATTAGTTAGCGATACGCAGTATGACATCATTAATTACATATTAGTTAGCGATACACAGTATGACATCATTAATTACATATTAGTTAGCGATACACAGTATGACATCATTAATTACATATTAGTTAGCGATACGCAGTATGACATCATTAATTACATATTAGTTAGCGATACACAGTAGGACGTCATTAATTACATATTAGTTAGCGATACGCAGTATGACGTCATTAATTACATATTAGTTAGCGATACGCAGTATGACATCATTAATTACATATTAGTTAGCGATACGCAGTAGGACGTCATTAATTACATACTAGTTAGCGATACACAGTATGACGTCATTAATTACATGTTAGTTAGCGATACACAGTATGACATCATTAATTACATGTTAGTTAGCGATACGCAGTATGACGTCATTACATATTAGTTAGCGATACGCAGTATGACGTCATTAATTACATACTAGTTAGCGATACGCAGTATGACATCATTAATTACATACTAGTTAGCGATACACAGTATGACGTCATTAATTACATACTAGTTAGCGATACGCAGTATGACATCATTAATTACATGTTAGTTAGCGATACACAGTATGACGTCATTAATTACATGTTAGTTAGCGATACGCAGTATGACATCATTAATTACATATTAGTTAGCGATACACAGTATGACATCATTAATTACATATTAGTTAGCGATACGCAGTATGACATCATTAATTACATACTAGTTAGCGATACACAGTATGACATCATTAATTACATATTAGTTAGCGATACACAGTATGACATCATTAATTACATATTAGTTAGCGATACACAGTATGACGTCATTAATTACATATTAGTTAGCGATACGCAGTATGACGTCATTAATTACATACTAGTTAGCGATACACAGTATGACATCATTAATTACATATTAGTTAGCGATACGCAGTATGACATCATTAATTACATATTAGTTAGCGATACACAGTATGACATCATTAATTACATACTAGTTAGCGATACACAGTATGACATCATTAATTACATATTAGTTAGCGATACACAGTATGACATCATTAATTACATATTAGTTAGCGATACACAGTATGACATCATTAATTACATAGTAGTTAGCGATACACAGTATGACGTCATTAATTACATGTTAGTTAGCGATACACAGTATTACGTCATTAATTACGTATTAGTTAGCGATACGCAGTATGACATCATTAATTACATACTAGTTAGCGATACACAGTATTACGTCATTAATTACGTATTAGTTAGCGATACGCAGTATGACGTCATTAATTACATATTAGTTAGCGATACGCAGTATGATGTAATTAATTACATACTAGTTAGCGATACGCAGTATGACGTCATTAATTACATGTTAGTTAGCGATACGCAGTATGACATCATTAATTACATGTTAGTTAGCGATACGCAGTATGACATCATTAATTACATGTTAGTTAGCGATACACAGTATGACGTCATTAATTACGTATTAGTTAGCGATACGCAGTATGACATCATTAATTACATGTTAGTTAGCGATACGCAGTACAAAAATATCAATGGAGCAAAATTTAGCAATAAAAACAAAAGTGTCTCTTGGCAGAGTATGATCATGCAAAACTGACAACATGCCCAGGGCTATATTTACTAATGTCAAGTTTCTGGAAAACACCTTTAAACCTCAATTTTAACAAATCAAAATAGACTATTTTTATAATGTTCAGCAGTTAACAAAAAACTCTAATGAAAAATATCTCACTGGAGTATTTTGCAAAAATAAAAAAATACAAAACAATTAAAAAAAACTTAAAACAAAGGCTAAATAAACAAACTGAGTCCCTGTTTAGGAGGTCGATGCTGGTAAATATCACATGGCATTATCCCGTCGTTATTTATTATTACATATCACAGAAAGTACTAAACTGGATGGAAATATCCTTCAGGTGACGTCTTGACAGTGTAAATAAAGGAAAGAGTTAACTGTGCTCCCGGCTGCGGAGTTTTGCTGGCCCCATGGGAGGGGGGTTGGAAATATCTCTTTAATATTTGCAGTGCCGTATTTTGGGACAGAGCCCAATATATGTGAGAGATGCCAGCGAGCTCGGGGACGGACCAGCCTCACGGCTCACACTGTAAATATTACGCTTTCATGCGACAGGGGGGCTATTTTAAGCAGCTCAGGACTACCGGTCTTGGGGCACATGCAAACCTTGTTTAGTTTGTAATATATGCTCAGATTATTGAAACTGGCACGCTTCCCGAGTCGCTGGTGCTGTGGGCGATTTTTCTCGGCCTTGGAATCTTTGATTCTCTGCGAACAAATTATGTCTGTGTACACACCTATATATAAAGTGATTTCACTAAAGTGCTTTATGTACGTTTACCACCCTGGCTGTGTTATGAAAATTAATATCTTCTTATATTTTATGAGAACAGAGCGTCTTACTGTAATCCACATTAAAAAAAAGGATTATTTATAAATGTTTAAAAAGTATTACACTGCTAGCTGACTATTCCCTCTCTCTTCATAACCAGGATACCCCTAATTCTCAGTACCTCTCCCTGTGCCTTTATCTGATCCCCGAAATCCCTGCAGCGTGGCAAAGCATTGAAGGATACACTCAGAGAGGGAAGATGTGCACAATGACACATTTATCCTTTAATTAATCAACAGGACAGCGCATTCACACACATTTCTCCCATCGAATCGTGACTAGGAGAGCTGTATGTTTAACTATAAAGGGGGTTCTGGGAGATTACAGCTGGCCTTACTTTGCCTGATTGTCTTCACTTCCTGCTAGGAGAGGAAGATAAAGGCTGGAGCTAAGGCACATGGCGATGTGTATTCCTGTAAATTAAATCACAGCGACATTAACATGATCCTCGATTATAGCTTTAATATCCATAGAATTTTAATATTACAGGTCACCGGCCCATACATTCTGTACAGATATTATATATGTCCATGCTGCAGAATGTAATCACCTGATCACGCATTTCTAGCAGGGAAATGATTTTTGAATAATCAAACTATTACTCATTTTCCTAACCTTTCCCCTTGCATTCTATAGATTCTATCTACGCCCACGATCTGTATTGCTGAATTCTACTTTATTTAGAAGCTGATGAAATCTGATCTGAACCCCAGAGCCACATGTGAGTCTGCACAGCTTCAGCTCCACATCCCATAATCGGCATATTGCATGTCCAGTCCTATAAACCAAGTAACAATGTGGCAATAAACTCTGGTATCCACAGGATACTTCAGGCACCAGGACAACCAAAGGGGCATGTTATAACTCACGGGAAATCTGTCTTTCAAACTCCAAATACCAGTGATTATACTATCACTTTACAATCTAATGCTTGCTGTAACAAACGTGGAATAAAACAACATTTAAAATACTATGGTGTAATATTCGGAGAAATGAGCAAACTGCGCATGCACTGCTATATCACATTGATTCTGGGAGATAATCAGCTAATTCTGAGCGTATGACTTCACACATCCTCAACAATTATCCCATAGTAAACTACGGGAGGCTAGTTTAATCTGATTCATTTTTTTTAAAGCACCCTTCATACATTAGCTATAATCTCCATTAAAATCAATGCTGTCCTTTACCCTGGTTTGTTATTTTACTAATACCATAGAATCGATTTGTACATGATTTAACCAAAGATCTGAGTACATATAAACTGATCTAGTTTACAATCCAAAGGTCTCAAAAGTATATGATTGTTAAAGAAGGCATATCTAAAAATCCAGTCTTTAGTATTTCTCCTCCATAGGACTGCAAAACGAAAGAAAGGCTATATCTTAGAAACATAAGGAACTTATTAGATAAATTCATTCTCTTAGTTGTGTCAAACCAGTAGTACATAAAGTATATAATGTGTACAGTGTTACCTAGACTTTGCATCTACGCAACACATGACAGTTCTGTGTCTTGTAAAAGGCAATAACCATTAATGCAGATTTTACGCAGGCCGGCTGTTAACGTAATATCCGATTTATGTGATTCCAAGAGTTGCAAAGAACCAGACAACATATCTTAAGGCAACAACAAGAGCTTTCGGTGGCCAAGTCTGTCAATGTTTGTATTGTAAATGGAAAATCCTTCTTTAGCACCGGCGGCTGCCACCTGCGTAAATAGCGTCAGGATGTATCCGTGTAACTAAATACAAACCTGGCAAGATTAACTGGGGGAAAGGAAAATATTCTGCATCCTACCAAAACGAGTCACAAAAAGAGAATACGGTAATAAAAAAACAAAATAAATGCATCAAACAATACGACTCTCCTTACAAGATAAAGCAGAGTAGCATGTCCCACTATATCATAGCCGTTAAAGTGAAATAATAAAAATGATGGGCTATCATAGCATCGAACGTACAAAGTAACTCCGCAAACAGGGAGGAACATACTGCCGGGGTTCTAAAGGGAGGAACATACTGCCGGGGTTCTACAGGGAGGAACATACTGCCGGGGTTCTACAGGGAGGAACATACTGCCAGGGTTCTACAGGGAGGAACATACTGCCAGGGTTCTACAGGGAGGAACATACTGCCGGGGTTCTACAGGGAGGAACATACTGCCGGGGTTCTACAGGGAGGAACATACTGCCGGAGTTCTACAGGGAGGAACATACTGCCAGGGTTCTACAGGGAGGAACATACTGCCGGAGTTCTACAGGGAGGAACATACTGCCGGGGTTCTACAGGGAGGAACATACTGCCGGGGTTCTACAGGGAGGAACATACTGCCGGGGTTCTACAGGGAGGAACATACTGCCGGTGTTCTACAGGGAGGAACATACTGCCGGGGTTCTACAGGGAGGAACATACTGCCGGGGTTCTACAGGGAGGAACATACTGACGGGGTTCTACAGGGAGGAACATACTGCCGGGGTTCTATAGGGAGGAACATACTGCCGGGGCATCTTTCGAACTGTACTAAACAATGGATTGGGCTGACTTCACAAACAAATTTAAGATGAAATAGAAAAACAAATCTCCATTTCTACTATACTGGAGATTCTCTCCAATTCTGATATTTTTAAAGTAAATTACGCTTATCAAAAATAGATTTTTGGTAAATATTGCCCATTCTTTTGCCCGGTTAAGGAAAGGTTGAAATCTCCAGTAACGGAATGTTCTGTCCAGAGACATAAAGTGACAGTAACGGAATGGGACGCTGTGTCCAGACACGTAAAGTGACAGCAACGGAATGGGACGCTGTGTCCAGACACGTAAAGTGACAGCAACGGAATGGGACGCTGTGTCCAGACACGTAAAGTGACAGCAACGGAATGGGACGCTGTGTCCAGACACGTAAAGTGACAGCAACGGAATGGGACGCTGTGTCCAGACACGTAAAGTGACAGCAACGGAATGGGACGCTGTGTCCAGACACGTAAAGTGACAGCAACGGAATGGGACGCTGTGTCCAGACACGTAAAGTGACAGCAACGGAATGGGACGCTGTGTCCAGACACGTAAAGTGACAGCAACGGAATGGGACGCTGTGTCCAGACACGTAAAGTGACAGCAACGGAATGGGACGCTGTGTCCAGACACGTAAAGTGACATGGGACGCTGTGTCCAGACACATAAAGTGACAGTAACGGAATGGGACACTGTGTCCAGACACATAAAGAGACAGTAACGGAATAGGACGCTTTGTCCAGGGAGATTCGTCACAAGAATAGTATTTATTGAAGCACTTGGTAATTGGGCTTATATTTGCTCAGTCACCTGGCCTCAACAGGAAAACACTTTAGTCCTGTGGCACGCAGGTTTTAATGGATCATATGATCACAGGGAGATCTCATCTGTTCCCACGGGAGAGATTTCACATCTTTGGTGGTTCTGCTGCTGATCCCCATTCAACGTATTCCAACTCCCAGAAAGACAAAGGCTCGGCTGTGAAGGCCCATTGTCAGTGTCCCACATGCTAATGACCTGTGATGGTTAAAGAACTCCCAGTACCGTGCAGGTTAACCCTGACTACTCAGAGTACGGACGTCAGTCACTGTGTACAGAATACAATGCGCAAGTGTTTCATGGCAGGAATAGTGAGGGCTAATTCCAATGTCCTCTTTCAGAATTCGAGTAACAATGTCCGTCCTGCACAATGTGAATAGCATTCTTGGAAGACGGGCTTCAACAAGCTGAACGGGAAAAGAAACCCCTTTGGATTCATTGTGACCAAGTGTCAACAACGAGCCTTCTGTTCTTCGACTTGGATCCAAACAGCAGAGTCCATTATTTCACTAATCCACGCACACCACTCATCTTACTAGTTAGAGAGCCTCTCATTGCTGAAAAAGGAACGTGAGTGATTTTTAAAATAAAATAAAAAGGCCGTCCTTATTTTTTTATTAATTCCACCCAAGCAGGACTTGCTTTGAAGTGTAGTAGACATGATTATATGATCGGGCTGAAAATGATCATTCTGGTATTTAAAAATATATTTCAGTTTCGTCACATCTGGTAGATTTTTACAAAACCTGGAAATGTTTATTTTATGCCGAGGATGTCCACCTGTTTCTATATTGTAAACTGGTATTAGCTCTCCTCGAACTGTGACAATCACATGTTAGAAAGACTACAATTTTTTTCTGACCTCCTGCCCTGTGGTTTTTGGGTTGGCAGCAAGCACGGGATTGGCAGAAAGGGAGCCACCCCTGCACATGAAGAAAAGGGCAGATGCCAAGAATGTTCTAGCTCCTTTGTAATCAGTCTTGAAAAGCCTTCATCAATCAGACAGCGAACTCTTTGCTAAGTTTTCTGTACGAGATCCTGGGAGAGTTTAACGTTTGACACATGGCGTGCCTTGAGCTGGGGGCAGTGGGCTCATAATTACCGGCGACCTGGTGCCAAAAAGAAAAAAAATATATAACATAATGCTTGGAAAGCAGAGTAACGAGTATCATTATACAGATTACAGGAGAAAGAGAATCGGGTTAATACTATACAGTAACTCTTTGCATTCTAAATCGAGAGAGGAGAATGCATTGCAAGGATCCAGCATTTACATTCAAACAAAGGGATATTTTAACATCCTTGTTATTCGTGATACATAGAAACCCAGTTCACTGCCCATAATTAACAAATCATTATTGCTAACAGTACTAGGTATCTGTCCTGCATCTTCTCTCCGATCCTCCGAAAACATTGTTTTATAAAACCGGGAAGCGGCTGAGCTTTATCAGCCAATCCCTGGCTACCTGTTCAATCCTACCCGACACAGTGTAATGGAAACTCAGTAACTGCTGGATGACCAAATGACAACATTCCTTTTGGGACTGAAAGGACAATAGGGAATCACACCATCCCCCATGGTAATGAAATAGCGAACCACCCTCTAGACCTGGCACCATCTAATCACTATGGGGCCCACAGAAAATGGCCTGGTATGTTCATTGTAAGCTCCAGCCTCCGATAACAGTGTGCTGACAGACTGCACCGGTGGGAAAATGGCAACTGTCCCCGAATGGCTGTCATAATACGACAGCGTTTGGCCATAATGATACAGTAGCAGTGACAGTATAACCACGGCCTGACGCAGCCAGCCACGAGGAACCAGACATAGTAAACAGCAGCTCACGTGGGAACATGAGATACACAGAGTCAAAGCTGAATGATACGAACCCACGCTCCCTGCCAAGAGGTCACAAGTAAAAAGATCCCATCAAGAGGATAGGGATTCAATAAATCATTCTGTCTGAATACTAATAAGGTTTTAGTATTCGTTATTCGCCATATCATACAGAATTAGACACTTTGTGGGTTATCACTAATACTCAGCCTTAATAAACCGTGTGGCCGTTATTAACAATTTATAGAACTAAAATGTAATTTATAACAAGAACAATGGATCTTATTTACACAGACTGATTTCTAAACACATTTATTGTAGTTTAAAGACACATTACTGGGAGTATTATTGGTGTGGAGCTGTTATACACTCAGACACATTACTGGGAGTATTATTGCTGTGGAGCTCTGTTATACACTCAGACACATTACTGGTAGTATTATTGCTGTGGAGCTCTGTTATACACTCAGACACATTACTGGGAGTATTATTGCTGTGGAGCTCTGTTATACACTCAGACACATTACTGGGAGTATTATTGCTGTGGAGCTCTGTTATACACTCAGACACATTACTGGGAGTATTATTGCTGTGGAGCTCTGTTATACACTCAGACACATTACTGGGAGTACTATTGCTGTGGAGCTCTGTTATACACTCAGACACATTACTGGGAGTATTATTGCTGTGGAGCTCTGTTATACACTCAGACACATTACTGGGAGTATTATTGCTGTGGAGCTCTGTTATACACTCAGACACATTGCTGGGAGTATTATTGCTGTGTGGCTCTGTTATACACTAAGACACATTACTGGGAGTATTATTGCTGTGTGGCTCTGTTATACACTCAGACACATTACTGGGAGTATTATTGCTGTGGAGCTCTGTTATACACTCAGACACATTACTGGGAGTATTATTGCTGTGGAGCTCTGTTATACACTCAGACACATTACTGGGAGTATTATTGCTGTGGAGCTCTGTTTTAATCTCAGACACATTACTGGGAGTATTATTGCTGCGGAGCTCTGTTATACACATTGCTGGGAGTATTATTGCTGTGGAGCTCTGTTATACACTCAGACACATTACTGGGAGTATTATTGCTGTGGAGCTCCGTTATACACTCAGACACATTACTGGGAGTATTATTGCTGTGGGGCTCTGTTATACACTCAGACACATTACTGGGAGTATTATTGCTGTGGGGCTCTGTCAGACACATTACTGGGAGTATTATTGCTGTGGGGCTCTATCAGACACATTACTGGGAGTAATATTGCTGTGGAGCTCTGTTATACACACAGACACATTACTGGGAGTATTATTCCTGGGGAGCTCTGTTATACACTCAGACACATTACTGGGAGTATTATTGCTGTGGGGCTCTGTTATACACTCAGACACATTACTGGGAGTATTATTGCTGTGGGGCTCTGTTATACACTCAGACACATTACTGGGAGTATTATTGCTGTGGGGCTCTGTCAGACACATTACTGGGAGTATTATTGCTGTGGGGCTCTGTCAGACACATTACTGGGAGTAATATTGCTGTGGAGCTCTGTTATACACACAGACACATTACTGGGAGTATTATTCCTGGGGAGCTCTGTTATACTCTTAGACACACCAACAATATGGAGCTCCTACCATTATCATTACATCGAGAGGTCCTGTGTAAGGACTGATGGAGGGGTGAGCTGTGGAAGGAGTGATTCTATAACCATTTTGCTATTCTTCTTCCCCTGTATTATTGATTCGGGAGCAGGAAGAAAGTCCATTTTACATTTTATTGTCCTGCCTTCATTCAACTTACAATTGTGAGTGCAATATACCTCTGATTTTATTATGGTGTTTTATTGTATTACACTACTTTTGGTCCTTTTATTGTAGATAGAGTGTACATTTATATGTGGAAGGAGTGTGTCTGGGCCATTTGTTATAGATTGTCATGTGGAATCTGGTATGAGACCACCGGGGAGTGGATTACAGTAGTCAAGGCAGGAGATAATTATGGTGCGGATAAGACGTTGTGTTGTATGGGCGTTAAGAAGGAGCTGATATGTGCTGTTTTAAGATGAAAATGGTAGATTTAGAGATTGACTTGCTGAGTGGAGTGAAAGAGAGGTCAGAGTCAAAGAAGACGCCATGGCAGCGGGCCCGTGGGTAGAGTTGGCTCTCGCGCCTCTCTGCCCGGCTGAAAAGGTTCATTGTTTATACCATTGAGCTTCTCAAACTCCTGATGTATCCTGAAGTTGAACCCTAAACGTCTTCTCATGGTGAAAACTCTCAGCAACACAGAGCTTTCGCCAACATGTTAGTGGTCCGTAACAAGCCAAGAAACCTTAGAACACATTGAGGAACAGCTTTTATGGGAAGGAAATAGAGAATTTCAAAGCAAAAAATGACAACAAAAAAGGATTAGTGAAATGAAAGAAAATACTTGAATTATTCACCAAGGTATATAAACCAATATCAGTGACTGATGAACTAAGATAGATCTAGTGAGCGTTGACATTAAACATAACCTTGCATTATTTATCTGAAAATTAAGAAAAATGGAAATGAGTAAAGTTGTGTTTTCGTTTAATTCACAGTAAAAATCTGAGATCAACTCTCGTTCCATGTAAATACACTCCATGTGTCGTTAATTACAGCGCTGCACAATTTTGACGCAAATTCTTCACTGAGCTACCCGGTAAGTTTACGTAGTCATTAGTAACATGCATTTGGACTGGCTGAGGGAACAATGCAGCAATGAGTCAGAACCTATGATTGGCTGAATGGCTCCTTGCCACATTGTATCACTATACTGCTGCTCGATGATGTAGCGTTATCGCCACAGTTTGCAATAAATTAGCTCCTGAAAAAAACAGGGCTATCGCTGTGAAGAGGATTTTCTAAATGTACACGTCTCTTAAAGGTAACAAATTCCAGTGGCCAGGTATTCACCATTCAGTTTAACACGATTGGTGAACTTTCACACGCAATTCATTGTGACCCTACAACATGGACAGATAACACTGGCTGTAACATGGAGTCCGGGTCTGGCTGATTTCTCTGGTTTTGGACCAGGAAACATGTTCTGGCTTCTGAGGACTTAGACACTTCAACAACATCAGAAAGATTGATGGTTTGAATAAACAGCGTATACTAAAAGAACGCCATGATATTTTCATTATTGTTTTTCTAACTCCCTAAACAATAACTCTGCACATTTCTGATGTGGGTCGTCCCACCAACCCCCTCAAAGCATTCTGCGTTGGTTAATGGACTGTTTGTTCACCTTTTCATTCGGACGTATTCTATCAAGTATGTATTTGTCAAACTTCTTGGCCAGCATCATAGTACTTTCCTTTATCTGAGAAACTGCATTCACCCCAGCGCGCAGAGAGCTGGCTTCCAGGATAATGATGCTTCCATTCACTTTCTCTGCGTGTGAACAGAGCTTTAGACAATGAGCCCCCAAGCAAACTGAACCTGTTGCACAATACCCAGCTCTTTTAATCTGGAATTACTTCTCCTATCGCCGCGTTAGTAAGATTTTCTAAAACATGCTGGATCTCCAGAATAAAACCAAATTCAAATTTAGAAAAACTCAATATAAATCTGATCACAAAAAACAATTCGTAAGAACTGAGAAACGAGACGGTTATAAACGTCCAGACCATAGTTTGAGGCACATTCCTTGAATTGTGGGAATTTCAAAAGCCAGAACAGTTCATTTACATGACAAAGCTTCATTGAATTTAGTGAATAATATTTGAATTCTGATTCCAGGAAGGTCTCCGCGTTGTTAGCAGGGATGGAGGTTTTAACGGTTTAAACCGTATAAGATAAATTAGAATTTAATTGCTAAGCATGGTGGTTTTTGGACGCAGGATTTTATTTTTGGAGTGCATGTTGTTTGTGCGATGCTAACGACGGCCGTGCTGAATGATGTATGTTAAGAAATGCACAGTGTAAGTTCTTGGCTCGTTTCTATGGAGATTCCACTGAAACAATAAGTATTGTAATCACTTTTGAAAAGGATCTGTGGGAAAAAACTAACTGGCATTGGCCGCTGCCGAACGCGTTGGCTTTCAGCGAGGGAATTCAATGGCCAGAGAAATGCAAAGTACAATGTCGTATTCACTTTTCAATGATACTAAATTAGATCAGACAGTTGAAAGGGACTATTGTTCTAGTTATATGTCTGAGCTTCTTTTCCAACTTTGTTTATTTTCTAATCAAATGACTGACATAACAGAGCAAAGACTGCAAGTTCCTAAATCATCATCTGGGAGATCTCTGGAGAGTGAACACAGAGCGAGCCCCGGTACAGCATCCAATGAATAGGGAGATTTTAGGATGTGCATTTGATGTTGTTAATGACTAGCCCAGTCCTGGGTACAAACTGTTTAGCTGGCAATGGATGATGTCGGTGAAGGGCACTTTTTAAGCCCAACCATGCCAACAACTACATATTTTCATCTAGAAGGTTAAAAAATCACATCAGTTGCAAACATTTAGGGTGCGAATCACCTTATACCCAACACAGGGTCTGTATCACCTTATACCCAACGCAGGGGCGTATCACCTTATACCCAACGCAAGGTCCGTATCACCTTATACCCAACGCAGGGTCCGTATCACCTTATACCCAACACAGGGTCTGTATCACCTTATACCCAACGCAGGGGCGTATCACCTTATACCCAACGCAGGGGCGTATCACCTTATACCCAACGCAGGGGCGTATCACCTTATACCCAATGCAGGATGCGAATCACCTTATACCCAACACAGGGTCCGTATCACCTTATACCCAACACAGGGTCCGTATCACCTTATACCCAACACAGGGTCCGTATCACCTTATACCCAACACAGGGTCCGTATCACCTTATACCCAACACAGGGTCCGTATCACCTTATACCCAACGCAGGGGCGTATCACCTTATACCCAACACAGGGTCCGTATCACCTTATACCCAACACAGGGTCCGTATCACCTTATACCCAACACAGGGTCTGTATCACCTTATACCCAACGCAGGGGCGTATCACCTTATACCCAATGCAGGATGCGAATCACCTTATACCCAACACAGGGTCCGTATCACCTTATACCCAACACAGGGTCCGTATCACCTTATACCCAACACAGGGTCCGTATCAGCTTATACCCAACACAGGGTCCGTATCACCTTATACCCAACGCAGGGGCGTATCACCTTATACCCAACGCAGGGTCCGTATCACCTTATACCCAACACAGGGTCCGTATCACCTTATACCCAACGCAGGGGCGTATCACCTTATACCCAACGCAGGGTCCGTATCACCTTATACCCAACACAGGGTCCGTATCACCTTATACCCAACACAGGGTCCGTATCACCTTATACCCAACACAGGGTCCGTATCACCTTATACCCAACGCAGGGGCGTATCACCTTATACCCAACACAGGGTCCGTATCACCTTATACCCAACACAGGGTCTGTATCACCTTATACCCAACGCAGGGGCGTATCACCTTATACCCAACGCAGGGTCTGTATCACCTTATACCCAATGCAGGATGCGAATCACCTTATACCCAACACAGGGTCCGTATCACCTTATACCCAACACAGGGTCCGTATCACCTTATACCCAACACAGGGTCCGTATCACCTTATACCCAACACAGGGTCCGTATCACCTTATACCCAACGCAGGGGCGTATCACCTTATACCCAACACAGGGTCCGTATCACCTTATACCCAACACAGGGTCTGTATCACCTTATACCCAACGCAGGGGCGTATCACCTTATACCCAATGCAGGATGCGAATCACCTTATACCCAACACAGGGTCCGTATCACCTTATACCCAACACAGGGTCCGTATCACCTTATACCCAACACAGGGTCCGTATCACCTTATACCCAACACAGGGTCCGTATCACCTTATACCCAACACAGGGTCCGTATCACCTTATACCCAACGCAGGGGCGTATCACCTTATACCCAACACAGGGTCCGTATCACCTTATACCCAACACAGGGTCTGTATCACCTTATACCCAACGCAGGGGCGTATCACCTTATACCCAATGCAGGATGCGAATCACCTTATACCCAACACAGGGTCCGTATCACCTTATACCCAACGCAGGGGCGTATCACCTTATACCCAACGCAGGGGCGTATCACCTTATACCCAACACAGGGGCGTATCACCTTATACCCAACGCAGGGGCGTATCACCTTATACCCAACACAGGGTCCGTATCACCTTATACCCAACGCAGGTCCGTATCACCTTATACCCAATGCAGGATGCGAATCAGCTTATACCCAACACAGGGTCCGTATCACCTTATACCCAACGCAGGGGCGTATCACCTTATACCCAACGCAGGATGCGAATCACCTTATACCCAACACAAGGTCCGTATCAGCTTATACCCAACACAGGGTCCGTATCACCTTATACCCAACGCAGGGGCGTATCACCTTATACCCAATGCAGGGTCCGTATCACCTTAAACCCAACGCAGGGGCGTATCACCTTATACCCAACGCAGGGTGGGTACCACCTTATACCCAACGCAGGGTGGGTACCACCATACCCAACGCAGGGTGGGTATCACCATACCCAACACAGAGTGCATATCACCATACACAACACAGGTTCCGTATCACCATACACAACACAGGTTCCGTATCACCATACACAACGCAGGTTCCGTATCACCATACACAACGCAGGGTGCGTATCACCTTATATCCAACACAAGGTCCGTATCACCTTATACCCAACACAAGGTCCGTATCACCTTATACCCAACGCAGGTTCCGTATCACTTAATACCCAACGCAGGGTCCGTATCACCTTATAGCCAATGCAGGGTCCGTATCACCTTATATCCAACACAGATTCTGTATCACCATACCCAACGCAGGTTCCGTATCACCTTATACCCAACGCAGGGTCCGCATCACCTTATACCCAAAGCAGGGTCCGTATCACCTTATACCCAACGCAGGGTCCGTATCACCTTAAACCCAACGCAGGGTTCGTATCACCATAACCAACGCAGAGTGCATATCACCATACACAACGCAGGTTCTGTATCACCATACCCAAGGCAGGGTCCGTTTCACCTTACCCAATGCAGGCACTGTACCACCATATAACAAATGCAATCTCCGGGTCACCTTATCCCTAAAGCATTGTCAATACCACTGTATATCCAACGCACGACCCATGCCACTGTATACCCAACGCAGGGTCCATACCACAGTATACTCGACACAGGGTCCGTACCACCGTATACCCAACGCAGGGGTCCGGGTCACCTTACATCCAATGCAGGTTCTGTATTACCTTATATCCAATGCAAGGTCTGTATCACCTTGCCCAATGCAGGGTCTGTACCAGCGTATACCCAATGCAATGTCCATGTCACCTTATACCCAACACAAGGTCCGTATCACCTTATACCCAACGCATGGCCTGAAACGGTATATCTAACACAATGTCCATTTTACCTTATACCCAACGCAAGGTCCATGTCACCCTATACCCAACGTAAGGTCTGTATCACTTTACTCAACACAAGGTCTGTTTCAACTTATATCCAATGCAAGGTAGGTATCACCTTATATCCAGCATATAGGTATCCACCCCAGGGTTAAACCCATCCACAACAGGGTTATACCACTGTCACATCCTGTCCCTAGCTGCGGATCATTCTGGCTATGGCTTCTTCCTGGGATCCGCATAAGCTGATTCAGGGTCTTGGTATGTGGCGGCACAAATGCTGGTGCTTAACACCAGGGGGCATGCGGTTACCCTGCTCCAGACCCTGCTAATCCACCTCCACACTGTGACTCCTACTCTGAACATCAGGCATACTGGCTCCCGGTCCTCGCACCGCCTCCCGGACAGTGTCTGGGTCCCGGGCACTGGACCGCCACCCTGACAACCACCCCATTGAGTTGCTGTGATCTAAACTCTAACCCTTAATAACCCCCTAGGACAAACATTTCAATTCAGCTCACCCAGAGAGCCTACGGCTGGCTTATTGTGGATTCCTCATTAATTAACCGGATTGGTGCTGGGTAGTGCAAGGTGCAGAAATAAAATTTACTGACCACCCACCCCTATCACAGTGGTGGCTGACTTTTCATGGACTATACTCTCATGATTCTCAGCATTAGGCTGGCTGCGCTTTGTGAGAAATCTACAACACCTGCTCTGGCCAGGCTCAGCATTATAATAAATGAGAATAAATGACAGAAAGGAGATTTTTTTTAATCTTTTGCGAGTGTTTTCCTGCCAGCTGTTATAACAAAACCCCTCAGATACTTTGCGTGGTACATCCGCTGCCTGGATCTCTGCCAGCGAAGCCCACTGGATAATAATTCTGTCATTTACCGGCTGGACGCAGGAAACGAGCAGTGTTCAATGTGGAGAGAAGCACAGAAAGGTGACGCAATATTTTGCTTTTCATTTCATGAAAAGCTGGACGTTAAAATCTGCAACATTAACTCATTGCAGATTCACTAAAACGGAAACTGGAAGAATACTTATTTTCCTTAAAAATAAACAAATAAAAACTTCTGAACTCCCGATAAGAAACACAGTGCTCTTTATATCTGCAACATTGTAAAGGATTTTGTGATGAACAGACATCCAATAGGCCATTGCTTTTGGACTCCTGGATCAGGACGTAAATCTAAGGTCCCAGGCCATTTTAGTGGCTCGCAGTTTCAGGGGTTAAACTCTGCTTCTAACAGTAATTAGAAAAAATAAATAATTTCCAGCAGCTCCCCAGTAACTGCCACCAATACATGGTTACACTAATGTTCTCCCTCCCACCGCGCCTAGAACACTGGGAATTATCCCAACAGTGGGAAAAGGCAAAATACCCTGACACTGGGAAAAGGCCAAATACTCCGACATTGAGGAAAATCCAAATCCCCCGACACTGGGAAAAATCCAAATACTCCGACATTGAGGAAAATCCAAATACCCTGACACTGGGAAAAGGCCAAATCCCCCGACACTGGGAAAAGGCCAAATCCCCCGACACTGGGAAAAGGACAAATACTCCGACACTGGGAAAAGGACAAATACTCCGACACTGGGAAAAGGCCAAATACTCTGACATTGAGACAATCCCAAATACCCCGATACTGGGAAAAGGCCAAATACTCTGACATTGAGGAAAATCCAAATACCCTGACACTGGGAAAAGGCCAAATCCCCCGACACTGGGAAAAGGCCAAATCCCCCGACACTGGGAAAAGGCCAAATCCCCCGACACTGGGAAAAGGACAAATACTCCGACACTGGGAAAAGGACAAATACCCCGACACTGGGAAAAGGCCAAATCCCCCGACTGGGAAAAGGCCAAATGGGAAAAGGCCAAATCCCCCGACACTGGGAAAAGGCCAAATCCCCCGACACTGGGAAAAGGCCAAATACTCCGACATTGAGGAAAATCCAAATACCCCGACACTGGGAAAAGGCCAAATCCCCCGACACTGGGAAAAGGCCAAATACTCCGACATTGAGGAAAATCCAAATACCCCGACACTGGGAAAAGGCCAAATACTGCAAAGTGGAAAATTACCCTGGGAAAGGTACAAATACCATTAAACTGGGAAATTACCCTGACTCTAGAAAATGTCTAATGAAGGGTTTTATAATCATTTGCTACAATTTGTCACCGGGCTAACTGTACAACTGAAGAATGCCATTTTTATTTACATCCTGGTCAAAAAAGGAACACCGTCATTAAAAAAAATTTAAAACGTCAATATATTTCTTTTTTAAATTATATATATTTCCTTCTTTAGTTTAGATTACGCCCTCCCTTGTTTTTTGTGTAAAACTTCCCTTTATTCGAGACTGCTCCTGTAAATCCTAATGACAATCGTCCAATCAGATGCTTCCCACAGATGCGTGCGCAGCAATCGCTGCACTTGGTCAGTACAGTGCTTGCCAATGAGAATCCCTGAATCCGATCCTTCGATCAGAGAAACATGGACACATATAGAATCCAGAGTCAAAACCCCCTGCATGCGGACACTGGATGATGACTTTATTTATGTCAGAAGCCCGTTGAGGCCACATTCTCTGAGAACACCGGCACCAAAATCATTTCACCAAGAAAAAGAAATGTTGTAATTCCTGCCCAGTTTCTTGAAACACTCAGGGCTCAGTGGAGGCCGACCCAGACCTAAATGTGGGCAGCGTAGCTACGAAGGTTAATGGGTGCATTGATTAGATCCAGTCATTGTCCTTATTACTGGCAGTTACTGTACATTCACCCATCCAGCAGCTTCTTGCACATGTTTAAAGAATGTAATTCAGTTAATATATAACAAACCTCAATCCCTGACCCCTCTCGCTGCCAGGACTCTGTTTATAAAGTCTACTCACACTTCACATCCTTCACGTGGATCGTTTTCTTTTGCTCATGTTTTTATAACGACTTTAAAAGCTGTGCCAGTGCTGGAATAACGAGCGTTCTCACAGGGAAAAGCAAATTGGAGGAAGAAAGAGAAATTAACTGACAGAACGTATCTGCAATATCACAAAGGATTCCTGAAATCTCGGCTTTCTATTTCAGTTCCTCAAAATGTAAAGGATTATGGGACAAGTCTGGTATAAACTCTGCTTGAACACTATCACGTATAGCATTACAACGATGACATTGCGTTCGTGCTATGTAATAAAAGCTCACACAATGAATTGGGGCCCGTCCTGGCACAGTGAGAGGGCCCCTCGTGGCCTGACCCATGCAGGGTAGGAGGGCTCCATTAGGCACCCATGGTTGAGCCTTAAATGATTTGCGATTAGCAATTCCCTGAGTTTCCTGGAAAGGGTTAGAATTTCCTCTCATTACTGAAATAAAATATCTTTCACTCACTGCACTAAACCAGGAAACAGAAATATTTTTTGTAAATATTATAAACAGGGTGGGCTAAATTAGTCCAATATGCTCGCACACATTGGTGAAATACTTGGCATTTTCTTACCTCCCTAAATTTCATGGTAAAAATCTAAGAAAAATGTTTTGTTTGAGAGCAGACTTGCCATCGTAAGCAGAATAATATATTGTATTTTTTCAGCAATCTTTTAAATGCAGGATATTTGATAGATGTCATAGCTCAGGCATAACAGACTGTATTTAAATCCTATCACACTCAGCCAGGGGGTGATGGCGTGCAAGGCACAAAACAAACATTATATCTCTCTGCTCTCTACCCACCATCACAAACATAAAGTTTGGCCTGTGGAAGGTGTATGGCTATTGGCCACATGCAGCTGAGACATCCAGGGTAATGTCAACAAGATACAGACCAGCCATGCTGTGCCATGGACAGATTTAAAGGGCACCCAGACCACTTCACCTCAATGTCCTTATCGTTTTAACCCTGCAATATAATGTTTACACTGTAGAGATTAAATGCCTGCAGTGGCTCTCACTCTGACAGTCACTAAAGAGCACCTCCTCCGAAATAGCAGAGTAATTCTCATAGAGACCATCTGATTGGCTCAGAGTTTCTGTTAATTGGCAGTTTTATAAAACAAATAAATGGTAATCAATCTTCCCCATTTCCCTTCAATACATTAACTTCATTAGATGTTAAAACTGAAATCTTTAAATCTCTGAAATTCTCAGCTTTGGTAATAAATCCTGGTCTGCTCTCTGAACCTGAATTAATTTGATAATGAACCGCGTTATGGCCAGATTAATAAAAGTGAAAACAAATCTCCATCTAAGACAGGTTTTAGTTAATAACGCATGTGGTCGTAAATAAAGATGTGAAATATGCCGTCAGTGTTTATAGTCATTTCCCTACACCCTGCTGCAACGGTAAGAGGGGCCGCGCCGCGTTATGGGGTTCAATGGTGAGAGCTAAAATTAACACACACCTTCTGTCCCAGGGTGAGGAATTCAGCCATAATGAAGCTCTAGGATCTGGGAGAGTAAACTGAACCTGGGTGACAGGCAGAGGTGGCCGGCTAGGAATTACTGCTGCGTGGTCAGTCACATGGGAGGCGAGAGTCACATTGTGTCCTGTTAATGATTTATTTCAAGATAACGCATGAACTGAATCAACACAACTACTGCTAGCTACAAATCATAACACACTACCACAGCAGCAATGTCACCGGGAATCCTACGGACTGCTCTCCAAACCTCCCGTGATGTAATGCACAGCAATGTGCAGTGTGTGAGTGTACCACAGAGCTCCACAGCAATCCAACTCACAGTAATGTACAGTGTATCACAGAGCTCCACAGCAATCCAACTCACAGTAATGTATAGTGTACCACAGAGCTCCACAGCAATCCAACTCACAGTAATGTACAGTGTATCACAGAGCTCCACAGCAATACAACTTACAGTAATGTACAGTGTATCACAGAGCTCCACAGCAATAAAACTCACAGTAATGTACAGTGTATCACAGAGCTCCACAGCAATAAGATTCTTAGTAATGTACAGTGTGAGTGTATCACAGAGCTCCACAACAATACAACTCACAGTAATGTGCAGCGTGTAACAGTGTATCACAGAGCTCCACAGCAATAAAACTCACAGTAATGTGCAGTGTATCACAGAGCTCCACAGCAATACAACTTACAGTAATGTACAGTGTATCACAGAGCTCCACAGCAATAAAACTCACAGTAATGTACAGTGTATCACAGAGCTCCACAGCAATACAACTTACAGTAATGTACAGTGTATCACAGAGCTCCACAGCAATAAAACTCACAGTAATGTGCAGTGTGTGTGAGTGTACCACAGAGCTCCACAGCAATCCAACTCACAGTAATGTACAGTGTATCACAGAGCTCCACAGCAATACAACTTACAGTAATGTACAGTGTATCACAGAGCTCCACAGCAATAAAACTCACAGTAATGTACAGTGTATAACAGTGTATCACAGAGCTCCACAGCAATACAACTTACAGTAATGTACAGTGTATCACAGAGCTCCACAGCAATAAAACTCACAGTAATGTACAGTGTATAACAGTGTATCACAGAGCTCCACAGCAATAAAACTCACAGTAATGTGCAGTGTATCACAGAGCTCCACAGCAATAAGATTCTTAGTAATGTACAGTGTGAGTGTATCACAGAGCTCCACAACAATACAACTCACAGTAATGTGCAGCGTGTAACAGTGTATCACAGAGCTCCACAGCAATAAAACTCACAGTAATGTGCAGTGTATCACAGAGCTCCACAGCAATAAGACTCTTAGTGATGTACAGTGTGTGTGAGTGTATCACAGAGCTCCACAACAACACAACTCCCAGTAATGTGCAGTGTGTATGAGTGTATCACAGAGCTCCACAGAAATAAAACCCACACTTATGAGAGGTGTATGTGTGTGTCACAGAGACCCACGGCATTAAAACTTACAGTAATGTTTTGTGTGTATGAGTGTGTCAAAAAGCTCCACATCAATAAAACTCAAAGTGATGTACAGTGTGTATCACAGAGCTCCACAGCCATAAAACCCCTAATATTGTATGGTTTATATGTGTATGTCAGCACTCCACAGTAAATTCAGACTCGCCGTATAGTGCTTCAGTTCCCTGGTCAATTACATTTCCCAATTAAATTAATAGCTCTGTGCATCATTGATGCTTGAATTCTCTCTCTGCCCAATCGACTCAGCTCCCCTTCTATGTCTGATCTTGACTCAGCTCTGTGATGAAAGCACCTTCTTCACTGGGATTTGGAGAGGCCTGCTTTCCAGCCTCTTGCCCTGTGACTATGGCCCCTTGAATATATTGCCCTTTAAAAACACTATTTGGGCATATTGGATTTTAAAGGACCACTATAGTGCCAGGAAAACATACTCGTTTTCCTGGCACCATAGTGCCCTGAGGCACTATAGTGCCCACCCTCAGGGTCCCCCTCCCGCCCGGCTCTGGAAGGGGGAAAGGGGTAAAAACTTACCTTTTTCCAGCGCTGGGCGGAGAGCTCTCCTCCTTCTCTCCTCCTCGTTCCTCCTCCTGGGCTGAATGCGCACGCGCGGCAAGAGCTGCGCGCGCATTCAGCCCGTCGCATAGGAAAGCATTTACAATGCTTTCCTATGGACGCTTGCGTGCTCTCACTGAAAATCACAGTGAGAAGCACGCAAGCGCCTCTAGTGGCTGTCAATGAGACAGCCACTAGAGGATTAGGGGGAAGGCTTAACCCATTCATAAACATAGCAGTTTCTCTGAAACTGCTATGTTTATAAAAAAAATGGGTTAACCCTAGAAGGACCTGGCACCCAGACCACTTCATTAAGCTGAAGTGGTCTGGGTGCCTAGAGTGGTCCTTTAAAGGCACTGTTTCTGCCCCATGGACTTTTAACTGGAACAGATTCAAACATGTGCACGGTGGGGCAAAAATAAGACTTCCAGGAAATTCCTGAACCGATCTGGGTGATTTTTGGATATGGTGTTCACCCAGATCGAGGCTATCAGGGGATGTGTGGGGATATGTTGTATTTTTGGGTACTTTTTGGGGTTTGTAAAAATGTATGTTTTTTCTGCTTAGAGTTAATTGAGATAGTCCACTGTCTTAGTTAAAGGGACACTATAGTCACCCAGACCACTTCAGCTCAATTAAGTGGTCTGGGTGCCAGGTCCCTCAGGTTTTAACCCTTCACATGTAAACATAACAGTTTCAGAGAAACTGCTATGTTTACATTTGGGGTTAATCCAGCCTCTAGTGGCTGTCTTCTTTAATTGTATCATAGGCAGAGGGGAGGGCCTGTGTGCTGTATGTGGGAGTGTCGGACATTATTGTATTGTTCTGATTGGTTTGTGTCCTTTGTGTGCCTTCCATCAAGTCAAGGGGGTGTGCCTCTGGCCTGAGGAATTGTATAAATTGTGAGTGCTGGCTTGCATTAAAGAGACCTGTTCTACCCTTCATGAAGTCTTGGATCACTCTGGGGATTGCTATAATCACTATACTCCCCAGAGTATAATCACTAGCTCTTGTAAGAGCTGCTCCTGTTCCTCTCTGGACTAAGGATAGGTCCACCCACTGTAAGCTGGTCCAGGGTGGGTGGAGGACAGCAAAACCCAAACCAAGCTGCGGCGGTTTGTTGGGGTTGCAGTGGTTATGGTGTCAAGTGCGGTGCTGATGGTCCTTGGCGAGCACTAGAAGCATCGTTTGACGGAGGCACCCAGTCAGGGTGGCAGGTGGTCCGTCACAAGCTCTTTTTCTATGTCTGATCTTGACTCAGCTCCCTTTCTATGCCTCGTCTTGACTCAGCTCTCTTTCTGTGCCTGGTCTTGACTCAGCTCTCTTTCTGTGCCTGGTATTGATTCAGCAATCTGTCTGTGCCAGGTCTTGATTCAGCTCTCTCTTACTGTTCAGGGTCTTGATTCAGCAATCTGTCTGTGCAGGGTCTTGACTCAGCTCCCATTCTGTGCAGGGTCTTGACCCAGCTCTCGTTCTGTGCAGGGTCTTGACCCAGCTCTCGTTCTGTGCAGGGTCTTGATCTATGCCTGGATTTGACTCAGCTCTCTTTCTGGTGGCTCCTGGCAGGGCACTAAGATGAGTGAATCAATGCGTGTGTAATTCTGCCCTCTCTGTGCTTTGTGCCCAGTAAAACTGTGAGTTTACAAAATTCAGTTTACACAGAACAGCCAGAACATGATCTGAGAGGGAACAGATCCCAAGGTCCGTATAAATAAATAAATAATGTTCAGTTAGAACATTCTTCCTGATATAATGCAACATATCTCACAACTAAAAGTAATAACCACATTCAATAAAATTCACTTACCCAGGATTTAGCAATGAACTAGTTTAAAATGACAATAAACAACCGATACAGAGCTCAGGCCAGAGATTATATAAACAACTTGTGACGGACCGCCAATCACTGCTTCATAGTAGCCTGTACTACTATAAGCACCGCACTGGACACCATAAGCACCGTAGCCCCTTAGTTTGCCATAGTTTGGCTGGGGTTTCGCTGTCCTCCACCCACCCTAGATCCAAGCCCAGGATCCAGCTTCCAGTGGGTGGACCTCTCCTCCTATAGCAGGTATAGCGGTGTAGCTCTTACAAGAGCTAGTGATTATAGTCAGTATAGTAATCCGAAGCAGGTATAGCTGTTTCCTACAATCACGAGATGAGGCTGCGTGTTAAGGGGGCAGTGAACTGACTTTAATGGGACCACACTTGGCCTTTTATGACAATCCCCAAGCAAGGAGTACTCCCACCTGGACCTGATGGAAGACTACAGTACAAAGTTACAGACCAATGACAAAGTTTGTTCAAGTACAGGACACTCCTATACATAATCATACAATCCCTCCCCTCTGCCTGGGAGATAATTGAGTCAGGAACTGTACTAACTCTATCTCCAGACACACACAAAAAAATAAAATATCATTTTTATAAAACCCCAAAAGTACAATTAAAACATACAAAACCCACACAAAAGTCACATCCTGATAGCCCCAGATCGGTTCTGGAATTTCCTGGAAGCCGTAGTTTTGGCCGACCGCACGCATGGTCCCATGCCCAAAACAGTTCCATAGAATCGCGGACCAACCGAGAACCTCAAAGTCTTCCTGCCAAAAACAGTTCCACAGAATCGCGGCTAAGTGCCACTGGGGGTCCGACCGGGAACCGCAAAGTTTTCATGCCGAAAAAAGTTCCAGGGCATTCGCAGCTAAGTCCCCCTAAAGTCTATTTGCGGTTTTGGTCAATGCGAACGGCCGCCCGTGAGCTAGCATTCAGTTCTATGGAAATTGCTGAACCAAGGGAAATAAAATATGGTCTTTACAGTCGCTGACCTGGCCCATAGTCTTTTGGCAGGAGGCTGTCAAGCAGGAACCTCCGAAAGCCCGTGGCGAGGTTCTGTTCGCCACACAGCTCACCTGTGAAACTATGTTGTTATCCAATGGGCTCGGTCCTCTCTGCACTATGAACAGCTAAGGACCATAAAATAAGTTTTTGGTTGGCTGAGAGTACTTGGAATTGTAGCACAAAGTAACTGGCAACACCAGTAAGTCTGTGCAACTCATGACTTGCGAGTACGAGCCTACATCTAGTACCCTGGTAACACATCCAGCAACAATAGGCGGGTATACTATTCAATACATAGTAACGGTGTGTCTTTATACTGGTCAACATCGATACAACGTCTTCATACTGTTCACGCATGCCACGCATTGATACAATGTATTCATACTGTTCACACATGCCACACATCAATACAATGTATTCATACTGGTCACACATCGATACAATGTCTTCATACTGGTCACATATCAATACAATGTCTTCATATTCGTCCACACAGATACAATGTATTCATCCTGGTTCACACAGATACAATGTATTCATACTGGTCCACACAGATACAATGTATTCATACTGGTCCACACCGATACAATGTCTTCTATTGGTCGCACATCTATGCAATGCCTTCATACTGGTCACACATTAATACAATGTTTTTATTTGGGTCACACACCAATACCATGTCTTCATGCTGGTCACATTGATACAATGTCTTTATATTGTTTGCACACTGATACAATGTTTTTTGGTCACATCTCAAGTTGATTCAATATATTTATTGCATGGAAATGTTTATCTGCCCACACTTCTCGGCAGGGGATGTTTTTATATTCCTTTGAACCCCAAAAGAAGCAGAAGTTGAATCTTCTCACTTGATGGATCTGAGCCAATAAATGCATATACCAAGGGGACACTTGCTATGTTTAGAAATCCCAAATATTGGCAAACTTCCTTGATCTCCATTACATCACAAAACAGAGAGCAGATGTTACTAATCCCAACATTTCTGCTCTCTGCCTTAGAACCCAAGCGGATAGTTCTTCCCAGCAAAATTAGCCACCAGCGTCAGGTAGCCCCCTTCTGGATTATGGAAAATGAATGAGGACAATAATTGTTGTCTCATAGCTATCTTCCATTTAGAGAATGAGATGGATAATTTTGTTGCCAGGATAGCTCTGGTCTATAGGGCATTGAAGCTGCAGACATTATTTCTGGGCGATTCCTGGGGCAATTTACTTGTCCAATGTCCATTCAGAGTCCACTGTCCAAATACCACCTTTACAGAAACAATGTACAACAGTGCCACCATACAATGGAGTGGCAATAACGTGTATTGCACCCATAATTACACACACTGCACAGTGTCCATTATACAGGAACATGGCCATTAATTCTATGTACAAACAATAGTGATAGCAATATACAAAAGCTCTCTGTAATATGATACAATGTGACCTTTGGAACCTGATAGAACAACAAGTTAAAGGACAATTCTAATATCCCTGTACCCAAACACTATACAGGTTTTAACCAGAGAATACATATTTTACAAATGGATTTTTTTCAATCTCAGATTGTTTGTAGAACAAATGGTCTGAGAGGGCAGAGCTCCTTTTCCTGGGACTCCTGCCAGAGCTACAGAGCTCCTTCCACTGGGACTCCAGTCAGAGCTACAGAGCTCCTTCCACTGGGACTCCCGCCAGAGCTACAGAGCTCCTTCCACTCGGACTCCCGCCAGAGCTACAGAGCTCCTTCCACTGGGACTCCAGTCAGAGCTACAGAGCTCCTTCCACTGGGACTCCCGCCAGAGCTACAGAGCTCCTTCCACTCGGACTCCCGCCAGAGCTACAGAGCTCCTTCCACTGGGACTCCCGCCAGAGCTACAGAGCTCCTTCCACTGGGACTTCCGTCAGAGCTGCAGGGCTCCTTCCACTGGGACTCCCGCCAGAGCTGCAGGGCTCCTTCCACTGGGACTCCAGCCAGAGCTGCAGGGCTCCTTCCACTGGGACTCCCGCCAGAGCTGCAGGGCTCCTTCCACTGGGACTCCCGCCAGAGCTGCACTGGGACTCCCACCATAGCTGCAGAGCTCCTTCCACAGGGGACTCCTCCCACCATAGCTGCACAGCTCCTTCCATTGGGACTACCATCAGAGCTGCAGAGCTCCTTCCATTGGGACTCCTGCCAGAGCTGCAGAGCTCCTTCAACTGTGACTCCCACCATAGCTGCAGAGCTCCTTCCATTGGGACTCCCACCATAGCTGCAGAGCTCCTTCCACTGGGACTCCCACCGTAGCTGCAGAGCTCCTTCCCATGACACTACCGTCAGAGCTTCAGAGCTCCTTTCATTGGAACTCCCACCATAGCTGCAGAGCTCCTTCCATTGGGACTACCATCAGAGCTTCAGAGCTCCTTCCATTGGGACTCCCACCGTAGCTGCAGAGCTCCTTCCACTGGGACTCCCACCTTTGTTGCAGAGCTCCTTCCATTGACACTACCGTCAGAGCTTCAGAGCTCCTTCCATTGGGACTCCCACCATAGCTGCAGAGCTCCTTCCATTGGGACTACCGTCAGAGCTTCAGAGATCCTTCCATTGGGACTCCCACCATAGCTACAGAGCTCCTTCCATTGGGACTACCATCAGAGCTCCTCCCTGGTAAAGTTGTGGAGCTCCTTGTAATGGAGTGAGTCACTGTATGTTTCAGCAGACAGACGTGCAGTTTTATATTAAGACATGATTTTGTTAATCCCAATTAATTTACCCCAGAGGTGAGTATATTTCCCAGAGGGGTAATTATTGGGAGTAAGATCCTTAGGTTTACCTGGGGCAAAGCTGCACTTGGACTCTAACTAGCCACAACCATCATCTCTCATCACTGGCAATCCCTGTTTACCCTAAATCCTAATCAATGGGATCACTACAATATAGCATGTTATATAGAACATATCAAATCTATCGCATACTCTACTATATAGCATGTTATATAGCTCCAATGGCTAGATATCAGCTTACGGGCAGGGCTCTCTCTACCTCTTGTATTTGTCTGTGTATATTGTACATTTCTCCACTAATTGTACAGCGCTGCGGAATCTGTTGGCGCTTTATAAATAGCAAAATAAATATATATCAGATCTAGAGCATACACTACTATTTAGCATGTTATACTTTATAAGGAACTTAAGATATATAGCTTGGAGGAAAGACGAGACCGGGGGGATATGATAGAAACATTTAAATACATAAAGGGAATCAACACAGTAAAGGAGGAGACTATATTTAAAAGAAGAAAAACTACCACAACAAGAGGACATAGTCTTAAATTAGAGGGTCAAATGTTTAAAAATAATATCAGGAAGTATTACTTTACTGAGAGGGTAGTGGATGCATGGAATAGCCTTCCAGCTGAAGTGGTAGAGGTTAACACAGTAAAGGAGTTTAAGCATGCGTGGGATAGGCATAAGGCTATCCTAACTATAAGATAAGACTAGGGACTAATGAAAGTATTTAGAAAATTGAGCAGACTAGATGGACCGAATGGTTCTTATCTGCCATCACATTCTGTGTTTCTATAATATAATACATAATGTATATAACAACTATATAGCATATTATATAGAACATATATATACTATAGCATGTACTACTATATAACATATTATACTATATAACAAATAGTATAAAACATCTATAGCACTATATAACAGAATATCTATAGCATAAAGCACTATATAACATAACATATATAACAGTACTTTATAGAATGTCATATATCTAGAATATAGCACTATATAGCATATAACATGTATAACATACAGTACTTTATAGAATCTCTTAGTACGAATTGTGGGAGATATATTAAACACCCATTGTTACACATTGTAACAAGCATTGTATACACATTCGCTGCACCACCTATTTACAATTATAATAATAATAACAAAGAGATAGGAGCTCAGTCCCCTGAAAACAGACTACAGCCCCCCCACTGCTCTCTCTGAGAAAAAGGGCTGGACACAGTTAGGGCAGCCAGGGATTATATAGCATAGCCAGCTAGCCAAGGCGCTAGCCACAAATGGGACTATGTCAATATCAGAGGAGTAATGCTTTGTACTGAGAAACTCATGTCTTATACAGAGAAAGAGAGAGAGAGAGAGAGAAATACTTTCTAGAGAGAGAGTGACACTTTATACAGGGAGTAACACTTTATACAGAGAGAAAGACTTTATACAGAGAGAGTGACACTTTATACAGAGATAGTAAGGGTTTATACAGAGAGAGTACAATTTTATACAGAGATAAAGACTTTATACAGAGTGACACTTTACACAGAGAGTGACACTTTATACAGAGATAGTAAGGGTTTATACAGAGACAGTGATACTTTATACAGAGCGTGACACTTTATACAGAGAGTGAAACTTTATACAGAGAGAAAGACTTTATACAGAGAGAGTGACACTTTATACAGAGATAGTAAGGGTTTATACAGAGATAGTGATACTTTATACAGAGCGTGACACTTTATACAGAGAGTGAAACTTTATACAGAGAGAAAGACTTTATACAGAGAGAGTGACACTTTATACAGAGAGTGGCACTTTATACAGAGATAGTAAGGGTTTATACAGAGAGAGTAACACTTTATACAGAGAGAGCAACACTTTATACAGAGATAGTAAGACTTTATACAGAGAGTAACATTTTATAGCGAGATAATAATGTTTAATAAAGTGACAGCCAGGTGTACCCCTACAATGCAGTAATGATAAAGAGTTTACTCACCTACAACTAGACAGAACACATCCAGGCAGACCAGCAGGACCTTCCTCCCATTCCCGGGGCCATTATTGTTGTTTAACGGGGTGCTCCCCCCATTCCTGCTCTCTGGGGGGGCTATGGCTTTGTCATACTTGTAGTTCTGCATGCTGGAGACAATTTTCTTTAAATCCAGGCTGCTCCCTCTGAGTGCCACTCACGCTGACAGCAGTTCACTGGCAGCAACGCACTGAGTGCAACTCACACTGACAGCAACTTACTGAATGCCACTCACACTGACAGCAACTTACTGAGTGCCACTCACACTGACAGCAACTCACTGGGTGCCACTCACACTGACAGCAACTCACTGGCAGCAACGCACTGAGTGCCACTCACACTGACGGCAACTCACAGGGTGCAACTGATAAAGTGACAACTCAGACTTTGTCCCCAGGAACTGGCAGCTGATCCCAACTAGAAGGCAAAGTCCTTCAGAGCAACTGCCAGTTACACTCACACTCATCAGCAGCACTCTCTCACACTCACCAGCAGGCAGCACTCAATGTCACTCTGTAGCCACACTCAGTGTCACTCTGTAGCCGCACTCAGTGTCACTCTGTACCAGCACTCAGTGTCACTCTGTAGCCGCACTCAGTGTCACTATGTAGCCGCACTCAGTGTCACTATGTAGCAGCACTCAGTGTCACTCTGTAGCCACACTCAGTGTCACTATGTTGCAGTTCCTGTAATCCTGGGATTGTATTAGTTTCAGCCAGTTTCTTTGTCCCGGGAGTGAAGTTTTCAGATGTAAAGCAGTGTGAGTTTGCAGACTGTGTCTCTCCCTGTGTCTCTCTCTCCAGTCTCTCTCTCCCCCTGTGTTTCCCTCTCTGTTTTACAGACTGATCTCCAGCCCCCTGGAGTAGGACTGCCTGCCTTTGGCTCAGATGGGATTCAATGCACAGCCCACTTCCTGAAACTGACTGATACATATGATAATTAACTCCACATTTGTTTCCAGAAAAGAAAAAAAAGGAAAAAAATCAGGAAAAGCTCAGCCTGGCCGAATGATGGAGACCCTGCATGCAGAGAGGGGGCACAGTGCATCCAGAATGAGGGGGGGCTCAGTGCATCCAGAATGAGGGGGGCTCAGTGCATCCAGAATGAGGGGGGCTCAGTGCATCCAGAATGAGGGGGCTCAGTGCAGCCAGAATGAGGGGCTCAGTGCATCCAGAATGAGGGGGCTCAGTGCATCCAGAATGAGGGGCTCAGTGCATCAGAATGAGGGCTACAGTGCATCCAGAATGAGGGGGCCTGATGCATCCAGAATGAGGGGAGCACAGTGCATCCAGAATGAGGGGGGCACAGTGCACATCAGAATGAGGGGCACGATGCATCCAGAATGAGGGAGCTGTAGTGCATCCAGAATGAGGGGGACAGTGCATCAGAATGAGGGGGACAGTGCATCCAGAATGAGGGGGGCAGTGCATCCAGAATGAAGGTGGGCACAGTGCATCCAGAATGAGGGAGCACAGTGCATCAGAATAGGGAGCTCAGTGCATCCAGAATGAGGGGGCTCAGTGCATCCAGAATGAGGGGCGCACAGTGCATCCAGAATGAGGGGGCACGGTGCATCCAAGATAGGGGGGCACAGTGCATCCCAGAATGAGGGGGCACAGTGCATCAGAATGAGGGGGCACAGTGCATCCAAGAATGAGGGGCTCAGTGCATCAGAATGAGGGGAGCTCAGTGCATCAGAATGAGGGGGCTCAGTACATCCCAGAGTGAGGGGCACAGTGCATCCAAATGAGGGGCACAGTGCATCCCAGAATGAGGGGGAGGCACAGTGCATCAGAATGAGGGGGCACAAAGTGCATCCAGAATAGGGGCACAGTGCATCCCAGAATGAGGCACAGTGCACATCAGGAATGAGGTGGGCACAGTGCATACAGAAAGAGGGGGGCTCAGTGCATACAGAAAGAGGGGGGCACAGTGCATGAAGAAAGAGGGGGCACAGTGCATGCAGAATGAGAGTGGTGAGTGCACGCAGAATGAAAGTGGAGTTCAGAAAATATAGAATGAAGGGGACTCAGTGCATATAAAATGAGGGGGGCTCAATGCTTGCAGAATGAGGGGGGCTCAGTACATGCAGAATGAGGGGGTTCAGTGCATCCAGAATGAGGTGGGCACAGTGCATACAGAAAGAGGGGGGCTCAGTGCATACAGAAAGAGGGGGGCACAGTGCATGAAGAAAGAGGGGGGCACAGTGCATGAAGAAAGAGAGGGCTCATTACATACAGAATGCTCAGTACATACAGAATGAGGGGGCTCAGTACATACAGAATGAGTGGGACTCAATGCATGCAGAATGAGGGGGGCTCAGTACATGCAGAATGAGGGGGGCTCAGTACATGCAGAATGAGGGGGTTCAGTACATACAGAATGAGGGAGTCTCATTACATACAGAGTGAAGGGGGCTCAGTGCATGCATGATAAGGGGGGCTTAGTACATGCAGAATGAGGGGGGACTCAGTACATGCAGAATGAGGGGGGACTCAGTACATGCAGAATGAGGGGGGACTCAGTACATGCAAACTGAGGGGGGACTCAGTACATGCAAACTGAGGGGGGACTCAGTACATGCAAAATGAGGGGGGACTCAGTACATGCAAAATGAGGGGGGCTTAGTGCATATAAAATAAGGGGGCCCAGTGCATATAGAATGAGGGAGGTTCAGTGCATGCATGATAAGGGGGGCTTAGTGCACATAGATTAGAATGAAAGGGAGCTTAGTGCATATAGAATGAGGGAGGTTCAGAGCATGCAGACTGAGGGGGACACAGTGCATATAGATTAGAATGAAGGGGGCTCAGTGCATATAAAATGAGGGGGCTCAGTGCATGCAGACTGAGGGGGACACAGTGCATACAGATTAGAATGAAGGGGGCTCAGTGCATGCAGACTGAGGGGGACACAGTGCATATAGATTAGAATGAATGGGGCTCAGTGCAGATAAGATGAGGGGCCTCAGTGCATACGGAATGAGGGGGCTCAGTAAATGCAGAACGAGGGGGTTCAGTACATATATAATGAGGGGGGCTCATTACATACAGAATGAAAGGGGCTCAGTGCATGCAGGATGAGGAGGGCTTAGTACATGCAGAATGATGGGGGCTTAGGGCATATAGAATGAGGGGGGCTCAGGGCATATAGAATGAGGGGGGCTCAGGGCATATAGAATGAGGGGGGCTCAGGGCATATAGAATGAGAGGGGCTCAGTGCATGCAGGATAAGGGGGGCATAGTACATGCAGAATGAGGGGACAGAGTGCATGCAGAATGAGGGGGTTCAGTTCATATAGAATGTGGGGGCTCAGTGCATGCTTGATAAGGGGGGCTTAGTACATGTAGAATGAGGGGGTTCAGTGCATATAAAATGAGGGAGACTCAGTACAGGCAGAATGAGGGGGTTCAGTACATATAGAAGTAGGGGGGCTCAGTGCATGCAGAATGAGAGGGGTGAGTGCACGCAGAATTAGAGGGAAGCTCAGAAAATATAGAATGAGGGGGGCTCAATGCATGCAGAATGAGGGGGGCTCAGTACATGCAGAATGAGGGGGGTTCAGTACATACAGAATTAAGGAGTCTCATTACATACAGAGTGAAGGGGACTCAGTGCATATAGAATGTGGGGGCTCAGTACATGCAGAATGAGGGGGGTTCAGTACATACAGAATGAAGAAGTCTCATTACATACAGAGTAAAGGGGGATCAGTTCATATAGAATGTGGGGGCTCAGTGCATGCATGATAAGGGGGGCTTAGTACATGCAGAATGAGGGGGACTTAGTGCATATAGAATAAGGGGGGCCCAGTGCATATAGAATGACGGAGGTTCAGTGCATGCAGACTGACGGGCACACAGTGTATATAGATTAGAATGAAGGGGAGCTTAGTGCATATAGAATGATGGAGGTTCAGAGAATGCAGACTGAGGGGGGCACAGTGCATATAGATTAGAATGAAGAGTGCTCAGTGCATATAAAATGAGGGGGCTCAGTGCATGTAGAATGAGGGGGGCTCAGTGCATATAGAATGAGGGGGGCTTAGTGCATGAAGAATGAAAGGGGGCTCAATGTATGCATAATAAGGGGGACTCAGTCCATATAGAATGAGAATGGCTCAGTGCATGCAGAATGAAAGGGGGCTCAATGAATGCAGAATTAGGGGGACTCAGTGCATTTAGAATGAGTGGGGCTCAGTACATATAAAATGAGGGGGCTCAGTACATGCAGAATGAGAGGGGCACAGCATATATAAAATGAGGGAGCTCAGTACACGCAGACTGAAGGAGGCTCAGCGTGCACACAGATTAAAGGAGGCTCAGCATGCACATGAGCAGCTCAGCATATGCAAAATGGTAGAGGTTCTGCATTTAAACAGAATAATGTAGGCTCAACGAGTATAAAGGGGATCAAATCTTATATATATATATCCATGAGATGTTGGTTGATAATGGTTATTGGTGGATTGAGATCTATATGTCCATGGGACGTTGGTGGATAATGGGTATTGGTGGATTAAGATGTATATATTTCTATCGGACGTTGGTTGATAATGGGTATTGGTGGATTGAGATGTATATGTCCATGGGACGTTGGTGGATTATGGGTATTGGTGGATTGAGATCTATATGTCCATGGGACGTTGGTGGATTATGGGTATTGGTGGTTTGAGATCTATATGTCCATGGGACGTTGGTGGATTATGGGTATTGGTGGATTGAGATGTATATCTCTATGGGACGTTGGTGAATTATGGGTATTGGTGGATTGAGATCTATATGTCCATGGGACGTTGGTGGATTATGGGTATTGGTGGATTGAGATCTATATGTCCATGGGACGTTGGTGGATTATGGGTATTGGTGGATTGAGATCTATATGTCCATGGGACGTTGGTGGATTATGGGTATTGGTGGATTGAGATCTATATGTCCATGGGACGTTGGTGGATTATGGGTATTGGTGGATTGAGATCTATATGTCCATGGGACGTTGGTGGATTATGGGTATTGGTGGATTGAGATCTATATGTCCATGGGACGTTCATTGATGTACCCGAGGGGGAGATACCATTTGCTTTGCACTATGCTTTCTCGTTCTGGACTCTGCAGTTTGAGAGGGGAGCTTGGTTTTGTATCCTTTAATCAATGTATTGCTGGCACATTATAAATAAACCATGAAGGCAGTCTGTTGGCCAGGCGTGTACAAAACAATACCATATTGTTATTTCAGTGAGTTAATATACATTAAAAATCTGAAAGGACCCTGTAACTGTTTTGCTCCAGGGCTCTCTTAGCCTGGACACACCCAAAGTCACAGAGCTCCTTGCTAACCGCCTTAAAGCAGCCATTGTGTTGGGGGTTATCAGGACAGAGCAACAAACACCTGGCTGCTTGTATACATTTACCGGGATCTCTGGAAATGCCAACCGTAATAATACAACTTTCATTCACATTAAACTATGTATTATAGGGCAAGGGAAGATGGCGGCTCCCAGGTTATTGAGCTGTGTGTTCCAAGATTCACATCATGGCGACTGCAGGAGCAGCGCAGAAACTACTCAAAGGTAATGATCCCATCTAATATTTTATATAATTGCCAATCAGTCATCACTGTCGGTAACTCACTTTCACCCACACTCTCTCTGTCACTCACTTTCCCCCATACTCACTCTTTCTGTCATTCACGTTCTCCCACACTCACACACTGTCACTCAATTTCCCCATACACACTCTCTCTGTCATTCACTTTTACCCACACTCACTCTCGGCCACTCAGTTTCTCCCATACTCACTCACTTTCACCCATACTCTCTCTGTCACTCCCTTTCTCCCATACTCACTCACTGTCACTCACTTTCACCCACACTCTCTCGGTCACTCACTTTCCCCATGAGATTTGATGAGAGAGATATTTTGAAGTTGTGTTGGGCAGAAATCCGGCTCTTTGTGAGGTTCAGGTAAATAACTTACAGTAACATAGTGACACAGCGAGCCTTTCAGAATTCTCCCCCAGCTTCTGTTGTCAAGGAATACATTAGTTTAAAGCCTGAAGACGATGTGAAGAGCTGTCTAGACAGAGATACAAGCCGTGCCTCCAAGTTGTGTGATAAAGATCACTTGTATCTCTCCATCTTTCCCTGCAGGAGCAAAGTCACCTCTAGTGATCAGCCCATTGTAACAGGATCGTCCCAGGAGTGAGCACTCCACTAGATCCGTGCTATAACCACGACCCAGGCCCATAGGGTTGCCCCCACCATGCCACTCAGCGAGGCTACCATTGTCATAACAAGATGCCCAATTCAGTGTGTACTAACAGATCTGAAGAATCGAGGGAAGGACAAAACCAAAATAGCAAAACTCTCAGTTTAGTGAATAAACCCTGATTGTATTTACTGTAAAAATAATAGGAAATAGTAAGGGGGCGGGGGGTCCTCTAAGTTCTAATCGATACGATTCTGTAAGAGAAGGGTCTCCTTACACCCAGATCAAACAAAGAGTAATTTTCAGCCCAAAGTGACTGGATTCCTGGCATTCTGAGATGGAAAGTTAACGTGAAGGAACACGCCACTAATGTCAGCCGGATCCTACAACAGACACAATACGAACAACAATATAACGATTAATGTGCTCGCAGTGAAAAGGCGAATCTGCTACAATATCACTGGCTGATCGTGCTCATAATATTCTGAGAGCCAGAATTAACTAATCACCGTGAACTACATGTTTATGTTAAATCATTTAGCATCAACGAGAAATTGGTTAATTACTGCAATCAAGGATTTCAGGCTACTGTGTCTTTAATTACACTGCCACCCATTACAAGGATCCCTTCACTAAATAGCTAAACATGAGAGCTATTCACTAAACAGTAATTGTAGGCCCATTCTACCCAGTCTGTAATTCCATCCTATATTTGACGATGCAGTTCTAGTTTGGTGAATATATCCGACTACAACAACAAAATGACAAACACCGTCCAAGTCTTGTGAGCAGGACACAAGAAATTTGAATGGTAATAAATTAATAGATAACAGACTCTGCAAATATCCTGTGAGCTGATCTAGCATTGTCCAAATAGAGAATATACGATTACAATCCTTATTATATTATATTATATTACATATTCCAAAGCGCTGAAAACAAGACATATTTAACACTAATAAAACATGTCACATACGGGAATAGTAGATGAAGATGTCCCTGCCCAAATTAGCTCACAATCCAAAGCGTACATAATACTGGTATTCAGGAGCCAATGATCAGCCAGCCCTTGCATAGACAGACATGATGAAAATCAGATTTTGTGTAATTATGTCATGAACAGTGGCACGTTCATCACTGGTCACCCAACCAGACCCGAGTTATCTGGAGCGTTGTGAGCAAATAGTCTGGGACCAATACCAATACCATCAATGACCATCTTTACTCCATAAAATCACTCACCCTTTGTATTCTACGCCATGAGACCATCTCTGACCCATACTTTCTCTGCTTATCTATGACCCATACCTTCTATGACCATCTCTGATCCATACCATCTCTGCTTATCCATGAACCCATACCTTCTCTGACCCATACCTTCTCTGATTTTCCATGACTCATACCTTCTTTGACCATCTCTGATCTATACCCTCTCTGATTATCCATGACCCATATCTTCTCTGACCATCTCTGATAATCCATGACCTATACCTTCTTTGACCATCTCTGATCCATACCATCTCTGCTTATCCATGAACCCATACCTTCTCTGACCCATACCTTCTCTGATTATCCATGACTCATACCTTCTCTGACCATCTCTGATCTATACCCTCTCTGATTATCCATGACCCATATCTTCTCTGACCATCTCTGATTATCCATTACCTATACCTTCTTTGACCATCTCTGATCCATACCTTCTCTGATTATCTATGACCCATTCCTTCTCTGTTCATCTCTGATCCATAACTTCTCTGATTATCCACTACCCATATTTTTTCCAACCATCTCTGACCTACACCTTCTCTGACCCATACCGACTGTCTATATCCCTCTATGACCCATGCACCGTTTTGGACAGACTCTCTGTAGCCACAACATCTCTAACATATTCTCTAGATTTTTCCTTATTTGGTTTGGACATCTGGGTGAACTGTTAGCTGTTTGTGTACAGAATCTCTTCTTTCTGATCTGGAAATAAACATGCTTCATATAGGTACAGGAACATAACATGCTGGATGCCATCAAATTAACTAATCGAAAAGCGTGTCATTAAATACAGGATTCTCTCACATTCTGTTTATTCTCTTTCCATTGATATATTAATGTGGAATCTGGTTCATCACAGAGTAGGGCGGTTCTATGCCCAGTGTATGAGATTAAACTCTCCTGTACAGAGCTGGACGGCTCAGGTTACACTTCTATTTATACCTGCTGCTACTACAACAGGAAAACACCAAAAACGGATACTCCGTCTCCCACATACGCACTCACACATACACATCCCCAAATGTAAACTCTTCAATACATATACACAAACACATTAACAGCAACATATGCATACTAATACAAACACACTCGTATATACACAATAACAGAGCCATATATACAGTAACACACTCGTATATACACAATAAGAGAGCCATATATACAGTAACACACTCATATATACACAATAACAGAGCCATATATACAGTAACACACTCATATATACACAATAACAGAGCCATATATACAGTAACACACTCATATATACATAACACAAGCACAGTCATATATACACACTAACACACTCATACATACACAATAACACAATCACATATACACACACTGAAACAAAAACATGCAACAAAAAAGATATAGGGAGCAGGGTGCAGTGGCTATCTCTCTTTTAGAAAGGGGGAGGAGGTGTACTATGGAACCAGACCTCCTATCTGGGGGACGGTCGCCTAAACTGTGCTCTCCAACAAGTGATAACCCTCAATAACTTCGCACAAAGAACAGAAAAAAATATAATCCCAGTCTGGTCTACTACACCATAGAGACCGCGCTGGGAGAGAGCCCAGAAAATAGTTGGAAAAAAATATCTATATATATTAAAGACAAATCTAACTTTATTACATCTAAGATTAAAATGGGGAAAGCCCAGGAGGTATATAACAATTATAGCTCTAGGGAATAAGGTGAATTAGATACCTAGTATATAGTCCGATTCTACTCCTGGACAGAGAGGTCAGGAACTGCAAATGGACTCACCGTATCAGAGGCTAATGAGAATAAAGCATTGATCTATATATCACACGTAGGTACAACGTGTCCAACATCAGAGATTTGAAAATATCCATGCTAAACTCTGGCACCGAACGCAGCTAGTGCCTACCTGAAACAACAGGCCCTAGAGCCATATTGAGAAAACAAAGTGTATAGAAAGTGAAAAATAACCTAAACGCCCAATGAGCGTTTCGACGTGCTCACACGCCATCGTCAGGGGAAACCCCATTGGGTTTCCCCATTTTAATCTTAGATGTAATAAAGTTAGATTTGTCTTTAATATATATATTTATTTTTTCCCCCTATTTTCTGGGCTCTCCCCCAGCGCGGTCACTATGGTGTAGTAGACCAGACTGGGATTATATTTTTTTTCTGTTCTTTGAGCTAAAATAACAACCCATATATTTACACAGTAACACAAACATATCTACACAATAACACAAGGTCATTCACAGATACACACTAATCCAATCAAACTCATATACAGATTAATGCGCACATTCACAGATACATTCACACTCATATACAGATTAATGCGCACATTCACAGATACACACTAATACAATCACACTCATATACAGATTAATGCGCACATTCACAGATACACACTAATACAATCACACTCATATACAGATTCATGCGCACATTCACAGATACACACTAACACAATCACACTCATATACAGATTAATGCGCACATTCACAGATACATTCACACTCATATACAGATTAATGCGCACATTCACAGATACATTCACACTCATATACAGATTAATGCGCACATTCACAGATACACACTAACACAATCACACTCATATACAGATTCATGCGCACATTCACAGATACACACAGATACAATCACACTCATATACAGATTAATGCGCACATTCACAGATACATTCACACTCATATACAGATTAATGCGCACATTCACAGATACACACAGATACAATCACACTCATATACAGATTAATGCGCACATTCACAGATACATTCACACTCATATACAGATTAATGCGCACATTCACAGATACACACTAATACAATCACACTCATATACAGATTAATGCGCACATTCACAGATACACACTAATACAATCACACTCATATACAGATTAATGCGCACATTCACAGATACACACTAACACAATCACACTCATATACAGATTAATGCGCACATTCACAGATACAATCACACTCATATACGGCTTATTTACTAAACTGAAGCTTCTAGTGAGCAGACATTTGACTAGAGGCATAAAAAGCCAAGTTATCTGTTTAGTGAATAACCCCCACTGGTGTTGCAGCCTTGAGTAGGACCTGGGCAGAGGGGGGCTCTTTCCTATAGTGTGCAGGACTAACCAACAGATTCATGTGAAGAATAAGTCTGCCCTCTAGAGGTCATAACAGGGTACAGATTGTAACCCTGGACTCCAGTAACATAATGGGATGAAAATCATATATTTGTATAAATAACTTTTAACACAGGAATAACTTGGGATAAACTCACAGTTTGCACATTGTGTCTTACGTCATGGCGGATACGACGTCCCCGAGCAGACGCAAGAACTGCAATTTTCATAGTATTCGGATCTCTGTTCTAGAGGACGAGAGATAGGTGTCTTATTTGTCGTTCCCTGGAGGGCATTATATTTGCAAATTGACTTTTTAATGTAATATAAAACGTATTGCACAGGGATGGTGTTTGTACATTCCAGAGGAAACAGTAACATGGCATGAACAAGAGTACAATAGTAGCACTGATAGACAATAGACTGAGTTCATTAAATGCGGGTTTCGCTGAATACAATGAGAGACAGATAATGAACAAACAGGCTTTAACTGAGTTTCAGTGTAAATACAATGTGCATCTTCAACCAGCATCACACGGAGAATCCATTCACTGACACATCTCTAATACCACCTGAGTGGCAGCAGCGGCTGCTGGTCGATTGATGGGAGTTGAAGTCTCAAAAAATGAGATTTGCTATGTTGGTGGCTGGATTTATCTAATTCCAGTATTACTTGTTATATAGTATAATGTTTATGGCAAATCTTCTACATTCACAATCCTTAAACTACGCTTGAAAAAGTTCAGTGATAAATAAATCTCTCTTAAAGGGAAACAGTCACATCCCTGAATTCTTACTATTATGTTAACTTATCCCTATGTTTAATAAATGTATCTGTTTGTGAGGTGTGAAAAATGTAATTAAATGTAGAAATCCAGTCTCTTTATCCTGTAACCTCCATCTTAGCTCCCTGTCAATCATAGTTATAAGCTATGATTACACCTGGCAGTCAGTATAGAGAGAGCCGCCTCCATCTTAGCTCCCTGTCAATCATTGTTATAAGCTCCGCCCTTTACACCTGGCAGTCAGTATAGAGAGAGCCGCCTCCATCTTAGCTCCTGTCAATCATTGTTATAAGCTCCGCCCTTTACACCTGGCAGTCAGTATAGAGAGAGCCGCCTCCATCTTAGCTCCCTGTCAATCATTGTTATAAGCTCCGCCCTTTACACCTGGCAGTCAGTATAGAGAGCCACCTCCATCTTAGCTCCCTGTCAATCATTGTTATAAGCTCCGCCCTTTACACCTGGCAGTCAGTATAGAGAGAGCAGCCTCCATCTTAGCTCCCTGTCAATCATTGTTATAAGCTCCACCCTTTACACCTGGCAGTCAGTATAGAGAGAGCCGCCTCCATCTTAGCTCCCTGTCAATCATTGTTATAAGCTCCGCCCTTTACACCTGGCAGTCAGTATAGAGAGAGCCGCCTCCATCTTAGCTCCCTGTCAATCATTGTTATAAGCTCCGCCCTTCACACCTGGCAGTCAGTATAGAGAGAGCCGCCTCCATCTTAGCTCCCTGTCAATCATTGTTATAAGCTCCTCCCTTTACACCTGGCAGTCAGTATAGAGAGAGCCGCCTCCATCTTAGCTCCCTGTCAATCATTGTTATAAGCTCCGCCCTTTACACCTGACAGTCAGTATAGAGAGAGCCACCTCCATCTTAGCTCCCTGTCAATCATTGTTATAAGCTCCGCCCTTTACACCTGGCAGTCAGTATAGAGAGAGCCACCTCCATCTTAGCTCCCTGTCAATCATTGTTATAAGCTCCGCCCTTTACACCTGTCAGTCAGTATAGAGAGAGTCGCCTCCATCTCAGCTCCCTGTCAGTCACTGTTATAAGCTCCGCCCTTTACCCCTAGCAGTCAGTATAGAGAGAGCCGCCTCCATCTCAGCTCCCTGTCAGTCATTGTTATAAGCTCTGCCCTTTACACCTGGCAGTCAGTATAGAGAGAGCCGCCTCCATCTTAGCTCCCTGTCAATCATTGTTATACGCTCCGCCCTTTACACCTGGCAGTCAGTATATAGAGACCTGCCTCCATCTCAGCTCCCTGTCAGTCATTGTTATAAGCTCCGCCCTTTACACCTGGCAGTCAGTATAGAGAGAGCCGCCTCCATCTTAGCTCCCTGTCAATCATTGTTATAAGCTCCGCCCTTTACACCTGGCAGTCAGTATAGAGAGAGCCGCCTCCATCTTAGCTCCCTGTCAATCATTGTTATAAGCTCCGCTCTTTACACCTGGCAGTCAGTACAGAGAGAGCCACCTCCATCTTAGCTCCCTGTCAATCATTGTTATAAGCTCCGCCCTTTACACCTGGCAGTCAGTATAGAGAGAGCCGCCTCCATCTTAGCTCCTGTCAATCATTGTTATAAACACCTGTCAGCTCCCTGTTCATTGTTATAAGCTCCGCCCTTTACACCTGGCAGTCAGTATAGAGAGAGCCGCCTCCATCTTAGCTCCCTGTCAATCATTGTTATAAGCTCCGCCCTTTACACCTGGCAGTCAGTATAGAGAGAGCCACCTCCATCTCAGCTTCCTGTCAATCATTGTTATAAGCTCCGCCCTTTACACCTGGCAGTCAGTATAGAGAGAGCCGCCTCCATCTTAGCTCCCTGTCAATCATTGTTATAAGCTCCGCCCTTTACACCTGGCAGTCAGTAGAGAGAGCCGCCTCCATCTTAGCTCCCTGTCAATCATTGTTATAAGCTCCGCCCTTTACACCTGGCAGTCAGTATAGAGAGAGCCACCTCCATCTTAGCTCCCTGTCAGTCATTGTTATAAGCTCCGCCCTTTACACCTGGCAGTCAGTATAGAGAGAGCCCTCCATCTTAGCTCCCTGAATCATTGTTATAAGCTTTTACACCTGGCAGTCAGTATAGCTCCCTGTCAATCATTGCTCGCCTGTCTATAGAGCTCCGCCCTTCAATCATTGTTATAAGCTCGCCCTTTACACCTGGCAGTCAGTATAGAGAGAGCCGCCTCCATCTTAGCTCCCTGTCAATCATCTCCGCCCTTTACACCTGGCAGTCAGTATATCCATCTTAGCTCCCTGTCAATCATTGTTATAAGCTCCTCCCTTTACACCTGGCAGTCAGTATAGAGAGAGCCGCCTCCATCTTAGCTCCCTGTCAATCATTGTTATAAGCTCCGCCCTTTACACCTGGCAGTCAGTATAGAGAGAGCCGCCTCCATCTTAGCTCCCTGTCAATCATTGTTATAAGCTCCGCCCTTTACACCTGGCAGTCAGTATAGAGAGAGCCGCCTCCATCTTAGCTCCCTGTCAGTCATTGTTATAAGCTCCGCCCTTTACACCTGGCAGTCAGTATAGAGAGAGCCACCTCCATCTTAGCTCCCTGTCAATCATTGTTATAAGCTCCGCCCTTTACACCCTGGCAGTCAGTATAGAGAGAGCCACCTCCATCTTAGCTCCCTGTCAATCATTGTTATAAGCTCCGCCCTTTACACCTGGCAGTCAGTATAGAGAGAGCCGCCTCCATCTTAGCTCCCTGTCAATCATTGTTATAAGCTGCTACACTAGAGGCATTAGCGTTAGAGCCACTTACCACCTTAATCCGCAACAGCCCAAACATACACAGAGTACAAGTTCACCAAAGGGAATACAAGCTAACACTGTTTGCAGCCGACATTCGCCTTGCCCTGAACAGACCATGGGAATCTCTGCCAGCATTTGCTGCTACACTAGAGGCATACAGCTGCTGTTCTTACTACAAATGATTAAATGTTGCAAAAACACAAGCTATGGGCTTTAATCTCCCCCACACCTACCTGCAAACACTCCAGCAGAAATTTACTGCTTCCACAGATAAACTGTATAAATTGATCTACGTAAGCCTGCAAAAAAACATGTTAAAACACCCAGGAATGGTTGGAACAAAAACATGTCATATTGTGGTCAGGCTGTATGGCCGCCGTTAAAATGGTAGGGACCCCAAAATACCAACACCTCCCAATTAGAGTCCCAACATATTACTTTACGGAAAATCAAAAAATAATCAACAACTTAATTTGGGCTGACAAGAAGCCAAGAATCGCCCCCTCTACCATGTATAGACACTTCACAGACGGAGGCAGGAGCCTACCAAATGTGAGATATTATCTGGCAGCCAATATCAGCCCCATAGTCATAGCACAAACACAGAGAAACCCCACACAATGGGTAGGAGTCAACAGTGATGCCGGGGTACCAATTTTCTTCATTGATATGGCTCCCCAATCACCTTAGACCCAAAGAATTAAAACTGCTGCCCACAATAGCCTTGACATGTGGATATGGGTCGTTCATAGGCATGCATTTTGCTTGACTAAAGCATACTCCCCCTCTACAATCCTCGATCCTTAACTTTCGACTCTAGGACAGGCACATTATCTTTTATATTATCCAATTAATCCAAGGACACAAAGTTATAATATTAATATATTACAATTAATATTGTACATGGGCAACAGCTGACGAGTTTCGAGAAAACTAACAAATCAAACACCAGCTACAAAAATGATCTCATTGCTCTATGCGGGCCTAAACACTGGCCAGACAATTAACCAACTACCATTTATTCAAGCATGGGAACGTGAGCTAAACACCACAAGGTGCGGAAGAACCTATTCACCTTCAATAAGAAACTCACATTATGCACCAACCACATAGAACTATCCAGAAAAATATTATATAGATGGTACTTAGTGCCATCGTGGTTAAACCGCATTAACTCCAGTATCTCTGACAAATGTTGGAGATGCCAGGAGAGACTGTCAACATGCTCCACATTTGGTGGACATGTCTGCCATTGACAATCTATTGGAAAAGCATAGCAGACGTCATGCACTCCATAACGGGAATTAACATCCCGCATACCCCGGAATGCTTCCTGTTACAAAACTACTCTCCACAGTTAATTAAAGATATGATTTATCTCCTCTACCAGATCAATATAGCTGCACTTACAATTTTTAGCAGAAACTGGAAGAATAGTGTAGCCCCCACTCTAAAAGACTGCATACACCTAGTTAAACAAACTCTCTGAATGCTCGGCGAGATTAGCAGCTAACCAAAAAAACAAGATCTGGAAAATAGCATGGAACAAGTGGGACGAGGCTACTAAGCCCGGAAACCCATAAGTGAATAGCTTCTCTAAAACATCGACAGCTGTGCCCATAATAAGGAAACCCTGTATAATAACTGGTTGTGATCTGAAGAGTAACTTTATTTCCACTATTATTTTATTGCATTTTATAAAACTCCCTCCATTACCTGATAAGGTCCACTACCTCAGACCACTATGATACTTAGCTACTTAACTATTTAACGAACAAACATCTACAAAATGATAAATCACCAACTATTCTGATAAAGCTCATCCTACCTACCCTCCTCGGTTCTCTTCACTCTTTCTATGCTAAAAGGTCACAAAACAAAAATGTTCTTCACAACACTGTAAATAATCCATTTAACATGTTATCAGTTTTGTAAGCCACGGACATTATAACGTTGTAATTACGCATGTATATGTTTTTTACTGTTACTATGGTTGTTGCAGTTTATTTTATGTCATTGCAAATTAATGTGAACCTGAAAATTCATAACAAAAAAATAAAATAAAAAAAGTTGTGCAGGTTTAGTCCTTGGAAACCATCCAATCTTCTGGAAAGATAGTTTTGATAATGGAACTCACGGATTTCATCTTGAACTTTCACAGTTCTCGGTTTAGCTCATGTAGTTCCAGTATTGGATTCCATTCTCCTGATGCCTTTTGGAGTCAGAAAAAGTCTTGAGCAATATCCTAATCCTCTTTCTTCTTGGAGAACCGGACAAATGCCTTTTCTTTTCTTAGCTTTTCTGATTGTTGAAGACGCTCTGAAACTGCTTGGCGAATATAGGAGAGAACATCTGGATCAGGCTTTGTGGGACCAGGCGCTGCTTTAAGATAGACCATACACAGTCTCTTTCCAGACAACAGCTTATCATCACAGGCTTCACACAAAGGGGACTTATCCTTCTTTTTATATGAGGATCTATGAGCAGAACTAAGAATCCCACATCCAGACAAGCGGAATACACTCGTTTTTTTTATTTTTACATAACCAAACAAATTAAATAATTATTTGGAAAGTGACTTACTCAGAATCTCCTGATTGCTACCTACTTTGTGATGAGTGGCCATTGGACTCTATCTTGAAATTTGCAGCTAGAAAATGAAATTAACATTTTTAGCTCCCATGTCCAGCAAGAAATACACACACAAACCAGAAACAGATTAATAATAGTTATCCAAGGATATATACAATGATTACCCATCCATAAAATAATTAATCTCTAGGCAGAATTCCCTGGAGAAATATATTAATAATAATATCAGGCAGAAAGATGCAACAGAAATAAGAATGAAGCATGTATCTGCCACCAAGTGGCCAGGAGCAAACCGCGAGAATAAAGGTGAATGTAATAAGGGAGTTCTCTTTGTCTGTCATGCAGAAATCAGGGATCCTGAGAGGCAAGCAGGGCCGGACTGGCCCACCGGGATACCGGGAAATTTCCCGGTGGGCCGCGGCACCTGGGGGCCGGCCGCGTTCCTGGGCCGGCCCTTTAAATACTGCAGCCGCCCGTGCGCTCTGTTAAGAGCCTCAGGCGGCTGCAGCTTCTCCCTCTCTTCTTACCCCCTCCCCTGTAGCGTGGCCGAGCTGCACTCCGGTCCGCGGTGGCCGGCCGGCCGGATTGATAGGATGGTGCACACTGAGTGTGCACTTCCTGTCAGTCCGGCCGGTTACAGGAAACAGAAACTCCTGTTCCGCATGGAGTTTCTGTTTCCTGTAACGGACTTGACACTCCCGAGTGTGCCATCCCTATCACTCGGCCGACCACCCATGGGGCGGAGTGCAGCTGGCTGCAGCACAGGAGGGTAGAAGAGGGAGAAGGAGAGTATAAGAAAGAAAGGGAGGGAGGGAATAAAAAAAGAGGAGAGGGAATAAGAGAATAAGAAGAGGATGGGGAATAAGAAGAGGAGAATAAGAAGAGGAGGGGGGAATAGAAGAGGAAGAATGAAAAAAAGGGGTAAGAAGAAGAAGGGGTGAGTAAAAGATGGAAGCTAAGAAGAAGGAGGAAGTAAAAAGAAAAAGAGGGGAAGTAAGGGAGAAGGGGAGTAGAAGGAGGGGAGATAAGAAAAAAAGAGGGTAAAAGAAGAAGGGGTGAGTAAGAAAAAGAGTGGGGAGTAAGAAGAAAGAAGAAGGGTAAGAAGAAAAAGGAGGTATTAAGAAAGAAAAGAAGAAGAGTAAGAAGGGGGAGGAAGAAGAAGGGGGGGTAAGAAGAAGGGGGGTAAGAAGAAGAAGGGGGAGCAATAAGAAGGGGGGTAAGAAGAACAGGTGGGGGAGTAAGACGACCAAGGGGGGAAGTAAGAAGAACACAGGGAGGAGGGGGGTAAGACGAACACAGGGTGTGTGAGGAGAACACATAGAGGGAGGAGTGAGAAGAACACAGGGAGGGTGGAGGGGGGGATGAGAAGAGCACAGGGAGGGTGGGTGAGTGTGAGAAGAGACCGCTAGGGGAGGGTGGGGGAGAGAAGAGACCACTAAGGTGCAGGGGAGAGCTCTACGGGACAGAAGGGGCAGCTCTATAGGACAGGGGCCAAGACAGGGAGCTCTTTCACACTACGCGCGCGTACACACACACACACACACACACAATGCAACCCCTACACACAAAGACAATGCATCCTTTGCACACATACACAGAAACAGACAATGCAAACCCGTACACACACATGCAAACACACACACTTCTTTTCTTACATACACACAGAAACACAATGCATCTCTTACACTCAATGCACACACATACAGACACACACACCTTGCATCCCTTATGCATACAAACAGAGTCACACAATGCATCCCTTACACACAACCAGAAACACATAATACATCCCTTATACACAAATACACACTGCTTCCACTACACACAAACACACTACATCACCTGCACAAACTGGTAACCCCATACACTACATACCATAAGCACACATATTAGATCCTCTACAATAACACATAACACATCCCCTACACACTCCACTCCCTGTGAGCGAACTCATGGGTGGGTGGAACTTATGAGTGGGCCTTATGGGCATACTCACCGTCAGGCCCTGGGGCCCAGACCTTGAGCTGTGTAAGGGGCCCCAAAAATGGAGCTGCTTCCAATTCTCCCAGAACATTGAATTTTGTGACCACAGTTGCAAACAGCCTCCAGAGATCCTGTTCTACACCAGACCAGTGGAGCCAAACTGCAGCCCATCATCATCCTCATCTGCTTGTAAGTAGGCAATCTAGTATATTATTAGTGACACTAATCTATAATGTACCTCACATTAAAGGGACACTATAGCTTAATGAAGTGGTTCTGGTGTCTATAGCTGGTCCCTGCAGGCTTTTTAATGTAAACACACACTGTGTGCAGCACTGGCGTTAGTTCATATGGGTGGGGCATTGTGATGTCACATGGGGGGCAGCAAATTTTTATTTTGTCTAGGGCGGCAAAAATCCTTGCACCGGCTCTGATCCTGGGCAGGTGCACCAGTCTACTGGTGACCCACAGGAGGGGAGTGCACTGATTGCACTGCACTCTCCTCCTGCCCAGCCCCATCTTTACCGCAGTGCAAGTGCCCTCTGCCCTTAATTTACAGTGGCTCACACTCACAACAAGCAGTGCCTGGAGCCGTGAAGGAGCGGGTATGGCAAAGAGCTACTGATTAGCATAACATCAATATCCGTTATAAAACCAGGAAAAGGTGGGCATGGATGGTGAACTGATTTGGTGGTGCAATGGGCCACTTGACTGGTTTTGCCCCCCAGGCCTAAGGCTGCCAGCCCTCCCCTGCTCACTGCTATGGCTGATGGAGGAGGAGCATGTCTCTGTACCATGCTCCCTCGCGGTTCCCGGCACAGGAAGCTGCCACCCGGCCCGGCGGCTCCAGCCAGGAACGCGGACGGCCCCCTGACTTCTCCAGGTAAGGGGGGGGGAGAGGGGAATAGAGGGAGGAGGGAGAGACACAGGGAAAGCGGGGAGGGAGAGAGATGGGGAGAGACACAGGGAAAGTGGGAGGGAGAGAGATGGGGAGGAGGGGGGAGAGACACAGGGAAAGGGGGGGAGAGAGATGGGGAGAGACACAGGGAAAGGGGGAGGGAGAGAGATGGGGAGGAGGGGGAGAGACACAGGGAAAGGAGGGGGAGATATAAAATAAATCTGCACTTTTGTTTATTTTAAAGCCTATAAGTGCGCTTTTTACGTTGAAGTACTTTTTAATTTTAAGTTATCTGTTCTAACTCTGTATCTGCACACTATGCTGGCGCGATGCATTATGGGGCTGGTAAATATTTTTTTTCCAGGGCTGCTTTTAATTCCCAGTCCGGCCCTGGAGGCAAGAGGCAGCGTTTAAGTACTGAATAGAAATTACAGGAAGCCTGGGAGAATCCAGCATAGGCCCTCTCCTGGCTTGTGTTCCAACGCTGGTGTGAGCGTCCTGATAGGATATTATACCTGGAGCCGGAAATGAGGTAAGCAAGAAGGAACACACGCTCAAATTTCAGTATTCCACCGATAAACAAGGAGAATGAAAGACCAGAAAACAGGAAAAAGTGTTGGAATGGACGGGCAAGTATCAGCGTGCGATTCACTGCCATCTGTAAACAAAATGAGAAAAAGGGCTAAACATGTTCAACCTAGAGAAAGGTAAGATCAGGATAAAGGAGATGAGTCCTCCAGCAGCACTGTAATGGCTCAAGGAGAATCCTGTTTTATTTAACATACAGACCATTGATCTTACACCATTTCTCCTATGTCCAGAGTAGCCATCATAGATGAGAAAGTCAGTGTACCACAGGACTGCAATCAGGTAGGTGTACTCTGTGTGGCGGAACGTACAGTTAATTGTGACTATTTGACTTTTCTTACGTTCAGGAGTTATTGTACCCAAACCCACTTGGTTCGGCTTCCAAATGGGGACCCCCCTGTACCTCATTAGAACACTCGAGCAGAAATTAACACATACGTGTGAAACCGCAAAGGAAACAATTAATTAGTTTTTCCCCTGGGTGGCCCGAACACAGGTAGTGGGAAGAGGTATTCGAATGTCTGGAACCTTTTTCGGACAGACAACCTCGCGAACATTGGAAAAACTCTACCGCTCCCTGCTCCTAACAGTTAGGAGAGCGCTCTTTGGGAGAACGAGACTATCAACCAGGGAGATCATTCGATCCCTGGAAGTGAAAGACTACCTTCAATGGTGTTCATACAGGAACTCTCGAACGGAGACTGGCCATTGCACCACTTTCTCTGGAACGGTTTTGGACATCAACCTCGTGGATGGTCGGTCAGAACTTTACCCCGGTGGTGATTCTATTCTACAAAACGGATTTGAGCGCCTATGTCACCTACACAACCTAGCCTCCGGAGATTAGGTCCCTCTCTTGGCCACAGACGAATACAGAGCCGTCCCCGACGCAGACCTACGTAATTAAGCCAGGGTGAAGCAAGTACTGCTGGCTAGATATGCTATTCCTCAAGAAGCATATCGCAAGAAAATTCTGCAAATCAAAGAAAGGCGAAAAGGATTCGCACACCGAATGGGCATGCCAGTTAACAAGGGCCGCCTTTAACTGGATGCAGGCACAACAAGCAAAGACCCCAGAGGAGATGTTACAAGTTGTCTTGATCAAGCAGTTTTATAATGGACTATCCTTTTGAGGTACAAGAATGAGTAAGGGACCGACAACCCTTGACCCTGACCGAAGCTGCTCAGCGGGCAGATGAATACATGGATGCCAGGAGACCACAGCGCCCCGGCTACCGATTGCCACTCCGCCATGCCCAGCCCTATGTCCCTGCTCCGTTATCACAACCACGGAGCCAACTGACCCCAGTAGCCCTGCAGAGGGCCCCAAACAGAGCTAACACCCAGTGCCATCAGTGCTTTCACTACGGGCACATGAGAGACTGTACCCAGCTGAGAGACCGTTCCCAGTGGGTCCAACCAGAATCACTATCAGCACCTAGGGCAGCACCCATTGTTATCATGCAGAAACACCATATCTAACCAACCCATCACTGAAGAAGCCTGTGGTTTCCTACATGAGGCAGACCCAGTACAGGCTGCAGTGGATAAAAGGAGGCACCATCAGCAGTTTGTAAAGCTGAAAGAGGATTGTCCAAGGTTTACGTGACACAGGAGCCACAATAACGCTAGTCCAGAACAAGCTAGTTACTGAAGCAGAAAAGACTGGAGGAACTGTAGTGGTCCGGGTAGTAGGGGAAGCCATATACCGCTTATCGACCGCCAAGGTCCACTTGAATTGAGGTGCTGGAAATGGGATGACCGAGGTAGGACTGATGAACCATTTACCAGCCGAGGTTCTACTAGGCAACTTTCTTGGCCAGTTAACCTCAGCCTTTGCACCCTGTGCCGACAACGAGGAACTATATTCTGTCACTACACGGCAACAAGCCTGCACTTCCCATCCCGCTAGACCCAGCCCCACTACCCTGGGATACCCCAGAAGAGTTTGAAAAGGAGGTAACCTCTGATCCCTCCCTGTAGAAGTCTCGAGACAAGGTAGTCACTAGTCAGGCAGGATTAGAAGGCGATAGGTTTATGTGGAAGGGTGGGCTGTTATGTTTGTTATACAGGATAGGCCCCGACTACTACCAAACAGTTAGTAGTCCCAGAAAATATAGATGGGAACTCAAGAGAATTGCTCAAGTGATATTCCCCTAGCTGGTCTTTATTTTTTTAAAAAATTTTTTATTTTTTTTTCATTTCAGACATTACAAGCCTCTTATATTCTTTACTACTTTGCATCTCAGGCTTGGTATATTCGTCATCATCAATGTTCTCTTTCTCTCTCCTTTTTCCTATTAAATAACTTTAATTTATAGAAAACACCTTATTATTAATAAACACACACAAACATAAAATAATCATATGCAACATTCATACGTGGTGATGAAACCTTCTTCCCTCCTCTCTCTGCATTACTCTTCATAGTACTAATATATGAGCTAGCATTTCTCTTTTTTTTTCTTTTTCTTTCCCTTCCTTTCTTTACCTTTCTCTTCTTTTCCTCTCTTCCTTTCTTCCTTCCCTTCCTCTTCTCTATCTATTAATCTACTACCAACAGTTTTTCTAACCACTTATTTATATGGAAGATTTTTTTTTCCCTCAGATTTCCATTCAGACCTCCCTCCATCCTAAATTGCGAAATTAATAAGTTTTTTACTATGTCCCAATTTGGAAGGGTTTTGGTTCTCCACCTTTTAGCTATGGAGAGTTTTGCCGCTATTAATGCATGGGCAAGGAAATATTGCAAATCCACATTGTACTGATAAATATTCAAGTATAATAAGCACATTTCCGGGGCAATAGGAAAATTAAATCCAGTTATCTTTTCTATTTTAAACAAAAACATTTTCCAGAATTCTTTAAGTGGGGGGCAACTCTACCAAATATGCAAGGAGTCTCCCACTCCCCCTTCACACCTCCAGCATGTATCTGTTTTACTCTGGTCTATTTTTTTTAGACGACCAGGAACCAAGTAGAGTCTATTAATAATCTTAAAATGTAGTTCCACTAAATTTAGGCATTTAATGCGCCTAGCAACTGTCAACCATGCTGTATTCCACTCTTGAGCATCAATTTTTTGTATTTTACTTTCTCCCATTTTTTTATTGCTGGAAATGTCGAGTCGCCCTCTAGTTGTCTCAATACCGAATTACACTTATTTAATCAATTTTTGATGTCCTTTCCTTTCAGTAAATTTCCTAATTTATTATTAATTTCCCATTTCTCTTTATTTACAGTTTTATTCAGATAGCTTTTAATCCTCATATAATTAAATTTCTCAGTTTCGGGAAGACTGAAATTCAAACGAATTCACCCAGGGTCCTGTTGTTATGTCTTCTATGGTTTGTATACCTGCTCTTTTCCATTTATTTAAACTTATGTCTCGCATATTATTTTCCAATATTGAGATCGGTAGAGTATTAATAATGTGGTTTTTAAATCCTGCACTTTTTTTTATCTTACTCCACATTCCTCTAATGGATTCAATTACCACACTACCAGAGCTTGGTTGGATCTTATTTATATCTCCTTCTTGAGTAAACCAAAAAAATTTACTAGTTCCCTACCTTCTGCAAGTTCCTTTTCCACCACGTACCACTTCTCTAACTTAGCCCCCCTCGATTGTGAAATAATACTATAGAAAAGGATATTTGCTTTATGGTATTGATGTATGAGTGGAGATCCTACCCCTCCCATAGATTGACTAATCAAGAGGAGTTTTCTTGCCATTCTAGGTTTCTTTGTTTGCCATATAAATTTGGACCAAGCCTGTTGTATTAATAGCAACCAACTATCAGGGACACTCAGAGGAATCATTCTAAACAAATATAACCATTTTGGTAAGATGTAAGACTTAATAATATTAATACGGCCCCACCACGAAAATTCCAAATTCCTCCAACCCTTTAGAAGCTTATTCGTTTTAATCAGCAATGGAAGAAAATTAATCTCTACTATTTTCAATGGGTCGGTACATATATTAATTCCTAGATAGTTAAATGAGTTTTCGACCCATGTGAAATTAAATTTCTTCATGATCTCATTTTTTTCTTCTTTATTTACATTTATCGCTAAAATCGATGATTTTTCTATGTTTATTTTGTATCCAGAGACCTGGGAAAAACTCCCAATGGTTTCCATAAGTTGTATTCTAGATTGTAGAGGTTTTTGAATTGTTAAGATGATATCATCAGCATATAAGTTTATTTTTATACTTACTTTATTAAAATCAAAACCTACTATTCCTTGGTCTTGTCTTATGGCTAAGGCCAATGGTTCTAATGCCATGATGTAAAGTAACGGAGACAAGGAACATCCTTGTCTTGTTCCGTTAAGCAATGAGAACCATTCAGATCCAAAGCCATTTCCTACCACTCTAGCCGTAGGTGTTGTATAAAGAGCTGATATATTCTGAAAAAGTCTTCCCTCTAACCCAAACGCATGAAGGGTTTGTCTCATGAACTCCCAGTTGACCCTGTCAAATGCTTTTTCAGCATCTAAAGACAGGGCCAACATGGGAGCGCCGGTTTTTGTTGCGTAATCCAGCACATCAATCAGTCTTCTTATATAATGGGTGGATGATCTGCCAGGGACAAATCCCACCTGATCCCTGTCTATCAAATTTAATATCATCCTTTTTAAACGTTCTGCTATCATGGCCGAATATAACTTTATATCTGTATTTAAAAGGGAAATTGGACGATAATTCTTGATTTTTTCTATATCTTTTTCCTTGTTTAGGAATTGGGACTATATTTGCTTGTAATAATTCTGTTGGAATCTTTTCGGTTGTTGCAAAGGAATTAAAAACTTCAATCAAATCTGTTTTGATATTATTTTTCAGTAATTTATAGAAGAGATTGTCAAACCCATCTGGTCCTGGGGATGTATTTTTTTTTAAGTTTATTAATACAAAAGATCAATTCATCTTCTTCAAATACTTTATTCAATTCTTGTAGTTGTAAATCTGTAATTTTCAGGATTTTAATAGTTTTTAAGAACTCTCTAATTTATAGTTTAGTTATTTGATTCGAAATATTATATAAATCATAATAATTTTTTAAAAGCCTCTCCTATTTTTTCTGGATTTAATAGGGTTTCCCCATTGTATAAAATTTTAGTTATAACCTTTTTAGCTCTTTCTTTCTTTAGTCTATTTGACATCAGTGCTTCTGCTCTGTTTCCTGTATAATACCACTTTTGTTTCATGGCTATTAAGGCCTTATTAGCTTTTACTAACAATTGGTCATTTATTAGTTTTTCTATTTCTGTTATAGAGTTGGTAATATTATTCAAAGGGTTTCTTTTATTTTGATAAAGCAAATCATCCAACCTTACATATAGCTCAGCTAGATTAACCCTTTTCTCATTCCGTTTATTTTCTTTAGCTGTTAGACTTATGAGATGACCCCTCATAACCGATTTAAACGCACACCACATCATTGCTGGACAGATCTCATTGTTTCTATTTTCTAAGAAGAAAAGGTCTGTCATCTTTTTAATATAATTAACGTTATTTTCATTTCTCAAAATCCAGTCCTTCCTTCTTCATTCTGTTCTAGCTCTCTCAAACTGTTATTTTAATTCTAATATAACTGGATTATGGTCAGACCACGTTATAGATGTTATAAGGATTTTTTTAACTTGTTTCACCAAATATTTATCCCCCAAAATTAGATCAATTCGAGAGTATGAACAAAATGTTTTGGAGAAACATGAAAAATCTCTTTCTTTTGCATGGAATATCCTCCAATAATCCAACAATTCATAAAATAGTCTCCCATTGGTTTTTACCTTCTTATAGTTATTACCTTTTAATTTGGGACTCTTATCCAAGTCTGCGTCCAAGACGCAGTTGAAGTCCCCCATAACAATGACATAGCCTGTTTTAATATGGTCAATTCTATTAAATATTTTCCTAATAAATGGAATTTGTGCCTGGTTCGGAGCATAAATATTAGCTAATGTATATTTTTGGTTGTTGATTTCACACACTAGGATTATGTATCGGCCTTCTGTGTCAAGTTCTTGGTGAACAATTTTCAAAGAAATATTCTTTGAAAACAAAAAAGCTACCCCTCTTTTTCTTTTTTGGTTTAGAGAGGCATTAATTATCGTGGGAAATAGCTTAGACTTAAGTTTTATTTTCTCTTCTAATTTCCAGTGTGTTTCCTGTAAAGCCACTATATGTATTTGCTCTTTCCTCAAAAATTCAAGAATTGTATATCTTTTAAATTGAGAATTGATTCCTTTTGCATTAATTGTTGCAAATCTCATATTATATTCTTATTTTTTCTTTTTTCTCCTCCCCTTTCCCCTTTCTCTCTTTCTTTTTCTCCACCGGGAGTCTAGAAGGGCTATCATCTTAACATACAAACACTTACAACCATACATCTCTATACATTTTCTGCCTTTACTTAGGCCTTGAATGTATCTCTCCTACTTATCTCCTTCCCCGGACTTCCCATAATCCTGAGGAGACTGATCAAATAGCGACAGTGTCCCTCTTGCGAGAGTCGCTTGTAGCCCCTTCTTTAAACTCACAAGATTACTAACAATCTATGAGCTAAAGTATTCTCCTGGCCAGGAGAAATATATCTGTAAAGCGAGAGAAAAAAAAAAAAAAACACTTTAAATCTAAATTTATTTCCCTTTATCCCTTTTTGTCGTGAATCTTCTGTGTACTGTTTTAGTCTCTTTACTATATCAAATTTCCTTTTCTTCCTTCTTGTGACAATTATCAATTAATTTATTGAATATGTATGAGTTTACCATTGTGTTTTTTCAACTCATATATATAAAAAAAAAAAAAAAAGCTAGCTGGTCTTTAAGGGGTAAGCTGCACTAAGCATCGGCTCACCCAGAGATTTTCTGGCCCAGCATCTCCAAAGACTTGAGGCACTACTGTCAGTCTTGGGATGTCTGCCAGAAGGTAGGAAAGACAGGCGCAAAGCCAAACTCCATCCCCTTCCAGTCATCGCTGACCAGTTCGGCAGAGTAGCTGTCGATATTATAGGACCCCTAGCTAAGCCTAGTCCTTCTGGATAGAAATCTATTCTGACCATTGTCCATTGACTATGCTACCATTGACTATGCTACCAGATACACCGAAGGATTAGCCTTAAGTAACATTCAGGCAGAGACCATGGCTGAGGCGCTGATGCGAGTGTTCTCCTGAATGGGAGATTGCCTCAGATCAGGGAACCCAGTTCGTCGCCGAAATGACCCACCAACTGTGGAAGTTATGTGTTATCAATACCACCCCCAGACTAACTGCTTGTACGAACACTTCCACGGTACATTAAATCAGATGCTTCGAACCTTTGCAGCCACCCGCCGAGACTGGGAAAGATTCCTGCCGCACCTCCTGTTCGCTTTACAGGAGGTGCCGCAAGAATCTACAGGCCTCTTTCCGTTCGAGTTACTGTTCGAGCGCAGAGTAAGAGGTCCCATCGATCTAATTCAGGAACATTGGGAGGGAGATGTAGGTCAGGACGGGACCCCCAGCATACCTTATGTGCTGGAGTTCAGGGAAAAGCTGAAGGAACTCAATTGGTACGTGATAACCTCCAGGAGCACCAGCACACCTGGTATGATCGGGGAGCTAGGGGCTGTAGCTTTCAGATCGGGCAGAAGGTTCAGGTCCTAAAACCCGTTCAACATGACAAGCTACAGGCCACTTGGCAGGGACCATATCAGGCGGTGGAACAAAAATGTGACATCAATTATGTTATCAGTCCATGCTCGGGGGAAGGGATTCGGCGCATGTTACACTTTAACATGCTAAAACCCTACCACGAGAGGACAGAGGACGTAGCCGCTATCTGTGCTCCCACCTCGGAAGATTTGGATAATCTTCCCCTGCCTGACCTCCTAGAGAATGGCGTTCAGGCAGGGTCCATTGATGAGGTCCAACTAGGGGACCGATTAACCAGTGAGGAACGCAGGCAAGCCCAGCAGATGCTATCTGCAAAGAGAAACACCTTCTCCAATCCGCCCAGGTTCACCACTCTAGTCACCCACAAGCTAGAAACTCCCATACAACAACCTCTCAATAGAAGCGTCTAAGAGTCCCTGGGCCTCCCCGGTGCTCCTCGTCACAAAACAAGATGGGACAACATGGTTTTGTGTAGACTACCGGAGGCTCAATGACAAGACTGTCTCTGGCGCCCATGCCACGTATAGACGAGCTACTAGACAGAATGGCACATGGCCAGTACCTTACAACCATTGACTTATGCAAAGGATACTGGCAAATCCTTTTAGCGGAAGAAGCTATCCCAAAGTCGGCATTTGTCACTCCATTTAGTCTATACCAATTTAAGGTAATGCCGAACTATAGAGGCCTAGCAAAACCCCTCACCGACCTGACCTGAAAGAACTTGCCCGTGAATGCACCCGTCCTGACTGCTCCTAATCCAAATAAACGCTTTCTTAGTTACACAGATACCTCCATGTTTGGATTGGGAGCAGTACTGAGCCAGGCCGGGGACAATGGCGAAGAACACCCTGTAGCCTACCTCAGCAGAAAGTTACTACCAAGGGAGGTGAGCAACGGCGCCATCGAAAAGGAATGTCTTGCGGTGGTGTGGGCTCTTAAGAAACTTCAGCCATACTTCTTTGGACAACAATTTACCCTACTCAAGGACTAAAACCCGTTAGCATGGCTTAACTGGGTCGCTAAGGATAACGCTAGGCTATTACGTTGGAGCTTGGCCTTACAACCATATGACTTCATGATCCATTATCAACCCAGTAAGCAGAATAGAAACGCTGACGGGTTATCACGTCAAACAGAACTGTCCCGTGGGTACTCTCCGGGACATCTCCAAGCTGTTCCGTGGAGATTGTGTATGCCAGCTTGTGGTTGAAGGGGAGCTGTGTGGCGAAACGTACTGTTCATTGTGACTATTTGACTTTTCTTACGTTCAGGAGTAATCGTAACAATTAATGAGTGCTTCCCCTGGGTGGCCACCATTTTGTATAACTGAACAAATGTGTGCGAAGAAATGGCGGCCATTTTGTCTTCCGAACACAGGGAACGGGACGAGGTCGTCAAATGCCTGGAACCCTTTTCGATAGACGACCTAGCGAACATCGGAGAAACTCTACCACTACCTGCTCTAGGCCCCGAACAGCTAGGAGAGCACTCTTTGGGAGAACGAGACTATCAACCAAGGGAAGCATTCCCTCCCTGGAAGCGAAAGACTACCTTCAACGGTGTTCGTACAGGAGCTGCCGAACGGAGACCTGCCGTGGCACCACTTTCCCTGGAACTGTTTTGGGTTTCAGCCTCATGGCCAGCCGGTCAGAACTTTTGCCATGTGGCGATTCTATTCTACCAAACGGATGTGAGCACTATTTGGCGCTCAGATCTGGGCTATCTGGGGATATGACACTTGTGGGGTTCCTGTCGATATCAGGGATACTTTGGGGGGATTGTATATATAGGAAAAATAGCGGCGGTAACCAGTCGGGTTAACCGGAGTCTGCTACACCCTGAACGGGAATTATCATCTTAGGGGACTGGCACTTCCAGCTGCTACCTATAAAAACACTGCAGTGTAACTCCCCAGTCGCTGAGAGGAGAATCCTCTAGGAGGTCACCCTTGGTAAGGCACCATATCCTGAAGCTTCCATTGGAGAGAGGCTGACTAAGCTGGGGTGCTATTAGACCCAAGTAAGTCACAAAAGAAAAAGAGGAGCTGAAAAACACCATATGTCTATGTGAAGTGGACAGGAAAAACAGACTGTGGGGCAGGGGAGGAAGTCTCTTTTATTGTTAAATTAGAAGATGTTTCAGTCTAAGGAATGGTAGGAGCTATACCCATCTGTAGTGATGCCATGTATATATCTGGGAAAGAAAGCTTCCTTGAATTCATCTGTCTTTGTGCAGTAAAACTGGTTACTGGGGTGGCATGGGGGTTAGAGACCATAGTTCATCTACCAATGGAGTGTCCTACTGAGTCTACACAAAGAAACAAGTGCCACCTTCTAAATTATAAATGTTATTACATCAATGTAAGAAATTAGACTGAGATTAATACAAAGTTTTAAGGATTAACATTCTGGAGGAACAAACAGAAAGTAGTTAGAATATGGCATAATATTAATAGGTCATCTTTCTCCTAAATATATTGTGTCTAATTTGTTGATCTGGATTAAGAAGCTATTGAGTGGGTGTTATCCAAGTAGGAAAACTCATCCTAGGAGAGAGTGTCACCCAACATCAAATACAGTCACTCACACACTTTAACTCTGTCTTTTTATTTTACACAGCTTGCACTCTCTGAGTTTCTCTGTAATTTTTCTCTGATGACTGTACACACCTAGAGACCAGATGATAAGGCACACAGAGCCCCCACTAGATTAACAGAAAACCACTATTTGCCCCTGCATTCTATGTATATACAGATTTGTGTTTCTATAGAAGTATATTCTTTTTCGAATTGCATTTTTATTTGTGTTTAATTAGTGTTGCAGTACTTACCTTATCCGGGGGGCTGGCCGGGGGCCACGGCTCGAGCACTCCTGCCTTCCCAATCTCCTCTTCTGAGCGGGCCACGTGCACTGATTGCAGTGAGCGGTTACGTGGCCTGCCTGGCACTAGGAGCGCTGCTTGCGTCACGAGCGTGCTCTTAAAGGGGCAGTGGGAGCCCCAAGTGGCACCCCCACACTCGCACATTTTGGGGGTGTAGGTATGACGTGGGCCAATCAAATGTTAGTAAAAGGATATTTAAACTTGAATATATACAGAGCACTCTTAACCAGGAAACACCCGGCAAAGAAGTACAAAAAAGGGTTACAGGGGTACTAAAGGGCCTAACCCTAGAATATAAAGGAGATAAAGAAAAATACTCCTCTACCAAGAGAGGAGGCTAGTTCCATCAAAACCAGTACCCCTTTTAGAGCAGTACAAATATAGAACTGCAGAAAAACTATGGGACAGAAAAATAATAAAGTTTTATTAGAGATAAAAAACGTAGAAATCTTATCAAAACCTATCTATATACATAACACTGGACTGCTTAGCTATGTTCTGTATGAAGCTAATTATAGACAAAGTGGAGCTAATGTGCTCATACAGAGTGCAACATAGTTACAATGAATGCAGTATCCAATACTAATAAAGAGTAATATATTGAAAGAATGTTGCAAAAGAGGTGGCAGAGCAGCAACAGATCCAAAAAAGAAAAAAATTATGTATATATATATATATATATATATATGTGTGTAACAGTCACAGTATAGCATCAGCTGTTGTATTTAAATGAACCCCCATAAGTAAAGTGAAATAAGGTTATATTATAGATAAAAGGGGGGAACAGTAATCCCTCTATGTCTATAAATAATAATATTCAAAATCCTACACAGTCCAATCGAACTAATTAAATGGCTGGAATCTGATTATAGAGTACTGAACCAGAGCTCGAAAAGATGGGTAAATCGAAAGGACAGGAAGATAAAGGATAATTGAAATAAAGTGACTACTAGTCTGGAGAGAAAAATAAATGCACGGAGCTACTAATCAAAGAGAGGACTCGGCCGGCAAAAGAGTCCCTCAATAGAGAGCAGCATGCAAGAAGTCTGGCTGATACTAAAACAGTATGTATAGATAGCAAAAACCCAAAACCCGACGCGCGTTTCGGCGAAAGATCGCCTTTTTCAAGGGCACGAGCAAACAATGTGCATCAACCCCTTATCTCCTTTTATACATCTGGCGCCGAATCCTGGAACCAATAGGATGTAGCAACTGCCAACCACCAATGAAATTCAGAGGTGGGAGGTCTCAAAGACCGTACATGGCAAAAGCCCGAGTGGCTAGGAGTGATATGTGCCGCCCACCAATAAAATTCAAAGATTTCAATTATCCTTTATCTTCCCGTCCTTTCGATTTACCCATCTTTTCGAGCTCTGGTTCAGTACTCTATAATCAGATTCCAGCCATTTAATTAGTTCGATTGGACTGTGTAGGATTTTGAATATTATTATTTATAGACATAGAGGGATTACTGTTCCCCCCTTTTATCTATAATATAACTTTATTTCACTTTACTTATGGGGGTTCATTTAAATACAACAGCTGATGCTATACTGTGACTGTTACACACATATATATATATATATATACATAATTTTTTTCTTTTTTGGATCTATTGCTGCTCTGCCACCTCTTTTGCAACATTCTTTCAATATATTACTCTTTATTAGTATTGGATACTGCATTCATTGTAACTATGTTGCACTCTGTATGAGCACATTAGCTCCACTTTGTCTATAATTAGCTTCATACAGAACATAGCTAAGCAGTCCAGTGTTATGTATATAGATAGGTTTTGATAAGATTTCTACGTTTTTTATCTCTAATAAAACTTTATTATTTTTCTGTCACATAGTTTTTCTGCAGTTCTATATTTGTACTGCTCTAAAAGGGGTACTGGTTTTGATGGATATTTAAACTTCCCTGGCCTTATCCACTTTGCCCGTTCGGGGAGTTCAGTACACTTTAGTTCGTTCCTTAATCTATTATTTATTCTGGTATTGACCTTGGTTTTGTATCTGACTCTGAGGTTTTCTTTAACCCTTTTCTGTCTTGTTTGCCCATCTCACTGATTACTGTGTACCTGGCTAGTTCTTGTTTTTTCGCTTTCCCTCTGTTACCCTGACCTGTATCGTCTCTGATTACGCTTAATCTCAGTCTGACGTTTAGTCTGGCCATTCATAGGCCCGGTAAAACGTTATAGCCTAGTCTTGTCCCTTGTAATCCTACACTGTGCCAATCAGGGGTTGAAAGATGGATATGGAAGCAGCATTTCAGCAGCATTTATGGTTACACATTTAATCATTACATTTAGTTCTGGAGGTACAACTGACAATCTTTATTGAAAACAGGCTTCTTTTATGCATAAACCCCCAAAGGGGTCTCCATACATTCAGTACTAATTCCTCAGTCCCAGGTTACAGCAGATAACCATCTCACGCTCTGGGAGATACCAACTGGACAATAGCTACACACATTAAAACATAGAGGGGACACTTAGGGGCTCCGCGCCCGGGCATGGAAGGGGTCACACATATCAGACACATATCACTGGATAGACCCGAGTCCCCTCTGGGATCCCTGCAAATAGCAGGGCTATCGGGTGTACAGAGCCCCGAGAAATCATTGTCTTAGGTCTGAGGCTCGAGGCTCTGAACGTCCCTGAAATTAGTTCCAGGGAGTTGCTTGGTTTAGTCTGGTGAATTCAAACTTTGTGCCTAAACAAAGCAACAATCAATCAGCTGAAAGGGCACAAACCAAATTGCGCCAATCGGCATTCGGGGATTTGACGAGACCAATCTCGCCACTGTGCATTGGAGGAGCCTGGTTGCCTGCCTGCTGCCTTTTGACTATGGACCAGCATTTAAGTACTTTATTTTCCTATGCAGAAAGGTCTATTCATGTATTTCTGCTCTGGCGTTCCGTAGATTCTCGGATTTACAGAATGAACTCATTTAACCCAGATAGCTATGCCATGGAGCCTATTCATGTAATAAAAGACTTTGGCTCCATGGCAATTGAACTGTATGTGTGTGGTCTGTGTGTGGTATGAATAATGTGGAAAAACTGTTTTTCTCTGCCGGTGATAATTACATTACCCATTGTGTAAGGTAATTGTATCACAGGCAGAGGGGAGGATTTTGTGTGGGAGTGTCTGAGTGTATTGTATGTGTTTATTGGTTGTTTTCCAAAACCCGTTGGGTGGTACTAATGTGTATATAACAACAATAAACCCACAGCTCTGTCTGTTCCTGCTTGACCCTCAAAACGGAGCCTTGTCTCGTTCTTGGGGGAATTTATTGTATGCTGTTCCAGTTTGACTGCTAGGAGTGTAAACCTATTCGTATGGTTTTTCCTATTCGTCTGTTTACAGTATTTGTATGTTTGAGAGCATTCATATGTTCGGTGGATTGGTGTTTACAGTAGCTGCCTGTGTCTCTGGAAGGGGAAGATCTTCTAAACGGCGGTTAAACCCTTTTATGCCTGGGGTGCCGTTACAGGGGAGGAGAGGAGTTTCGCCACCCAATCCGAAGAGCGGTCTCGAAACTCTGTTGCACCAGTCTGCACTGGAGGAGGAGAGGGGTTTCACCGCCCAATCAGATGAAAGGGTGCGAAAACCCTGTTTGGAAGGCGCTCCCTCTCTGATTGGTCACCTGCGCACTGCAGTGACCAATCAACGCTGCCTCGTGTCTCCCAATCAGGAAATGTTGCAAACCCAGTTTGAATGGTTGGCACAGACTTCCAGACGGCCAGCGGGGACTTTGCGGCCGTGAAGCCGACTCACAGTCCCAGGTTCCCCGCTGGGGCTCACGCCTCTCCCCGGCGGGCACCTAAACTGAGGCAGATCCCGGGGGAGCGCTCTTTGGGCAGCTACGAGCCTGGCCTAGCAGCCCCCGAGTAGGGGAACAGTGATTATGGCTCCTTTAGTTTAGGGTGATCCGGACCACTAGTACCCCACCAACATCAAGGACCCATCCCTGGAGTCCCGGTGCGAAGCCCCCGCAAGGCGGCCACCCAAGGGAAGCGCTCAATAATTACTTCCCTTGCGGTTGCACACCTATGTTGCAAGTGCAAACGTTCTGATTAATTGGTGGGAACATTCTAATGGGGCACCAAGGTGGTCCTCATTCGGGAGCACCCCCGCGCGGTCAAAAGGCATATTACACAGTTAAAATAAAACTACATGGGGAAACACGTTTTATAATGGGAATCTATGAATATAGAAGAGGGCAATTCATGGACAGCCAGTGGTCCCGCCACACCGGCTTACTGCATTCACTGGCATTTTACCGCGGTGTATTGGATGTGCACACCTGATGTATGAATGCATTGGAAAACCTGTTGAAGATATTGTTGCAAATAAACCTTTTCTACGTTTTAGAACCCAAAACTTTTTATTTATGTAGTTTTAGTAGATAATTGTAATTTGCTGGGTAACCACTAGATGGGGCTATAAAAGCATACTGTATCAGGCAGCTTTGTTATTTGACCCTCTTTCTGTTGGTTGTTAAAAGTTGACATGTTGGTCTAAATAAAGTTTGTTGGCACCTGCTCTCCCGACCCCCATTGAGATTCCTTCATTTTGCCATTGTCTCTTGGTTTGATTTCTCCAATCTCTGCAGCCACGCTCAATGTCCCATCTTCCACGCCCTTTTGTATGCTTTGACCTTGAGATTTCAGCTCCTGACCTGATGGCGGCTGAAACATCTTAGTTAATCCATTACTTTCTATTGGGGTGTTGTGTATATCCCATGATTCTTTGCATAGCTTGAAGGGATTCTATAGTATCTGTATTCCTAACACTCTAAACCTGTCTGGTTCATGCAGAGCATGGGGTCATCCAGAGCCAGGCAACCAAATGTCGGTAAGCCACCAGGAAGTGCCTCTAGTGGTTGTCTAATTGAAAGCCACTATAGACAGTCTTCAGTCTTTTTCGTGCAATGTAATTATTACAGTTTCTCAAAAACTGAAGGGATTTACATTGCTGAACTAAGTGGTACTGGGACACTGCACCCAAAGCACTTCAATGAGAGATAGTGTCCCTTTTATTCTTTATTGAAGGAACTGTTTACTTGGACACACAAGCAGAACCAATATAAGCACACATTGAAAGCAAGCTGTACAATCTCATTCCGCAGTGATGTCACAGATAGAATAGAAAAATGGCGAGGAAGGGTCATGGGACACATGAAGAATATTATATATTTTTTAGATATTACTAAACCTGCAGTAATAAGTCTTTACTTGTATCCTGCTGAATTTACAGACCCGGTTTTGTGATCTGAGATGGAGATGTCCTCCGCTATTTTTTATATCTTGCCTGTTTATACGGTCACCACTTTTGTCATGTATAGGTAATAATTGTCACCATTTCTGTATCCTTTATTTGTCCAGTAATGCTGGGACTGGTTGCTAATGGGTGTAGCTGAGTGGACGCTTGCCTGGCACTCTTTATTCCCCTTTCTGTGCTGTCCGTATCCCCTGTAGCTGAATTACCACCTTTTATATATTTTTTTCCTGTGTTTTTGTCTGGTTCCTCTTTGGCCGTTCGGGAGACTCCATACGAATGGAATCCCCTTGTCTCCCTAACCATGACCACCCCTTTACAACATTAGAAAGTTGACACCAACCACTTAAGAGTGAAACCGCAAGGGAAACAATTAATGAATGCTTCCCCTGGGTGGCAGAAGAATGGCGGCCATCTTGTCTCATGAACGTGGGCAGTGGTGCTTGCTTGTCGAGTACCTGAAACTCTTTTCGGCTAGTCACTTGCACGAACACCGGTAAACCTCCGACCGATGTCCGTTCCAGACCACCTACACGAATGGCATTCAGGAGATATGAACTACCGAACAGGGGGAGCATTCGTACCCTGAAAGCAAGCAATTCCCTTGTATGGCGTTCGCACAGGAACCTCGCGAACTGAGACCAGCCAGGACACCTATTTCACTGGAACTATTTTCGGCTAGCGCTTCGTGTCTAGCCTGTCAAAACTTCACCACGATGGCATTACTGTTCTACCAAACCGATCTGAGTGATTCTTGGATATGTTGGACACTCAGATCAGGGCTATCAGGAAATGTACTTTCTGTGGGGTTCCTAGGTATGGTTGGGGTACTTTTGGGGTACAGGATGTTTTGTGGCTTGTCTGTGCCTGAGAGATAATTAAATTAGAGGAGTTTACTTAAGCATATCACTTTTAGGCACAGGGGATTCTGGGATTGAAACCCCTGCATTTCTTGTGTATGAAACCTGTGACGAGACAAATCTCGCCACTGTGCATTGGAGGAGCCTGGTTGACCGCCTGCTGCCTTTAGACTATGGCCCCATGTTGAAACGCTTGAGTTTCCCCTGCAAAGACACGAAAGCCGGGTCATTCGGTGCTTGCCCTGTTTGAGCGGGGATACCCCAGATAGATATGCCATGGAGCCCATTCGTATAATGAAAGACTATGGGAAAGACTTTGGCTCCATGGCAATTGAACTGTATGTGTGTGCTCTGAGCGCCATTCAGTAATAATGTGCGCTCAGATCTGAGCTATCTGGGGATATGTTGAATGTACCTGTTTTATGCAATGGCTGCACAGTTATATATTTTTAAGTATTTTATTGTCTTTTGCTGCCATGTGTTCAATGGAGTTTTGCCTCTGTCCTTGAAGATAATTGGATTACTTCCCAATTATCTCCAGGATAGAAGACTTTGTGGTTTTGGGCAGAAAAGCCATGCTTCATTTGGTCAAAAAAAGGACTATGATCTATCTTTTGAACCACTGGACCAATTTGTATGATTTTGGCGTATGTTTGTATTTGGAGTATGCTGATTCTGAAAATGTAAGTTTTATGTGAATGTGATGCATACTTTTAAAATTATGAATAATGTGGAAAAACTGTATTTCTCTGCCTATGATAATTACATTACCCATTATGTAAGGTAATTGTATCACAGGCAGAGGGGAGGATTTTGTGTGGGAGTGTCTGAGTATATTGTACGTGTTTATTGGTTGTTTTCCAAAACCCTGTGGGTGGTACTAATGTGTAAGAATGTGTATATAAGAACAATAAACCCACAGCTCTCTCTGTTCACTGCTTGACCCTCAACACGGAGCCTTGTCTCGTTCTTGGGGGGGGATTTATTGTATGCTGTTCCGGTTCGACTGCTAGGAGTGTAAACCTATTCGTATGTTTTTTCCTATTCGGCCGTTTACGGCATTCATATGGTTTCCTGTTCGACGGATTGGTGTCTTTGGTAGCTGCCTGTATATCTGGAAGGGGAATATCTCCTAAGCGGCTTTTAACCCCTTTTATGCCTGGGGGTGCTGTTACAAAACCCCTTGCATGGGACTGGGCATAAAATCTGTGTATGTGAGAATAAAATTCAGTTGTACTCTCAGAAACATGTATCGTCCGTTTACTGGGGAAGAGGTGGATTATTCTATAGCTGTTTTCTCTTGTTCCTGATAGCTTCTTGATATACCAGTGGAGGAGAGTCCCTGCTAGGACTACAATGGGGATAACTCCTTGGTAAAAATTAAGGGAGGTTGGAGGGCCACCCCAATTAATAATTACTCTGAAACTGAGAGAAAGGGTGAATGGAATATGCTGGGGTAGACAAACTAAACAACTTTCTAGCCCCTCTTGCGTATAATCATATTTGGACTATTCATTAATCAAATATTGTTGTAGCAGATTCTTAAGTGGTCTCTAAATATTATGCCTAATAATTGATTTTTGTACACCTAGTCTCATATGAGGCAGGATTTATTTTACAACTTTGGGGGCATATTATGTAAATGTCCATTGTGGCCCGGTTTCTATCTACCTTGTGAAGAATCTGCCATTCTAATATTATTGTGGTTATACATTGTACACAAGTTGGTTGTTGTTTTATATTTTTTTACTCCACCATTTCCACCTGGTATATCACCAGAAGAGCGGTATCTAGTGGTAGTTTTTTTTCAAATAAGTTTAAAATCCGTTTTTGTGAGACCTTTTGTTTGGCTTTCTGTGGCATCAGGGCATATCCCTGCTTAATGAAGTGGTCTGTGTGCCAGGTCCATCTATGGTTAACCCTGCCTGCTGTAAATATAGCAGTTTCAGAGAAACTGCTATGTTTACAATTGGGTTAATCCAGCCTCTAGTGGTTGTCTTGTTGACAGTCGCTAGAGGCGCTTCCGCGCTTCTCACTGTGAAAATCACAGTGAGAAGACACCAGCGTCCATAGGAAAGCATTGAGAATGCTTTCCTATGGACTGAATGAATGCGTGCGCGGCTCTTGCCGCGAATGCGCATTCAGCCGATGACGTCTGAAGGAGGAGGAGAGTCCCCAGCGCCGACGGAGCCCAGCGCTGGAGAAAGGTAAGATTTTAAACCTTTCCTTCCCCTTCAGCCCAGCAGGAGGGGTCCATGAGGGTGGGGGCACCCTCAGGGCACTATAGTGCCTGGAAAACAAGTTTGTTTTCCTGGCACTATAGTGGTCCTTTAAGACCCTGGTGTATAACTCCTTCTGTGAAATGGTTGGTTTATATTACCTTCTTAAATACAGGTAGTCCTCACTTTACGACTGACCTGTTTAACAATGACTCGGACTTACGACCAGCTCTCTAGCGTGGGGATTCAAGGGATTCCCCACGTTAGAAAGCTGGTCTATACATAGAAAAGAACATAGACAAGTACACCATGTTTGGGGAACATTCCCTGAACATAGATTAGAGGAACAAAGATTTGAGGGATTCCCTGCTCTGATGCACTTGTCTACGTTCGGGGAAATTTCCCTGAACATAGACCTGCACTGATGAGCATGCTCTGTATCTCATTCTCCCTTACCGACCAATTAATTTTACGACCGAGTCGTAAGAATGGAACCCGTCGGTAAGTGAGGAGCATTTGTATAAACCCAGTGTTTAGCCCCCATCATTCCACAGCCTCATGTCTTTTTAATCTGTAAATGTACTGTCTCTTACTCTATTTTTTCTAATGGTTGCACATTCTAATAAAGTTGTTCTACCATTATTTTATCTATTGGAGGGATGTCCATCTTTGGACTCACATGCCCTTTTTGGGCCTACTTGTCTATTTTGTAATCATATTAAATTGTTGTGGGTTACCCCCACTTGGAGCCTCTCAGGCAGGGTTATTTAGTTCCCTAGTGGTACCTTTTTGTTATTTAATGCTGGGACTGGAACTTCCTTGTACCGAGTGTTATTTTCATTTTACGTTTGAATGTAAATTTATGCATCTCCTCGCTCACTCCTTTTACCACTGAGTGTTTGCTTACAATGTTCTCTTCCAGGTTGTGAAACATATTAAATGACATATGAAGAGTTTATGAAGTGGTGCGTGTGTTAACTATAAATCACTAGACCCCCATCCAAAGAAAGTAAGAGATTTATTACCCTGACACCACTGATCGAGCAGGAAAAAAGGGCTATTCACAAAGATTTCTTCTTATATTCAGAGCAGAGATCATCTGATTTCAATCCCTGCACTTGGGCCACTATAAATACTTTATTTCTGGACAGGTAATACGTTGGAAATGGTTACTGGGTGGGTAACGATAAGGTAATACCTAGAATTACAGATTTTCCTGCTGTTATGACACCTGCGTTTGGAGATCAAGCTGGCACAAGTCGTAAAAAGTGGCTGCTGGCCACACGAAAATAAAACTGTCAGCACAGGTGATTACTTAAAGATTCTATTCATCCACGCAGAAAATATTTAGCAATGTGAGTTGTAAAGTGATTTTAAAAAACCATGAAGCACTTATAGAAAAGTATTACCCCGTGACGAACATTGCAAGCGTTGGTGAAATATCTTCCTCCACCCATAAATAGACTTCTCAGGGATTAACATGAAATCATTTAGATTGAGATATAGTGAAATGTGAATAATATATCTGGAAATAATTTACTATATATATTTGGGTTTTTTATATAGTTTAGTTTATTTGCTAATCTTGGAATTAGGAAAAAATTGCCAAAATTGCCAAGTTTGAAAATATCTTTGGTTTAGCCCCAGTATAGTTCTTCCTTTTTCCTACACTGATCGTCTGTGCATTCACCAACATTCACAGTTTATTTAATAAACTCCATATGTAGTTAACACACTTAACTTTTCAAACATTTCTAAGAAATATTGACAATATCTTCAATCAATAATACATATAGTTAAAAGATTAAATAAAAATTAAGCTGAGAGCATTTATTAAAATGTTACTCCAAGCACCATTCGCCCATTTCTCACCATATCACCCCTCACTCATTTCTCTACATATCACCTTGTGCCTTTTTTTCCCTATTTCACCCCTCGCCCATTTCTCCCCATTTCACCCTTTGCTCTTTTCTCCCCATATTACCCCTCGCCCATTTATCAAATCTGCAGTTACTGGTGAATTCTCAGTTTAGTGAATTAGTCTATCGATACTCATTACAAGATCTCACAGTTTCTTGTTCATGGTGGTGCGGGGTACACGGCTAACGTGCAAGAAAAACAAAGTTTGCTTTGGGATAAAATTAGATTCCATGATTAACAGCCGCCTATTCCAGTTTTCATTTTCATTTTTTGCAGATTTGAGCCCAAGGAATTATGAATAATACCTTTTACGCTTGTTGTTGCTTTTCTCCAATTTGTAAATTAAAATAAAAGTAGAAAACGTTCCTAAATCATTTCATTAATAAATCTGTGCTCGGTCTTTTAGTGACACATTGGATGAAATAAGAGCAATGGCCTTCCAACCATAAATCTGAAATAGAGAACAGAAAGTGTGTGCGTCACCTTAATTGTAAGACTAGATAGCTCCGGAGGTATTACCTAATCCCATCTCACTGCTTATAAAGAATAATTTGTACTTTCACAATTCTCTTGGATGCTGATAAAATCACCACATTTTGTTTTTGCAGAAAAAAACTTCCCCTCTTACAGGGAAACACATAAGTGTGTCATTCAGAGTCATTTTATTCAAACCAGTACATATCGTTAACACATTCAATCCCAACGTATGTGAACTGACACATTTTAAACAACCCCAACAGTACTCTTGGATGCCATACTAATAATCCCTAACTGGACAAATCGGGGTTGATTTCTGTGAAGGAAAGCACCTTGATTAGAAAGTTCAAGCTTGTAGGTGCCATAAATGGCTAGCTTATATTAAAATTTGCTAAGTTGGACTCATGTAATGCTTTATGCTTAAATGAACTTTGTCCTACATTAAGTTGTCGTTCTTACCTGATCAAGAAACATGTCTCTTCTTACATTCCTTTCCTTGAGCGCAAGCACGTATCCTCTACTGTATAAAGCTGATCTCAACCAATTAAAGCTAGAAGCAATTCTTCTGGATTCACAACTATCACCATGTGTCGTGTGTCTTTGGAGTTGGTCAGACGGGGCAGGAGATATCTCAGACTTCTTTCATCTAGAGGATTCATTAAGGGGCAACAAATGATGACTTGATGTCTATGGTGGAAAATCTTCAATTATCTCTTCCAAATTTCTTGAAGGCCTTCCATTAATATGACTCACCGTCCAATTTAAAGCTGAATGTAGACACAACGGAAATTTTAAACATCACCTTTTCAGACCCATTTTTATGGTACCACTCCAAAATTAAATACCTAGGGATTTGGATCCAGTTTAAAATTCTGCTTGTGACCCAATTTACACTGTGGGACCTTGTGATCTGTCGTTAGAGTATAATAATCCATATGTTGATAAACTCATATGGTTCTTTATAATTTAACAAATAGTAGCATTCTATTTGCTGATTGTCTCAATCGATTGCATATGAAATACAATGTTCCATATACTAACCCTGAAATTGTCTTGGACTAACAATCCCATCACTGTATCAGAGTTTGAAATTGCTTATTGTGATACTGTACTATGCCACATCTTGCTCAATATTGTTGAAAATTGTTCACTAATTATAATGTATATTTACACTTATTGACAAAAATAAACAGAATTTTGAGAGAAAGTTGTGATATTAATGTATTAAATACTAAATTCAAACAATGAATTAGTGCGTAACTCTTTGCTTTTAAATAATAAATGGGAATAGCGCCAATAAAATATCAACCTCTATTTTAATAAGGATTATTAATTTTACCCTCAGGGCCCCTTCAGCCACTTACCTTTCTCCAGCGCCGGGCTCCCACTGTGCTGGGGAACTCTCCTCCCTCTGCCGATGTCAGATCCGCGAGCGCATTCAAACTGCCCATAGGAAAGCATTACTCAATGCTTTCCTATGGACGTCAGAGTCTTCTCACTGTGATTTTCACAGTGAGAATCGCGAAAGCGCCTCTAGCGGCTGTCAATGAGACAGAGACTAGAGGCTGGATTAACCCTCTGAAACTGCTATGTTTTCAGCTGCAGGGTTAAAACTAGAGGGGCCTGGCACCCAGACCACTTCATTGAGCTGAAGTGGTCTGGATGCCTATAGTGGTCCTTTAATAATAATTAATCCCCATAAATATCCTCACAGTATAGGGAAACATGGTGGATCTGGTGGCAAAACCAGGGACTCCAACACAAATGTTAACTCACGTTTTGTAAAATCACTTCTACAGCCACACCCTCTCTTTTAATAAAAAGATAAATACTTTAAAAGTTTAAATAAAAAACATAACAATAAAATACTTCATAAATCATGCATTACATGCAATCAGCATAACTCCCACCCCCTTCAGCCAGCATGATGCATTTTTCATAAAGAAAATATATGGATCCAGCAAGAAAACGAACCCAGTGGCATTTAGAATTCTGGCAATGATTCCTGTGATTTATTATAACGTCAGGGACAGCCGATTCTGGGCAGTGATTCCTGTGATTTATTATAACGCCAGGGACGGCCGATTCTGGGCGATGATTCCTGAGATTTATTATAACGCCAGGGACGGCCGATTCTGGGCGATGATTCTTGCGATTTATTATAACGCCAGGGACGGACGATTCTGGATAATGATTCCTGAGATTTATTATAACGCCAGGGACGGACCGATTCTGGGCGATGATTCCTGTGATTTATTATAACGCCAGGGACGGCCGATTCTGGGCGATGATTCCTGTGATTTATTATAACGCCAGGGACGGCCGATTCTGGGCGATGATTCTTGCGATTTATTATAACGCCAGGGACGGACGATTCTGGATAATGATTCCTGAGATTTATTATAACGCCAGGGACGGCCGATGATTCTTGTGATTTCCTGTGATTTATTATAACGCCAGGGGCGGACGATTCTAGGCAGTGATTCCTGAGATTTATTATAACGTCAGGGACGGCCGATTCTGGGCAGTGTTTCCTGTGATTTATTATAACGCCAGGGACGGCCGATTCTGGGCAGTGATTCCTGAGATTTATTATAACGCCAGGGACGGCCGCTTCTGGGCAGTGATTTATTATAACGCCAGGGACGGCCGATTCTAGGCAGTGATTCCTGTGATTTATTATAACGCCAGGGATGGACGATTCTAGGCAGTGATTCCTGTGATTTATTATAACGCCAGGGATGGACGATTCTAGGCAGTGATTCCTGTGATTTATTATAACGCCAGGGACCGACGATTCTAGGCAGTGATTCCTGTGATTTATTATAACGCCAGGGACGGACGATTCTAGGCAGTGATTCCTGTGATTTATTATAACGCCAGAGACGGCCGATGATTCCTGTGATTTATTATAACGCCAGGGATTGCCGATTCTGGGCAATGATTCCTGTGATTTATTACAACGCCAGGGACAGCCGATTCTGGATAATGATTCCTGTGATTTATTACAACGCCAGGGACAGCCGATTCTGGATAATGATTCCTGTGATTTATTATAACGCCAGGGACGGACGATTCTGGTCAATGATTCCTGTGATTTATTATAACGCCAGGGACGGCCGATTCTGGGCGATGATTCCTGTGATTTATTATAACGCCAGGGACGGCCGATGATTCCTGTGATTTATTATAACGTCAGGGACGGCCGATGATTCCTGTATTTTATTATAACGCCACGGACTGCCGATTCTGAGCAGTGATTCCTGTGATTTATTAAAACGTCAGGGACGGCCGATTCTGGGCGATGATTCCTGTGATTTATTATAACGCCAAGAATTTCAGATTCTGGGCGAGGATTCCTGTGATTTATTACAACGCCACAGACGGCCGATTCTGAGCAATGATTCCTGAGATTTATTATAACGTCAGGGACGGACGATTCTGGGCGATGATTCCTGAGATTTATTATAACGCCAGGGACGGCCGATGATTCTTGTGATTTATTATAACGTCAGGGATGGCCGATTCTGGGCGATGATTCCTGTGATTTATGCCAGATTCTAGGCAGTGATGATTTATTATAACGCCAGAGACGGCCGATGATTCCTGTGATTTATTATAACGCCAGGGACGGCCGATTCTGGGCGATGATTCCTGTGATTTATTACAACGCCAGGGATTGCCGATTCTGGGCAATGATTCCTGTGATTTATTACAACGCCAGGGACAGCCGATTCTGGATAATGATTCCTGTGATTTATAACGCCAGGACGGCCGATTCTGGTCAATGATTCCTGTGATTTATTATAACGCTTCAGGGATGATTTATTATAACGCCCGATTCTGGGCGATGATTCCTGTGATTTATTATAACGCCAGGGGCGGCCGATTCTAGGCAGTGATTCCTGTGATTTATTATAACGCCAGAGACGGCCGATGATTCCTGTGATTTATTATAACGCCAGGGACGGCCGATTCTGGGCGATGATTCCTGTGATTTATTACAACGCCAGGGATTGCCGATTCTGGGCAATGATTCCTGTGATTTATTACAACGCCAGGGACAGCCGATTCTGGATAATGATTCCTGTGATTTATTATAACTCCAGGGACGGCCGATTCTGGTCAATGATTCCTGTGATTTATTATAACGCCAGGGACGGCCGATTCTGGTCAATGATTCCTGTGATTTATTATAACGCCAGGGACGGCCGATTCTGGGCAGTGATTCCTGAGATTTATTATAACGCCAGGGACGGCCGCTTCTGGGCAGTGATTTATTATAACGCCATGGACGGCCGATTCTAGGCAGTGATTCCTGTGATTTATTATAACGCCAGGGGCGGCCGATTCTAGGCAGTGATTCCTGTGATTTATTATAACGCCAGGGACGGCCGATTCTGGATAATGATTCCTGTGATTTATTATAACGCCAGGGACGGCCGATTCTAGGCAATGATTCCTGTGATTTATTATAACGCCAGGGACGGCCGATGATTCCTGTGATTTATTATAACGTCAGGGACGGCCGATTCTGGACGATGATTCCTGTGATTTATTATAACGCCAAGAATTTCAGATTCTGGGCAATGATTCCTGTGATTTATTATAACGCCAAGAATTTCTGATTCTGGGCGATGATTCCTGTGATTTATTATAACGCCAAGAATTTCTGATTCTGGGCGATGATTCCTATGATTTATTATAACGCCAAGAATTTCAGATTCTGGGCGATGATTCCTGTGATTTATTATATCAGTGACGACCAATTCTGGGCAATGATTCCTGTGATTTATTATAACGTCAGGGACGACCGATTCTGGGCGATGATTCCTGTGATTTATTATAACGCCAGGGACGGCCGATTCTGGTCAATGATTCCTGTGATTTATTATAACGTCAGGGACGGCCGATTCTGGGCGATGATTCCTGTGATTTATTATAACGCCAGGGGCGGACGATGATTCTTGTGATTTATTATAACGTCAGGGACGGCCGATTCTGGGCGATGATTCCTGTGATTTATTATAACGCCAGGGGCGGACGATTCTGGGCAGTGATTCCTGAGATTTATTATAACGTCAGGGACGGCCGATTCTGGGCAGTGTTTCCTGTGATTTATTATAACGCCAGGGACGGCCGATTCTGGGCAGTGATTCCTGAGATTTATTATAACGCCAGGGACGGCCGCTTCTGGGCAGTGATTTATTATAACGCCAGGGACGGCCGATTCTAGGCAGTGATTCCTGTGATTTATTATAACGCCAGGGATGGACGATTCTAGGCAGTGATTCCTGTGATTTATTATAACGCCATTCCTGTGATTTATTATAACGCCAGGGACGGCGATTCGATGATTCCTGTGATTTATTATAACGTCAGGGATTGCGGCCGATTCTGGACGATGATTCCTGTATTTTATTATAACGCCACGGACTGCCGATTCTGAGCAGTGATTCCTGTGATTTATTAAAACGTCAGGGACGGCCGATTCTGGGCGATGATTCCTGTGATTTATTATAACGCCAAGAATTTCAGATTCTGGGCGATGATTCCTGTGATTTATTACAACGCCACAGACGGCCGATTCTGAGCAATGATTCCTGAGATTTATTATAACGTCAGGGACGGACGATTCTGGGCGATGATTCCTGAGATTTATTATAACGCCAGGGACGGCCGATGATTCTTGTGATTTATTATAACGCCAGGGATGGCCGATTCTGGGCGATGATTCCTGTGATTTATTATAACGCCAGGGGCGGCCGAT